TCATAGCAGATCTCTAGTGCTATTATGTCAACTTCTTGTGGATTGGCAGTCATTATTTCCTTCACCTTTAGGTGTTCTTTTACCAGCACAGCAACGCCACCGCCTTTCCTAATTTTTCTGTCCCGTCTCCAAATTGAGTAGCCCCTTGGGAATATGACCTCATTTAAAATTACATCTTCAAGTTTTGTCTCCGTGAGTGCAACAATGTCTGGTGTCTGCAGCTGTATTACATCACTTAACTCCAGTATCTTCGATCTCACTCCATCTATGTTGGTGTATGCAATCTTCAGGAACTTGTTCCCCCTCTCCTTATTCTTCACTCCCCCTCTCTCTCTATTGATTTTGTTGGTTTGCCTTTATGTACCACTTTACTGGTTTGCCTACCCCTATCACTTTGTAGAAAAAAGAATTTATTTCTTCTTCATTCCTGCTCTCATTTAAATGTTTTGCCTCGGCGAGGTTCAGTTTCAGCTTCTCTCTATCTTCTTTTGAAAGATCTCGTCTTAACGACCACCCTTTCCCATCCTCATCCCTTTGCAATTTTCTAGCATTCCTTAGTACTTCTTCCATCTGTTTGGCACCGTTTAGGGTGATCCTCAAAGGTCGATCTTTCCCTTTTACGTACCTGCCTATTCTCCTGTAGTCGCACACATTCTCTCTGTTTGTAAGACCTTCCACGAGGCCAACAATTTTATCTACTACTTTAGCTTCTTCTACAGCTCTTTCTGACCTAGATGTTATCGCCTTTTCTTTGCAGCCAAAAATGATCAGGGACTTACTCCGATCAACTGTTTTTGCACCAACTTCGGGTTAGATGCCAATTCTTTCCTCACTTCTAGCCTAATGTTTGTTTTATCTTGGTTGCTGCAGTGTTTGACTTCCTTTACTGCTTCTTCTATTTTTTCCTTCTCCTTGGCCACTTGTGCATAGGTGAGTTGCATATTTTCTTGCACTGTTCTATTCCCTGTGTAACTTCCTCCATCTGTGCTGACAAAAGCTGTTTCTTCTGTTGATTTTCCTTACCTAACCTATTGTAGTCATTTATGTTTAAATTTACTTGAACTTCTTCCAAAGCTATTTTTAAGAGTTTTTTTCTTCTTCCATGGCTTTGCAGTTTGTTTCCAATTGATTCTTATCCTTGCACAAGTCTTCCACTAAACCCTCAAGACATAAAACTTTGCTATTTAAATGGTCATTACTTTCTTTCAATTTACTAATTATTTCTACATGAGAGTCATGGTATCATGTGTGTGTGTGTGTGTGTGTGTGTGTGTGTGTGTGTGTGTGTGTGTGTGTGTGTGTGTGTGTGTGTGTGTGTGTGTGTGTGTGTGTGTGTGTGTACTCACCTAATGTGTTGCGGGGGTTGAGCTTTGGCTCTTTGGTCCCGCCTCTCAACTGTCAATCAACTGGTGTACAGATTCCTGAGCCTACTGGGCTCTATCATACCTACATTTGAAACTGTGTATGGAGTCAGCCTCCACCACATCACTACCTAGTGCATTCCATTCATTAACTACTCTGACACTGAAAAAATTCTTTCTAACGTCTCTGTGGCTCATCTGGGTACTAAGTTTCCACCTGTGTCCCCTTGTTTGTGTCCCACCCGTGCTGAAGAGTTTGTCTTTGTCCACCCTGTCAATTCCCCTGAGAATTTTGTAGGTGGTTATCATGTCTCCCCTTACTCTTCTGTTTTCCAGGGATGTGAGGTTCAGCTCCTTTAGCCTTTCCTCGTAGCTCAATCCTCTCAGTTCCGGGACGAGCCTGGTGGCATACCGCTGAATCTTCTCTAACTTCATCTTGTGTTTAACTAGGTATGGACTCCAGGCTGGAGCTGCATACTCCAGGATTGGTCTTACATAAGTGGTATACAGGGTTCTGAAAGATTCCTTACACAAGTTTCTGAAGGCAGTTCTTATATTGGCCAGTCTAGCATATGCCGCTGATGATATTCTTTTGATGTGGGCCTCTGGGGACAGGTTCGGTGTCATATCGACCCCCAGATCCTTCTCTCTATTTGATTCTTGCAGGATTTCCCCTCCCAGATGATACCTTGTGTTCAGCCTCCTGCTCCCTTCGCCTAATTTCATTACCTTACACTTTCCAGAGTTGAACTTCAGCAGCCATTTTCTAGACCATTCCTCCAGTTTGTCCAGGTCATCCTGTAGTCTCTGTCTATCTTCATCCGTCTTGATTCTTCTCATAATTTTTGCATCATCAGCAAACATCGAGAGGAACGAGTCTATGCCCTCTGGAAGATCGTTCACATATATTAGAAACAGGATGGGTCCAAGTACTGAGCCCTGTGGGACTCCGCTGGTGACATCTCGCCACTCTGATGTCTTCCCCCTCACCGTTACTCGCTGTTTCCTGTTGCTTAAGTACTCCCTTATCCATTGGAGCACTTTCCCTTTTACTCCTGCCTGTTGCTCCAACTTTTTTAACAGCCTTTTATGGGGTACTGTGTCAAAGGCTTTCTGGCAGTCCAGGAAAATGCACCCTTCTCTTTCCTGCCTAATTTTTGTTGCCTGGTCATAAAATTCTATTAAACCTGTGAGGCACGATTTACCCTCCCTGAACCCATGTTGGTGGTGCGTTACAAACTTATTTCCCCTCCAGATGCTCTACGAGCCTTTTCCTCACGATCTTCTCCATCACCTTGCATGGTATACAAGTTAAGGAAACTGGCCTATAGTTCAGTGCCTCTTGCCTGTCACCCTTCTTGTATATTGGGACCACGTTAGCTGTCTTCCAACTTTCTGGTAAGTCTCCTGTTTCCAGTGACCTGTTATACACCATAGAGAGTGGTACACTTAGTGCTTCTGCACCTTCCTTTAGTATCCATGGTGAGATTCTGCCAGACCCAACAGCCTTTGTCACATCCAGCTCCAGCAGACACCTTTTGACCTCATCACTGGTGAGGTCAAATTCCTCCAAGGTTGCTTAGTTTGCCTCCTCATTTAGTGCAGAAGCTTCTTGTTCTATTGTGAAGACCTCCTGGAATCTCTTGTTGAGTTCTTCACACACCTCCTTATCATTCTCTGTGTACCTGTTCTCCCCTTTTTTCAATTTCATCACTTGTTCCCTCACTGCTGTTTTCCTCCTGATGTGGCTGCGGAGCAGCTTTGGTTGGGTTTTGGCTTTACTCGCTCTGTCATTTTCATACTCTGTCTCTGCTTCCCTCCTCACTCTGAGGTACTCATTTCTGGCCCTCTGGTATCTCTCCCTGCTCTCTGGTGTTCTGTTATTTCTGTAGTTTCTCCATGTTCTGTTACTCAGTTGTTTTGCTACCTTGCATTCCTGGTTGAACTATTGGGTTTTCTGTTGTTTTTCGTTTTTCTCCTTTTGGACCAGGATAAACCTGTCTGCAGCTTCCTGGCACTTCTGGGTGACAATATCCATCATGTCCTGCACATTCTTGTCTCTTAAGTTCTGTTTCCCATGGTATTTCCCAAGGAAGTTCATCTCGTCATAGTTTCCTCTTCGGCAATTTAGTCTTTTCCCCTCCGATCCAATCTTTGGATAGGTTATCCCTACCTCCACCAAGTACTCAAAAGTCATTATACTGTGGTCACTCATTCCTATGGTGGGCTTCAACTTTGACTTCCCTTATTTCTGACTCATTCAGGGTGAATGTCCAGTCGAGTCTAGCTGGTTCATTATTGCCTCTCATTCTTGTGGGTTCCCTGACATGCTGGCTCAGATGTTCCTTTTTGCCACTTCCAAGAGTTTAGCTCTCCATGTGTCTGCACCACCATGTGGGTCCCCATTCTCTGTCCTATCTTTCCATGGTTGAAATCGACCATGATTAAGAGTCTTCAGCCATTCCTGCAGGCAACTGAAGCTGCTGCTCTCTATTATATTATTGGTTGTCATGTTATTCCTATCAAACTTCTGTCTGGGTCTCTGTCATTTAGGGGAGGGTTGTAAATGACTGCCACTGTTATCTTAGATCCACCTATTGTTATAGTTCCTGTTATGCAATCTCTGAACCCGTCACAGCCCAGAATTTCCATCTCATCAAAACAACAGTCCTTCCTTATCAGCAGGGCGACTCTTCCACCTCCTCTCCCTTCTCTTTCCTTACTATATAGTAGTCCTTTGAAAACACTGAATCTGTTGTGACTCCTGACAATTTTGTTTCCACGAGTCCTATTAAATCAGTTTTTCTTCTTGCACCCTTTCTGCCAGTTCACTTGCTTTATTGGTAATCCCATCAATGTTTGAGTACATTACCTTGAAGTTCACTTTATGTCCATTTTCACCCTCACTCCCCACAAGTGTAGGAAGTTGTCCCATGGTCATTGTTACTTGGGTAGGCTCATTCTCCTGTGAGGTAGTTGCCAGGGGTTCAGGGGGAGGTGGAGTGGGGGATGGAGTTAGTAGTTAGTAACAGTTGATTGATTGATTGACAGTTGAGAGGCGGGCCCCCAAAAGAGCAGAGCTCAACCCCCGCAAGCACAACTAGGTGAATACAACTAGGATAATACATAAAACCTTCAGGAACTAAGCCCGACAATTCATTTAGCTAAGTAAGTTACAATCTTGAATAATTTAACGGTATTCACGAAAAGCTTAAGCGTGTTAGTGACCTTAGTAAAAAATATATACAAACTCTGCGAACAATTATTAAACCACTGTATCATATTTTATCCATTTTTGGGCGGAAAATATAAATAATATTTACAAGAATGTAATTTCAACTTAAACTCTACATTCTCCATTAACCTCCCAATGTACCTTATTGTATATAAATAAATAAATACATAAACAAATAAAATTTATTGTTATAAGTGCTGGAGGCAATTCAATTTCTTTCTTTATTATGCACCCCATACCCATCCAGTGGGCGGTGGTGTAAAAGAATTACAGAGGCACATAATCGGTTCAGGAACTGAACCCTCTAGTTCATTTAGCTAAACAAATAACAATCTTGACGCTAGTTACAAAATTATTAATGTTTTATATATATACATATACACACTTTCATACATACATTGTTTTCAGTGCGGAAGGCGAGCGTCACTTGGCCCAGCAGACGCCGCTAACATGGCGAACGACAACAAAGCCACCAAAAATGACTCTGTGGGTTTGTTCCTGCAGGCGATGGGTAAGTTGTGAGTAATGGCGTGGTGAGGAGGTCCTCACGAGGCCAGTTAGAGTGCAGAGATGAGTCGAGGGCGGCGTACGGGCGTGTGAGGGGCGTGCTGGAGGAGGTGTGAGGCAGGAGAGCGGCGGCGACCTGCCACAGGATTGGGGGGGCGGGGAGGGGGAGGATGGGCGCGGTGATTTGACTTCACGCCGCTTGTAGGGGTTGTCTTCCACCTCTACCTCTCTGGTTTATCGTATATCTGGTCCAGAACTTTGTCATTTGACTTCACGCCGCTTGTAGGGGTTGTCTTCCACCTCTACCTCTCTGGTTTATCGTATATCTGGCCCAGTACCTTGTCATTTGACTTCACGCCACCTGTAAGGGTTGTCTTCCACCTCTACCTTTCTGGTTTATCGTATATTTCGGCCATTTGACTTCACGGCGCCTGTAGGGGTTGTCTTCCACCTCTACCTCTCTGGTTTATCATATATTTCGGCCATTTGACTTCATGCCACCTGTAGGGGTTGTCTTCCACCTCTGTCTCTAGAGCTTATCGTAGCCCAAGTCGTAAATGGCTAAAACTCAGTTAAATTGCTCTGAATTATATACGATGCAATTTTAGTGACAGTCACCAAATGTAGCCATCAATGATATAACCGCCTCTCTACCATTAATTTCAGGAGTGCCACAGGGCATCATTCTAGGACCTCTCCTATTTCTTATATACATCAATGATCTGCCTAATGTCTCTAACATTCTTAAACTTTTACTATTTTCTGTGGATACCATCTTTATCTACTCTGACCCCCCCAACCATCACACACTAAATAATGTTGTAAAAACAAATTTAAAAAATGTCCACTCATGGATGTCAACCAACAAACTCACACTAAACATAGAAAAGGCCTACTGTATTTTATTTGAAAGCAAATCATCAAATAAAATTCAGCTTCAAATAGATAAAGTTAACATCAGCAATAAAAATGATGGAAAGTTCCTTGGCCTATACTTAGACAAGAGACTCAACTTCAGCACCCACATACAACACATAACCAAAAAAAAAGTCTCAAAAACAGGTGGTATACTTTCTAAAATCAGATAATATGTTCCAAACTTTGCCCTCGTCTCATTATATTACACGCTAATCTATTCCTATCTTATACTGCACATGATTGTACATGATAAGATACAGTATACTGTATCTTATACTGTATACTGAGCCTCATGTACATCTGTGCATGAGGCTCAACCTCTGCAAATTACCTCAAGCCCATCATCACCCAGCAAAAATTTTCTGTCAGAACAATAAGAAACTATGTTTTCAGAAAACACAGAGCCCCGTCTGTTTAAATCCCTAAACATGCTAAACAAACTTACTCCACACATTCTCTCGTGCCATTTACACATACAAAACCTTTTTCCTAAATGCAAATCCTGATTTGAAAAACTTCCTTGATAAATGTAATAGAACCCATAATCACCACCAGAAATAAATATCTCTTGGATATCTCCAGAGTCAAACGTAATCTGTGTAAACACACTATGCAAATAAAGGGACCTGGTCTATGGAACTCCGCCTCTCAACCAACCACTCAGGTTCGGGTGACCAAACAAATTAAAAAGCTGTTCAACCTATACCTTATTCAAAAGTAAAACCAAAAAGTACCTAATTTCATCCTCATAGTTTCCTTCCTAGTGCTTCACACTTGCACTGTATCTTCTGCTACCCATTCTTCCCATGTATATGCCTAAGCCATTCAACATCACCATTGTAAACACACTCATCATCTTACATCATGGTTGTTATGTTGAATGCAAATTTTACTACAATGTTCCTAGAAATAATCCTCAAATTATGCTACAATGTTGATAATCCTCAAATTTTGCTATAAGGTACCTATTAATTTTCTTCAAATTTTCTTACACTGTTTCTGTTAACATTCTTCAAATTTTGCTACAAATTACCTATTTTAAATTAGCTTAGATTAAGGACCTACACGAAATGCTATGCATGTTAAGTGGCTTTACACTTACTGTGTGTGGGACTACACTTGCGTTTCAACTTTAGCCAACACCTATGATTGGTGCTGTCAATCACCAGGAAGCAGCCAAGTCGAATAAATACAGATCTTGATCACCACTACAATTTTCTCCTCATTGCCTCAGAGACACTAGGTGCCTGGGGTAAAAGTGCTGCTAGTTTTTTTTTTTTTAAGGAGCTGGGGTCCAAGCTAGTTGAAACAACTAGAGACCCTAGAGCCACCAGTTTTCTCTTTCAGCGCCTTAGTGTGGCGATCCAGAGAGGAAATGCTCACTGCATCCGTGGTTCCTGCCTGCCATCTGAGGCGCCGGAGGAGCTCTACAATCAGTGACAAGTAGCCTTGTACCCTGCATGTAACCAGTGTTGCGACCCTTTTTGTGTAATGAAATTTTAAAATAAAGTGTGATATGTAGATACACATACCAAAAGAATAGGGTTGGTAGAAGAAGAAAATATGAGTGTTCAGTGAGGATCCACAAGGTCTTCTCCGAGTACTGTACTCTTTATTTTATTTTCCGAGGCTATGGGTCCCTACAACTGACCAGAGGTGGTATCCCTTTTAGGTTATATATATATACAACCTTAGAACACTTTCCCACCAGGAGATTCGAACCCTAGCCAGCACAGAAGCCTTACAGCAACTGGCATAACTGGTACGCCTTTAACCCACTGCACCACAGCTCAGACCCTTAAAAGAGATGGTAATTTCGGAGTATTTCACCTCCAAAGATCGCCACCTCCCAAGGGCAACTAGAGCATAGTGAGGGATTACTCACGTTCTTTCATCAAATTCCTGTTAATATGGGAGAACTCTGTGTCTATGCTTAATGCACAACATGCCTAAACACGCAAGAGAGATTATACAACCTTGGAACACTTTCCCACCAGGAGATTCGAACCCTAGCCAGCACAGAAGCCTTACAGCAACTGGCATAACTGGTATGCCTTTAACCCACTGCACCACAGCTCAGACCCTTAAAATATGTATATGTATATATATGTATGTATGTATATATATATAATATATATATATATATATATATATATATATATATATATTATATAATATAATATATATATATATTATATAATATAATATATTATTAAATATGACCGAAAAAGTAAGATTAATAATTCTAACACGAATTTTCTCAATGTTTCTAATATTCTTTTTCACTGTTGATGGTAACTGAAAAATCAATTCTCCAAAATTCATTTTTATTTCTAGTCTGACGCGACACTTGAACGCGTTTCATAAAACTTGTTACATTTTCAAAGACTTTAGTTTACACACACAACTATAACTGAACAGAGTTTAAAACAGCTTCGATTTTTTATACCTGCATTTGGGTGAGGTGAAATGTTACAACAGTTTTGGATGAGATGAAAACAGACTTTCAACACAAGACAGAACACAAAACAATGGGTATAATATTTTGTAAGTTAAAGGGAAGAATGGAAGTAACTGCAAAGGGCCTATTGGCCCATATTTCTTGATGCTTCTATATTGGTGCGGAGTCTTGAAGTGGGTAGAAAATAGTTGTGCATTAATGCACAACTATATTCTATCCACTATTGATGTAATACACATCAAGAAGTCAACACCAGCAATCAACAGCCAATTAATGCACAACTATATTCTACCCACTTCAAGACTCCGCTCCAATATAGAAGCATCAAGAAATATGGGCCAATAGGCCCTCTGCAATTACTTCCATTCTTACCTTCAATACCCATTGTTTTGTGTTCTATCCTGTGTTGAAAGTTTTGTTCACCTCATCCAAAACTGTTGTATCACCTCGCCCAAAATGCGGGTATAAAATGAAAAATGAAAGCTGTTTAAATCATAGCATAAGTAAGAACTCTGTTTAGTGTTTGCAGGTAATACACGTAGTTGTGTGTGTGTGTGTAAACTAAAAGTCTTTGAAAATGTAATAAGTTTTTACGAAACGCATTCAAGTGTCGTGTCAGACTAGAAATAAAAATGAATTTTGGAGAATTGATTTTTCAATTACCATCAACAGTGAAAAGAAACATAAGAAAGATTGAGAAAATTCGTGTTAGAATTATTAATCTTACTTTTTCGGTCATATTTAATAATATATGTCTACAGGAAAGACTGCTACCAAAATATACTAATATATATTATATATATACAATAAAATTTTAAAATCAACTGGAAAAGATCATCAGGGCAAATTGGGGGACCTTTGACAAGCTGCTGGCTTCCTGTCTTCATTGAGGTCACTACTGTTAGTGGCTCCCAGGTAACTCTGGTATCTCTCTCTCCCATTACCTCGCCATTTGACATAATTGATATTTAAGTATTGTATAGTCATATCAGTCTGCCTGTTCCTTGTCTGCAGACTAAGGGGGTTAAATAGCATATTTAATTCTAGCTCTGCAGGGGATTTCCAAATATTTGCAACATTGCATAAAATAGACAAACTCTGAGTCTTGCAGTTTGCTTTATAACAAGTTAGTAATTAGAGCTGCAAATTATTTAATATTTCTTAGATCATGCAGGATTCTGGCAGATATTACCTGTGTTCTTTATTTGAGTTTCACAATTTTCTAGTTACAGTATTTATGAGACAGTCTCATCATTGCAATGTAATTAAACTGGGATCGCAGGTCATCTCATATGCACGCATTACCCACTAAACCATGAGCTTCCTCCAAAGGATTTTCTCATTCGTATATCACACTATTACAATGTACTATTCTTAATTTCTTTTTGTATTATTTACAGTGGATCGTGAACCTGGAAAAAGGAAGGTGAAGCCATCTAAAGCTGCATTAGTTGACTTAGCAGAATTAGATCTGGGAGAGAGTTCCGATGACAGCGACTTTAACGTAGACGAAGCCAAACTAAACGACGACGATGACATCTCCATTAATAGTGATCCCGATGCCCCCGATCTCGATGATGACGACGACGACGACGACGATGAAATGGATGAAGAGGGTGAGAGTGAAGAAGAGGTAGAAACACCTCCAGAAAAAGAAAAGAATCTGAGTGTCACTCAGTTATTGGAACAAGCAAAGAAGAAACAAGCTTTAGAGGTACAAAGAATACTTGAGTAAAAACATGAAAAACAAGTGGAAGAGATAGAATTAAGCTGGAGTTATTGAAAGCCTTAGTTCTTGTGGGTTAGATTTTTGGTTAAGTTTAGTCTGGGTTTAACATTAGTCTTGTTTATAACGTGCACATTGACCATTCAGGTTAAGCAGCATTGGGGGTGTGATGTTTGTTGTCACTGGACCTTCAGTCAGGTTGAACCTCCCTCTTAGGTTGCAGCCTATCAGGTTCTTTCTGGTGCGAAGGCATGGGATCCATCCTTCCTTTTATAAGAAGGAGAGGGGCTGCAATTTTGACAAAGTGTATTAAATTTCAGCTTCAGTCTGTTGATTCTCCTGATTTTGGCTGTTTTCTTCATGTCCAACTTCTGTTTATTCCGTCTCGACCAACCACTCTGGTTCGGGTGACCAAACGACCTTGGCATGAAGCCCTACAATGATCATTGTCATTGTCAGCAATGATGACAGGCTTTGGAGCCAACTTTGTTCTCAGGGGGGTCAGAGGCGTCTGGAGCCGGCATTCCCTCCACCCCTTCAGTTCTTTACCATTCAGTCACCCTTTACAATTATTCTATAACTGTCAGGTATTATACAAATCTCATTGTCCTAACTACCCCTCAAAAAATGTATAATTCTCACTTCTGACCTCACACAATGTACACATAATAACAATTGGTGTTCTTAACTTCTTTAGACTTGAATTTCATACCAGGTTTTATTCATTAAAATTAAGTTGTTCTAATTCATCCAGTAGAGTTTTACATATTAATACAATATGTACTGTAATGAGCTGCTATTTTGGCTCCTTATTTTGCCTGAAATACTTTACATAGTACAGTAGGGGCTTTATTTTGTGTACTACCCCTGTACCTACAATTGTACTGTTGTCTTATGTTCTTTGTATGCACATTCTTAGGAATACAGTACACTGTATTATTATTATTATAGTATTTTCAAATGCCAAATTTTCACGTAATTGCTAAACATTTAGAACCCACTATCTTGTTACCTAGTCCAATTTCAGTTATATTTCTTCTTCCTTGAACACACACAACTCATTCTTCTTGTGCCTTCTTGTTTCTTCTTATACCTTGATAGTTATTCTCTTTTTAGTTTCACATTGCAAACTAATATTACAATGTGACGTTTCCTTAAAGCTTTGTTTTGTGTGTGTGTGTGTGTGTGTGTGTGTGTGTGTGTGTGTGTGTGTGTGTGTGTGTGTGTGTGTAATTACCTAAGTGTAATTACCTAAGTGTAGTTACAGGATGAGAGCCACGCTCGTGGTGTCCCGTCTTCCCAGCACTCTTTGTCATATAACGCTTTGAAACTACTGACGGTCTTGGCCTCCACCACCTTCTCACTTAACTTGTTGTGTGTGCGTGCGTGTGCGCGCCTATTTATTAGCAGATGTTGCGGCATTTTCAGTCATTGAAGAGTTCACCATCTTGGTACAATGGAATTTGGTATAATTCTTAGTTTTTGTTGTTTACGTTCTGTATACTCTTTATAACCATTAGATATATATATACAGTATATACAGTATAATATTTTAATATTTATTCTGCCTTGGGAACAAATTTGAATACATCTTTTAGAATGGATTATTTATTTTTGTCTTGTCCATATTTGCTGTATCCAGTAGTGTTAATTAGGTGACATTTTTGTACGGTTGAAAAGGATAATTGATCTTTGCTTCCAATATATATATAACTGCCTTCCATATTTCCTGGCCATTGGTCTTGTGAGCTTGGATGATAAATTTGTTACAAATTTGATAAATATTAATTTTAATTATTTTATGATTTTATTAATAAATGTTCATCACTTCTTAGGGTGTGGAGCGACCCAAAATCTTGGTGTGCGCTGTATGTCTTGGTGATCACTCCGATGATGTAAATGAAATTGTGACCTGCGATGGATGTAGTGTATCTGTGCATGAAGGCTGTTACGGCATTAGTGACTCTATATCGGTGTCGAGCACAGTTTCGTCAAGTTCTACAGAACCTTGGTTTTGTGACGCTTGTAAGGCAGGGGTAATAAATCCACCGTGTGAGCTTTGTCCAAACCTCGGTAAGTCTCGGTATTTTATCAGATCAAAACACTAGTATGAGATGCTGTATTCGAACACGTCCCATGAATTCTGAAAAACTCACTTATGCTCCCTAATGCAGATTATAGCAAAACTGTACCTTAGAAATTATGAATTCAACACAGATTCTATACATATTTGTCATTACAGTTACAGAATGAAGCATAGAAATGGTTTTTAACTGGATAAAAGATGTTTATTATATAATTTTTGTAACTGTTGCTAATTAATTAGTTAATATATTAATTACTATCTGTGTTCATTAAATCATCATTTGCCTGCCTTAAGAGATTACTTTTACTGGAGTTAAATTTTATATTATTTCTGGCATGTTTTTCATTTAACATATTAACACTTTCGCGCTTTCCGCAAAGGTCACTCAGCCAACCGAATGTGCGCGCAGTGTTTTTATCGCTTAAGCGTAAAAACAAAAATGTGTATACTCTTTTTACTCTTCTGACCTTAGTTCTCATGCTACGTATTTCATTTTGGTACCAACGTGTTCGCAATAAAATTCTCTAGAAGAACATCAGTAAAAAAAGTCACGAAACGTATAGGGATACCAGCACCAAATAAATAACTACGAAGATGACTCGCCGTGAGCGCCCATCAGCAACAAAATGTTTTTACTCTTGGGATTGTAATCACCTCCACACTTATTCTACAGCGTTAATTTTGGTATCAATGGACTCGCAATGAAATTCCCAACACGGTGATATGAATATAAGCGTAGAATAATGATGCGGCCCGCCCGCAAGAGTGTGGGAAGTGGTGAAATTGTTACCCGGTACCGGTGACGGGACGACGCACGGCGCTTTGAAAGTTTATACTTATTTCACTCTCATGACATTAATTTTCTATGTACGTCATTCATTTTTGTGTCAATGTGTTCGCAATAGAATGTTCTATGTGCCCATAGGTAAAAAATATCAACAAAGTGTAAGTTAGAATAGCGCCAAATATAAAACAACGCTGGAACATATCAGTGAGCGTCAAACACACACGAAATGTTTTTACTTTTGTTATGTTTGTCAAGTTTATACTTGTTGCACACAGTTATTTTTGGTTGTATATTGATCGGAATAAAATTCCCTAAACAGACATATGCATATAATACATGATATGGGGGAAGCATTACCAGTATAAACGGCTAAAGTCACCCACCTGCAACCCGTTTGGGACAAAATACCATTTGATCGAAGTTATCCACACCTTTCATGAACTTATTGTACCATGCAGCCTAGTGGTGAGAAAGAGAGCCTCATAGCGCGCAGTTTGAAACAAACCCAAAGTAAATCGGATAAAAATTGAATTTTATACAAATATTTTAAAAGAGGACTCAACTTTATGTCCACTATGCGTTAGCGTTAGACGAAACGGGACGCGCCGGCGCGTCCAGATAGCGCGAAAGTGTTAATGACCAACCACAATTTAAAATAAACTACTTGTGTAACAATTTCTCCATTATTTTCTTTGCACAAAATTGAAAAGTTGTAAAAGAAGTGCAGTGTTTAAATTATTCAGCCATTATTTATTCTCTGCATTATTGCCTCTTATTGCAAGCAAGTACTCACCTAATGTACTCACCTAAGCAAGTGTTAAGTATTACATACGTGTTAGTTCTTTGGCCAGTAGTTTCAAGAGCTCCTTTAAATATACTGTACTATAACACTTGTAGGCGGGTTAAATATCTGGGAAAGATTATATAAGGTCATTTCTCAAGGAAAAGTGCCTAGAGTAAAAAAAAAAGGCTTTGAAGGTACAGTATAGATAAAAATCACTTGTGATATAAGGACTTTCTAAGCTATCATATTGAGGTGCATTCTTGGGTAAGAACCTTTCTGGTTGCATTATAAAAGTTGAGAGACAATGAGGGTTATCTTGAGATGATTTCGGGGCTTTAGTGTCCCCGCGGCCCGGTCCTCGACCAGGCCTCCACCCCCAGGAATCAACCCGTGACAGCTGACTAACACCCAGGTACCTATTTTACTGCTAGGTAACAGGGGCATAGGGTGAAAGAAACTGCCCATTGTTTCTCGCCGGCGCCCGGGATCAAACCCGGGACCACAGGATCACAAGTCCAGCGTGCTGTCCACTCGGCCGACCGGCTGCCAATATATAGATATATAGGGTAGATATAATGCACCAGGTTGTACTGGTGCTCGGGAGACACTCGCAAGGTCTAGGATTGGTATCATGGGTGGTATTTACTTTCTTTTGAGGATCCTACAACACGGGTTTTCATTTGATAATTGCTTACTTTGGAGACCCTCGAGTGACTATGAATGAATCTATGAGTCGATATTCCAGACGGGATTGAATCTTTCTCGTGTCTCCGAAGCTGCGGTATGACCCGATAAGGACGGCTTGAGAAGATACCTGCTATGGTGGTGGGAAATGCGTACTTGCTCTGTCTATGGAAGAAAAAAAAATTATATTGTAAATAAGCTAACCCACCCACACAAAAATAAGGAAAGTGGCAATGTTTTTGATCATCCCGGATCCTTATCAAGTTGCAAATAATAAGGTTCCAGGATGGGCGAAATGTCATCGCTTATCTTTCTTTTTCGTGTGTGTGAGTTTGACTACTTTCAGCCACATAGATATAAATAGTAGCTGCTACGTACAAGCCAATAGTGGATATATATAGGAGCTTCCACGTATAGATCAGTAGTAGATATATATATTAGCTGCCATGTATGAGCCAATAATGGATATAAATAGGAGCTGCCGTACATGAGCCATTAGTAAAAGTAAATAGGGGCTACCACGTATGTGCAAATAGGCCTTCTGCAGTTTCCTCAATTTTTATGTTACTGTGACTTACTCAGTGTAATTACCTTGCCTTAAGGAGTAACTGTGCATACTACTCAAAAAATGGCTTGTCATAGTTATTCCCATTTTTCTTCAGGGTACACAATTTTTAAGGAGACGGAGATGGGGCGGTGGGTGCACTTGGTGTGTGCCTTATACATTCCTGGTGTGGCCTTCAGTGAGGTGGGTATTTCAAACTTTCACTTTTTCATGAGCAAAACTAGTGTATAGAATACATGTACTGTATATAAGTATAATTGTGAAACCTATGGTATGTTTAATAGTTTTGATCTAAATACAATAAGGTTTAATATATGTAATTTGATATATAAATTGTCATTACACAGTCCCCATTTCCATGAGGTGTCAAGGTGTCTATAACTGGAGAAAATACATGCCAGTACAATGAATAAAGCTTATAAATACTGTATTAACATATATAATACAGTACACATCCATTTATTATTTAACTTGTATTACTGTTGACCTTCAGTCTGCACAAGGGTTACATTCCTGGAAAACAAACTTGTAGGGTGAAATTGCTCGCGGTAAACTTAAAATTGTGTCCCAGTTGATGCACTATCCAAGATTGCCGTTGGTTTGACGTTGAATGAACGTTATCAACGTTTATTCATGAATCGGTATTGATGACATTGATTCACTGTTGAATTGCCGTTCTTCTTGGATATTGTCCCCATTAGGACAGTAAGTATAGTACTGTATACGAAAAAATAATGGGTTCCCAAGACCTTGAAAATCTGCTTTTCACATTTCTTTTACTAAAAACATGTTCTCGTGTATACTAAAGTGATGTACGTAGTTTAACACTTTGTCTGTGACACCCAAAAAATGTTTTATGCCTCCCTTCTGTCCTATCCCAGAATCTTTGTCTTCTTTATCTTTATCCCTTCTAAATGCTGTATAGCCATACAGGCTTAGCACTTTCTCCTCATAATTACCTTACCTTTAGTATAATAATAATAATAATTTTCTTCCATGAGGTTGACAAGCTCTCCTTTCCAACCCTGTTTGAAATGCCGTACACCAAGTGGGGATCCAAGAGCTGCACGCTGTGTGAAGATGAACGCTACTCTAAGACTGGGGTGTGCATTGGCTGTGATGCAGGCATGTGTCGTGCCTACTTTCATGTAACTTGGTAAGGAGAACTAATATTCACCTAGAACATAATATTTGTCTTATCAACCACATACATCTTTGTACGCTCATAAATTACTCTATTATCCCGTAAGCATTGTTGAGACATTAATTTGTACATAATTGTGGTAAAATGAGTTGCTGCCACTATGATTATAGTATAAACAAAGATATATATATATAAGATGCTGATGGAATAAGAAAGGTGTGGGTGGAATCTCGTCTGAAGATGTGGTACAGTTGTAAACATGTATAGGTTTGATGAACATGCACAAGACTAAGGTGATTTACTATGAAAATTTAGTCATAGATAAGAATTATCACTGGGGAAAAAATCGAGTTATGATTGTATTGAAGCGTGTGAAAGAAGACCGTTAGAGCTGACGTGAACAAAAGTAATATTACCGAGGTACAGAAAGAAATTTTATGTGAAATTAATGTGTATGGTGAATGATCAGTTAAAATATTTGGGCTGCATGATTGATAAGAGACATTTGTGCAAGCGCAATAAAAATTGAGAAATGAGTCTTTTAGTAAAGGAAAATGGCTGGAACAGTGAGAGCTCTGATTAGACGGAACATGATTGAAGAACTACAGCCAGAGGGCTGCACAAAGGTATCTGTATCTGTATATAATTATATATACAGATTATACAGATAATAGATGGTGACAGGAATGTGAACAAAATCAGTTATTAGAGCAATAGTAGTGGAGAGTCTGAAAAGTATGTGAAATGTGTAGATACAGAATAAGGAATGAAAAAGTCATGGAGAGGTGTAGAGTGAACTGTTTATTAACCATGAGTGAGTGAGTGAATGTGAGGGAAGCAGGGACCGAGGGAATGTGAGGGAAGCAGGGACTGAGGGAATGTGAGGGAAGCAGGGACCGAGGGAATGTGAGGGAAGCAGGGACTGAGGGAATGTGAGGGAAGCAGGGACCGAGGGAATGTGAAGGATACAGGGACCGAGGGAATGTGAAGGAAGCAGGGACCGAGGGAATGTGAGGGAAGCAGGGACTGAGGGAATGTGAGGGAAGCAGGGACCGAGGGAATGTGAGGGAAGCAGGGACTGAGGGAATGTGAGGGAAGCAGGGACCGAGGGAATGTGAGGGAAGCAGGGACCGAGGGAATGTGAAGGATACAGGGACCGAGGGAATGTGAGGGAAGCAGGGACCGAGGGAATGTGAAGGATACAGGGACTGAGGGAATGTGAGGGAAGCAGGGACCGAGGGAATGTAATGGAAGCAGGGACTGAGGGAATGTGAGGGAATCAGGGACTGAGGGAATGTGAGGGAAGCAGGGACCGAGGGAATGTGAGGGAAGCAGGGACCGAGGGAATGTGAGGGAAGCAGGGACCGAGGGAATGTAATGGAAGCAGGGACCCAGGGAATGTGAGGGAAGCAGGGACTAAGGGAATGTGAGGGAAGCAGGGACCGAGGGAATGTGAGGGAAGCAGGGACCGAGGGAATGTGAAGGAAGCAGGGACTGAGGGAATGTGAAGGATACAGGGACTGAGGGAATGTGAGGGAAGCAGGGACTGAGGGAATGTAATGGAAGCAGGGACCGAGGGAATGTGAGGGAAGCAGGGACTAAGGGAATGTGAGGGAAGCAGGGACTGAGGGAATGTGAGGGAAGCAGGGACCGAGGGAATGTGAGGGAAGCAGGGACTGAGGGAATGCGAGGGAAGCAGGGACCGAGGGAATGTAATGGAAGCAAGGACTGAGGGAATGTGAGGGAAGCAGGGACTGAGGGAATGTGAGGGAAGCAGGGACCGAGGGAATGTAATGGAAGCAGGGACCGAGGGAATGTGAGGGAAGCAGGGACCGAGGGAATGTGAGGGAAGCAGGGACTGAGGGAATGTGAGGGAAGCAGGGACCGAGGGAATGTAATGGAAGCAGGGACCGAGGGAATGTGAGGGAAGCAGGGACCGAGGGAATGTGAGGGAAGCAGGGACCGAGGGAATGTGAGGGAAGCAGGGACCGAGGGAATGTGAGGGAAGCAGGGACCGAGGGAATGTGAAGGAAGCAGGGACCGAGGGAATGTGAAGGAAGCAGGGACCGAGGGAATGTGAAGGAAGCAGGGACCGAGGGAATGTGAGGGAAGCAGGGACCGAGGGAATGTGAGGGAAGCAGGGACCGAGGGAATGTGAAGGAAGCAGGGACCGAGGGAATGTGAGGGAAGCAGGGACCGAGGGAATGTGAAGGATACAGGGACCGAGGGAATGTGAGGGAAGCAGGGACTGAGGGAATGTAATGGAAGCAGGGACCGAGGGAATGTGAGGGAAGCAGGGACTGAGGGAATGAAATGGAAGCAGGGACCGAGGGAATGTGAGGGAAGCAGGGACCGAGGGAATGTGAGGGAAGCAGGGACCGAGGGAATGTGAGGGAAGCAGGGACCGAGGGAATGTGAAGGAAGCAGGAGGGAAACACCCAAGGTGGGTGGGTGTCTGATCTTGTGTTCGTAAACTTGTTGTTCTACCGCTGGTCGGTTGCCTATTTTTTCCGTTCCTCTGCCGTTTTCTCTGAACTCTGCTGAGTTGTAAGGGGTACTGAAGTCACTACATATTTATCACCAGAATATTTTTTGTTAAGTGTTGGAGAAAATTTGAATGCAGTATTCGAAAATGATGGAACTAAAATTATTTGCACATTTGCCAATAGAGAGGTAGATGGAATTCTGGTAATAACAAGTTATAAGTTTACAGATCAGTATTTGCCTTTTTATTGACGAATTAACAAGAAAATCTGTTTATTTGCTGGCCTGGTGTAGTTTAACACAGACATTGTTTTTACAAGATGTGTAGACTTTACCTGTTTTGCCAGTTCAGATTTACCCTTTGTATAGTTTATGCTGTATACAATATTTTTTGTATTGTAAACATTTTCATAATGGATATGAAGTAATAAGATTTTCTATTATTGACAGTGCTCAGCGTGAGGGTTTATTATCCGAGGTGAACCACGGTGAAGCAGACCAAGCCGACCCGTATTATGCTCACTGCAAATTACATACTGATAGAGAGCTCATAAGGTTTGTTTAATATTAATGTGTATACATATACAATTTTGTATCTCAAATCCATTTCTCGCCTTCACAATTTTCTAGGTTGACACCCCCTGTCAGGTGGGACAGCACGCTGGACTTGTGATCCTGTGGTCCCAGGTTTGATCCCGGGCGCTGGGGAGAAACAATGGGCAGAGTTTGTTTCACCCTATGCCCCTGTTATCTAGCAGTAAAATAGGTACCTGGGTGTTAGTCAGCTGTCACGGGCTGCTTCCTGGGGGTGAAGACCTGGTCGAGGACCGGGCTGCGGGGACACTAAAGCCCCGAAATCATCTCAAGATAACCCCTCAGTAGCTGCTTTCAGCTTACATCACTGGGATGTAAAGGACAACTGTAACACCACCAAGGGTCCTTGAAGCCAGGTTTACGAAGCAGCTACACAAGCACTTACGAACCTGTACATCTTTCCTTAATCTTTGACGGCTTTGGTTACATTTATTAAACAGTTTATAAACATGAAAACTTGCCAATCAACTGTTGTTATTGTTATAAACAGCCTCCTGGTGCTTCGGAGCTCATTAACTGTTTAATAATTGTAAACAAAGCTGCCAAAGATTGAGAAAAGATGTACAGGTTCGTAAGTGCTTGCATAACTGCTTCGTTAATCTAGCCCCTGGTGATTATCTTAGCATACCTGAGACACTCTCTAACTTAGCTTGTTTGTTCCTTGTGGCAGTTGTTGTCTATGCTGCTGGCAAATTCGTTCCCTGGTGGCTTATGTTCTCTAGAGTATTTTATATTTTTTTTGCTTTGCCTCTGAATATTACTTCATGGGGGTTAATGTGTTCTGTCGTGGAGCCAATCCAGGACCTTGTATTGTTGAGCCTCTTTATGCATCCTTCATTTCTGGTTGGTAGTGTGTCTTCTGCATTTCATCAGGTCCCCTTTCTCCTTGAGGCAGATTTCATGATCCCAGAGTTCATCTTCCCCTCTGTCGTATCTACTTTGCATGGATTTTCTGGACTACAAGAGATTCTTTGACTTGGATCCTCTTTTTTTCTTGTTCCATACTTCCATGTTCCAAGGCTTAACTTTTGATTTGCACGAAGGATTGAAAATTTTTAGATGTTTCTCATCTTAAAGGTCTCATCTTAAAAGATCTAAAGATTTGCATAGAAGATTAACACACAGTATTGTGTTAATCTGTGATCCCATAAGAGGGCCAGGTGTGAGGATGGAGCAAGTGAACATGGTGCTTACCCTTGGTGTGCTGAGATGGTCACTGAAAGTCTTGTGGTGTCCCAGTGGTCCTATATATTCCTGTGATGTAAGCTTGAAGACAGGTATAGCTGTACAGTATATACCTGAAGAGAATTCAATTACACTTAACATTTGATTATTGTTTTGCAATTTATAATATGCAGTAAGCTTTCTTATATACAGCACTAATTAAATATCTTCAGCAGAGATTCCTCATAGACCTCACTTTTTTCTATGTGAAGCCCCTCTGGCTCTCTAGAGCTATTGGGCTAATATGCAATACATTAGACCAGGGCCAAGGGAGCCGGTCGGCCGAGCAGACAGCACGCTGAACTTGTGAACCTGTGGTCCCGGGTTCGATCCCGGGTGCCGGCGAGAAACAATGGGCAGAGTTTCTTTCACCCTATGCCCCTGTTATCTAGCAGTAAAATAGGTACCTGGGTGTTAGTCAGCTGTCACGGGCTGCTTCCTGGGGGTGGAGGCCTGGTCGAGGACCGGGCCGCGGGGACACTAAAGCCCCGAAATCATCTCAAGATAACCTCAAGATAGGGCATTACTCAATGGAGTTCCAGTTTGAGGACCACGAGGCAGAACCTGGGCCTCCTCAGAGGCACAGGGAGCAATGGCCGCTGGAAACCCCCTCTCCTGTGTTTGTTGGTTTTCCTTCTCTGCCATTGACTGGAGTTAGGCATCCAGAAAGGTAGGCATAACAAAACAGACCCCACGTGGTAAGAAAATTGCAACCGAAAACCGAACAGAGAGGCAGAACTTCCTCAGTTCCCAAGGAAACAAGCAAATGTCACACCTCGCTGCTCGTCCACACGGCCATCCCCTCCCAGGATGAGGGGGGGAGGCAGGCCCCCCCCCCCCCCCCCCCCCCGGCTACCCAACAACTCCAGTTCATTGGCTAATATGCCATCTGGGGCGATCGCCAACTCTGGCCTCGGTTTCCTTGCAGCGTGTTGCCTTTTTCAGGACTGTCATTTGATGCCTAATACCGTCGCCTCGTGTTGTGCGGTGCTGGTGGAGCTGCTTCAGCTTTCGTTCGGGTGAATGTCTCTCCTGCCCCACTCCGTAAGCTTTCTTGTGCTTTGTTTCACCTCCGGCCTGCTCGTGCACCGCCTGAGCCGTCCTGGTCCTTGGACAGGGGTGCTCTCCAATGTTTCCTCTTCCCGGTTTGTGGTGGCCCCTTCGGTTCAAGATTGTTTTTCAAGGCTCTCTTTTTGTCGGCATTGGCCTCTGGGGGGTTAGGCGGAGAGCTGCATGCTCTTCTCCGGTGTAGGGGTCTCTGCTCTTTTGGTCCTGGTGGTAGGTTGCTTTGTTGCAGCCTTCTCCATCTTTTCTGGCGAAGAAAGAGACGGCTGCTTTCTGGAGGGATCCTTGGGTCATTGATGCTTGGTTGGTCAGGCCGGGGTGAATCGTGTGTTTTGTCTGGTTGCGGCTCTCCGCCGTTATCTGCGCGCCTCGACTTCAGTGGCTGGGAATGTGCTTATGGTGGCAACCTCCCTTATAAATGTGGGGAATTATAAAAACATTAATTGAGTCACATATGTCATAATTTTGTTGAAGTACAGTATTGGATATGGTATTTTGAGGTTTTTATTCATGGTAAAAATTTGTCCCAAAGGCGAAGAAAAAGAAACTGGCTGGCCCTGCAGCTTCATATGAAACAAGGAGAGGCAGATAAGTCGGGCTCCAGCCAGGAAAATCAGGACCGCATTCAGAGGAAACTTGGCCGCTACCGAGACAAATACCTCTTCAATAAGAACAACAGACCCACCCCATGGTGTAAGTTAACATAATATGGTTTTGTTACTGAACTTATGGTGTTCAGCTACTTCATTTTCAGGAAATACCTTAAGAATGCTTCTTCACACTGACTTTAAACCAACAACAATTATGTCCGTTCATTCATTACATTTTCAACACCTTGTCTGTTTTCATTTGGTTGAGTAGGCATCATCTCAGAGTAAATAAGGGGAACAATACACAGTATTGAAATATAGATGTCGGTATTTACAAAGATATACAGTATACCACTTGTCAATTTATTATATTATTCTCACTACATGCAGTCAATAAATCATGATTATGTGGCTGAAAACTCTGGTCAACATCGAAAACTGTCACTCTACAGTCACACTTTGGATTTTGGCTGAATGGTAGAGCGATGGTCTTGCTTTTCATCTGAGCACTGAGTGTTCATCTGAACACTCCAGGTCAGTGTTCAGATGAACACTGACCTGGTAGAGCAGGTCAGTGTTCAATCCCTGATCGTTCAAGTGATTAGGCACCATTCCTTTACTTCATCCTATCCTTAATCCTTATCCTCCTATCCCTTCCAAGTGCTTTATAGTCATAATGGCTTGGTGCTTTCTCCTGATTTGTCACCAGGATATTAGAAACATTGTGGAACACACAATGATAAAATGTGTTCGGATCATCTAGCATATTACCTTTTTCTACAGTGAATAACTTATTAGTACAGGAGTAAATAATAAATAATGATGAGAGTAACATAAATTAAGTCTGGAAGGATAAAAGTGTAATGCCAACACAGGCGACTCGCCAGCACTGCCAGCACCAGGCAAATATAATAATACTAACTTAACATTATAGATGTTTTGCCACCTAATGTTCGAGATGATATGGAGAATGTCTTTTTGACTCTGTAAGTGAGAATTAGAACAAAGAAGCTACGTAACAATATCTACAGACTAATATATATATACTGTACAGTATATGTATACTGTTTATATTTATACGAGCTTAAACTGTTTGCATAAATCGGTAGGAACAATGAGGATTTTCTCCCCAGTTTGTTCATATATAAATCACGTTAATGTGATTTCATCGTGCACTAAACTATTTGTTACTGACATATATATCTACTAGTTTAAGCCATTTAATGATACACATATACCATGGCATTTGTCTCCAGATCCAACTCAAAAGATGCCAAGAGCGCTGTCTACATCAGCCTCTCTCTTCCGCTCTCTGTTACACAAAACTGAGCTGATGGGTCTCAGCACAGAATCTCAGCCAATACAGTCCGCAAATGTTGGCGACATCAGGAAAAAATGGCATATTCCTCCGGCGTTCAAGTGAGTATATATATTAGTTTTTATTGTATTTTCTTCCAATATAATATGTATTTGTGAACCGTATATAATGTCATATATCAGCAAATATTTAAGAAAGAGTTTACAAATTAAATCAAAATCTAATTATCTACCATTGTGGCTATGTAATATGATATACGTATAATGACTAAACCACACATCAGAAGGTGGAGAAATGACGTTGTTTCGGTTCGTGCCGGATCATTATCGAGTTGTCTTGACTTGACTCGACTCGCACATGACTCGATAATGGTCCAGGACGGAAACATCGTCATTTCTCCATCTTCTGATGTGTGGTTTGGTCATTAATATCTTCAGCAACATCGTCATCTGCGTGCTATACATGTGATATAAAAATTGCTCTTTTTGCAGTGTGGAGTTTATCAGTTACTATCTCGACCGCACAAATCGCTTGTCTGAGATGAAGGAACGCTTAGATCAACTTTTAACTGAAAATTCTCAATTAATGGAAGAGGAGACAGAACTCAGATTCAAGTAAGTCAAATGCTATTATTGGCAAGATTTTAGGTATTTCAGTAAATTTGTCCCTGTACAGTCAATTATTTTCTCCTGTGCAACACGGGGGTGGGGGGGGGGCAGTTTAGATTTGTTTATTTATTATTTTGCATATTTTTGGTATTATTTTCACTTATTTATTCAAAGATAATGTTCAAGGCATCTTTTCTCATCAAGGGCTACTGAGCAGTCATAGCACCAGGAACACACACTATCAAGGGCTACTGAGCAGTCATAGCACCAGGAACACACACTATCAAGGGCTACTGAGCAGTCATAGCGCCAGGAACACACACTATCAAGGGCTACTGAGCAGTCATAGCGCCAGGAACACACACTATCAAGGGCTACTGAACAGTCATAGCGCCAGGAACACACACTATCAAGGGCTACTGAACAGTCATAGCACGTGGAACACACACTATCAAGGGCTACTGAACAGTCATAGCACGTGGAACATACACTATCAAGGGCTACTGAACAGTCATAGCACGTGGAACACACACTATCAAGGGCTACTGAACAGTCATAGCGCCAGGAACACACACTATCAAGGGCTACTGAACAGTCATAGTACGTGGAACACACACTATCAAGGGCTACTGAACAGTCATAGCACGTGGAACACACACTATCAAGGGCTACTGAGCAGTCATAGCACGTGGAACACACAAGAGGACTGTTTGAGGCTTCAAGAAGACCTAGACAAGCTGAAGGAATGGTCGAACAAATGGTTGTTAGAGTTTAACCCAACCAAATGTAATGTAATGAAGATAGGTGTAGGGAGCAGGAGGCCAGATACAAGGTCTGGGAGAGGAAATTCTTCAGGAGTCAGAGAAGGAAAAAGACTTGGGGGTTGATATCACGCCAGACCTGTCTCCTGCAGCACATATCAAGCGGATAACATCAGCGGCATATGCCAGACTGGCCAGCATACGAACGGCATTCAGAAACTTGTGTAAAGAATCATTCAGAACTTTGTATACCACATATGTCAGGCCAATCCTGGAGTATGCAGCCCCAGCATGGAGTCCATATCTAGTCAAGGATAAGACTAAACTGGAAAAGGTTCAAAGGTTTGCCACCAGACTAGTACCCGAGCTGAGAGGTATGAGCTACGAGGAGAGACTACGGGAATTAAACCTCACTTCGCTGGAAGACAGAAGAGTTAGGGGGGACATGATCACCACATTCAAGATTCTGAAGGGAATTGATAGGGTAGATAAAGACAGTCTATTTAACACAAGGGGAACACGCACAAGGGGACACAGGTGGAAACTGAGTGCCCAAATGAGCCACAGAGATATTAGAAAGAACTTTTTTAGTGTCAGAGTGGTTGACAAATGGAATGCATTAGGGGGTGATGTGGTGGAGGCTGACTCCATACACAGTTTCAAATGTAGATATGACAGAGCCCGATAGGCTCAGGAATCTGTACACCTGTTGATTGACGGTTGAGAGGCGGGACCAAAGAGCCAGAGCTCAACCCCCGCAAACATAACTAGGTGAGTACAACTAGGTGAGTACACACTATCAAGGGCTACTGAGCAGTCATAGCACGTGGAGCACACACTATCAAGGGCTACTGAGCAGTCATAGCACCAGGAACACACACTATCAAGGGCTACTGAGCAGTCATAGCACCAGGAACACACACTATCAAGGGCTACTGAACAATCACAGTAGCTTAAGGGTCAAATCGGTTTGAGTTTTGGAATGTTGTTGAAGGGAAGGGAATGACAAAATAGGACAAGTGGTGCACAGGACAGTATAATACAGTACTGCATGAGCAGCGTTCCTCCTGAGTTGCCACAGCCGACAAAGTACAGGGTACTAAAACACACAAATCTATGTGACTGACCTAACCTAACCAACCTACACATAGAAAACATGGATGTTTATGAGCTGCTGCCTTTTATAATACCCCGTATTTTGTCCGTTGGGGATGATAGTGTGCAAGGTCCAGTGCACTAAGGGGACAGGATGGTATGAGAGTGGAGAAAGTTTCCTCACCGGTGAATCTCTTGAGTGAGCAACGTGATCTAGGTGTAAGGGTAGTGTGTGAAGAGTATAAGTGATTCATAAAACCTTAGTTGATAGTCCTGTGGTTAATTCATTGATTACTAATCAAATTATAAAATGAGTGTATTATTGCATGTTTCTTTACACTTCTTCTGTTCCATTTACTTTGCAGTGGGAATGGGTGGATAAATGTATTTAAATGTTAAAAACGTTCATGTCTGCTATACCATGTATTCATTGGGTATGTATGATTAAATCATAAACAAGACAGTTCGATAAAGCTCATTTTCTGATTGTGAAAACTGTATGTATCATTGGGTTAGGCAGTGTTAGGCTCAGATGGGTTACACTAAGTTGGTTTGGGTTGGGTTAGGTTGGGTAAGGTAAAGATGGGCTAGGTTGGGTTAGGTTATTTTGGGTAAAGTTAGGATAGGTTAGGTTTGGTAAGGCTAAGTAGGTTTTAAATGTGTTGATGAACCATCTTTTTAATATTACCACAGGTGTAATAACATGGAGGCAGACTGTGAGAACATGAAATCGGAGAATGATATACTTCTGAACAAGGCCTTGGAACTCCACGATGTTCTCAAGGGCCTGGCGGGACGACCTCTTCCCCTTCCACCTGTTGTGGCTGCCTTGCACAACCCTCCCAGTCCGCCACTACCCACTAGGCCTCTTCCTAAAGGCAGTTTACGCGGACCAATCATGACGAAAGCAGCGGCCAAGATGATGATGACGGAGCAGGCACCACCAACAGGAGGTGGGTGCTGGCCCGTCAGATTGCAAGGTCATTGCTGGTATTATTTTTTTTTTCTGTCTCCCTCTATTCCTTTGTTCTCTTGAAAGTTATCTTTACCATATTTGCTACATGTATTCTCTAGTCTGATTCTGAATTTCTATTTGTAACAAATATCTACCAGTTTCAACTTTGGCTTGACTGAACAGGTAAACACCCTTAAAAGGCTTACATTTTAAGACATAAATTTAATAAGATATAATTTAAGTGGTGACATACATTGGCATAAAAAAATCCATTCAATTAAAATTAAAATGATGAGACTTGGACTATGTATAACATGAATTGATTGTAACTTGCATAATTGATGAATTACAAGAGCCATGTTGAGTAACACATTTTTGGCATATGAATATGAATACTGTATTGGAATAAGTTGTAACCCAGCAGGCTCAGGGACCACCATGAATCTAACTCACTTGGAGCACACATTGATTGATGTTTATTCATTATTGTACAGGCATTATACATTAATAGTTCCTGTTAATATTATCTTGCATTAATTTGTTTAATCTTTTGAAGTAGATTTACCACATATCTTGAGGGGGTTATCTTGAGATGATTTCGGAGCTTAGCGTTCCCGTGGCTTGGTCCTCGACCAGGCCTCCTTTTTGTTACACATTCCCATGAAGCAGCCCGTAGCAGCTGTCTAACTCCCAAGTACCTATTTACTGCTAGTTGAACAGGAGCATCAGGGTGAAAGAAACTATGCCCATTTGTTTCCGCCTCCACCAGGGATCGAACCCGGAATCTCAGGACTGAGAGTCCGCAGCGCTGTCCACTCAGCTGTCAGGCCACATAGCACAAAAAAAAAAATCTGAAATATTTCCAAATATATGGCATAAAATATTAATAATGTTAGCCAATTTGTGTACATCAGACATATTTTTCACTGCCATATTGCAGTAAATTTCTAGTGGCTAATTTGTTATTTCTTTTTACAGATGTACTTCCAGGCTCTTTGACACTAAACAGATGTCTTGTCTGCCAACTGACAAAAGAACAACATTTACTGATTGAATGTGACACGTGCGGACATTACTATCACCTTTCATGCCTGGATCCACCTCTGACACGCATGCCGAAGAAGACCAAGCAGATGGGATGGTAGGCACTTGATTTCAACTTCAATTTGTGGATAACATATATATGGCATAATCATGTTTTCTTTATTCAAATTATGCTCTATAAATTATAGTGGGTGTACGTGTACTCGTAATACTGTAATTACATCTCAAATTGTTACGCCATCATGTTCGTATCTTGAAATATTCCGAAGTTGGAATACCTTTCTCGATTGTCGGTTTGCGATCAAAACAACCATTTAACATTTTATTTGGCAAATTTTAACACCTTAGTTTCTTTATCTTCTTAGACTCTTTATTTCACAAAGTGAAGACTAATACCTTGGTTTACCTTGTGTTGTTTCCAGGGGTCAAGGTCCCCCATGGCCCGGTCTCTGACCAGGCCTTCAAGGGCACAGTTTTGACAGTAAATACAGTAATAAGTTAGATTCTCATAACATGAGCATTATTTTATCTGAAGGTAAATATAATTTTGGTTTATTGCAGGCAGTGTTCTGATTGCTGTAAATCTTCAGACTCTGATAAAGCCCCAGAAGTTGATACAGCAGCACCTCGCAGACTGCGTAGAAATATTAAAGAGCCGGCAAAATTTTCACCCTCAATAGCATCAGAACCAAAGGTACAGTAAGCTATTATTTGAATAATGTATTATTCATAAAATATATTCTAAAATTCAGATTTAAAGATCCTTGGTTTTCAATGGTAGTTTCTGAATATTAATCAACATTGGATTTTGAAGAAACTGAGATAAAGAAATAGAGAAATATATAATAGATAAAGGTTGATTTACCATTATATTCTTTATTTAATTATACTATATATAATTACAGAGCTGTGATAGTGGGGATAAGAGCCATCCTAGTGGAGGTATGGCAAGCAACACCTTCTCAGACATGATTCATTCTGAAACTGACAAGCCTCCAGTTCATCTCTATCACCCTGGAGTAGCTTCTGTGCCTCTGAGTTTTGAGGAGTCGCTGGATTCTGCCGGTATTGCTGGGAAAAAGAGAAAAATGACCGACATTAAGAAAGTTGGAACAAATAAAAGGAGAAAATCACAGGGTGAGGGAGAGACCACCTCGGTGGATTCCGTTCCAGGAAATGTGTCGGCCGAGTCCAGTCCTACCAGTAAGATGTCTCCTACCACTGCTCGTGTAAAGAAAGGTTCTCTTGAAAGTACAGGGCCAGATATCCTTGAGATCGTAGCCCTTGAGACTCGTTCAGCTCGAGGAAAGAAATTTTCTTCCGAGTTACCTGTAACAACTGCTTCCTCAGAAGTTTGCGTGTCTACGTCCACGACAACCGCCGTGACATCTACAATATCAGTTGTATCTACTACAGTATTAATGACATCTACTACTACTACATGCACAACTCAAACCCCAGAACCTACCTCCCCAAGCAAGACTCGTCGAGCTCCAGCAGACTCGTCCCCTTCGTCTTTAGTTCCTCATGTTACTTCCTCTCCTTCTCGTCAACGACGTCAACCCTCTGAATCTGGTGAAAGTTCACCACGCCCGCTGGTGTCGTCTCCTTCTCGCAGTCGGAGGAACTTGACTGAGCCTACTGTTGATTCCACTGATGTTCTACCTCAACCTCCTCCACAAACAGATGTTGATACAATGTCTACCTCTGGTAATCCTACAGCTACAGTTTCTGAGAGTTCAGAAGCGTACTCTCGTAAACGAGTGGCTTCCAACGTTCACTTGGATACAAGTGTAGAATCTCTACCTTCTGTCACCTCCTTACATTCTCCCACTTCTGAATCGCTCCATAGTGCAGAAGATGATCCAACTTCCCCTCGAAAGGAGAAGAGACATCGTGATGGAAGCAAGAAGAAGAAGAAAGATAAGGATAAAGATAAGGATAAGGAGCTAGAAGGGGGTAGAAAGAAAAAGAAACATCACCACCGTGATAAACACGGCTTAGGAGAAATGGCATCTGAGATGGTCACTCCTGTGAGAATCAAGGTTGGTATCTCCTTTCTTTGTGTTTATACTACATATTCTTTCCTTTCTACCCGAGACTTAAGATATATATTCCAATGCTGTATCCACTGATCCTCTATTTTGTAATAGAATTTATTCGTTTTAGGTAGAACAGTTGTATGTAGTCACAGAAACATTACCATAGAGGAAGTGAAAGTAATTGTTGCTCCTCCCATTGATGATTCCCTACTGTTGTTGATCCTTTCCCACAGATGATTGTTTACCTTAGCTTCAATCACTGCAATGCCACTTGGTTGTCTACTTAATCCCTTTTACCATGCCCTTGCAATAAATACAGATTTCCCATTCTTTTGTCTTTGACCTTTACCTGTATATTTCCTGATATAGGTCTTCCTGTCTACTTTCTTGTTTATCTCATTGCCGAGAACAATCCCCATTTTGTGGACAGTGGTCTCTCTCTACAAACCTGAAAGTCATGTGAGATTCTAGAAAATAGAATCTATACAGGGCTGTAAGAGCTGCTATCTCACTACCTTAAGGTAACCTTCAAGTGTTTTTGGGTCTTAGCGTCCCTGCGGCCAGGTCCTCGACCAGGCCTACCACTACACCAGACTCCCCACGTACCTCCTCTATAACTGACCCAATCCTTCATTGACCAATCATTCTCAATCGACTTGAGAATGGTCCAGGACGGACCAAAACGTCGTCATCCCTTCACCTTCTAGTGTGTAGTCTGGTCAACATACTGTAGCCACATTATTGTGACTTATCGCCTGCCACTGCAAACTGCACAGGTCACATACCCACCTGGACCATATACAGGCATACCTCAGAATAAGAGTTTAATCCGTTCTTGGAGACGCCTCGCCTTCCGAAAACTCGCATTCCGAAGTTAATTTCCCCATAAGAAATAAAGGGAAATGAATTAATCCGTTCCTGACTACCCCAAAAACCCCACATCAAACTAAATTTTTATACCTAATTCATCTAAATAAACCTACAAAACTGTGTTCCAGTTATTACTTACCTTACTGTCGAGTGCTGTAGGCGTATGGAGATGGTGAGGAGGGGGGAGGAGGAGAGGAGTTACTGTTTGGAAGGGGAGTCCCCTTCCATAATCACATCACATAACCCCATGCCTTGTAACACTATGGATACCACTTCTCTTTCTAAATTTTTCAAACCAGCCCCTGCTTGCCTTAAACTCTTTCTTATCTGCATCACTCGTTGCAGGGGTATTCTTTAGAAGGTCTTCGTGCAACACCCTGGCTTTCTCACAAATAATGGCCTCCGAAACACTATCACCCCTCAACTCCTTGTCGTGTATCCAAATTAATAACAACTTTTCCACTTCTTCAAGTATTTGTGCCGTTAATGTTCTTACTCCTTTTGCCACTTTAGCACCCATAATCTTATTTTTCTTCTTAAGTATAGTGCATATTGTTGATGTGGCTTTGTTGTACTGCCTACAAAGTTCAACAACACGTGTACCGTTCTCATGCTTCCGAATGATCTCTTGTTTCTCCTCTATTGTCATCCTCACAGGAGCTTTCTGGCCTTTATCCTTACCACTGGCTTTCTTGGGACCCATGGTGAGATATATAATAACAAATTGTATAGACAAATCACCAAAAATCCAACAAAACACTGAAAATCCGCGAGAAGAATTGATGTGGGGGTAGTCACTGAGCGCCAGACAATAATAAACTGAGGGGCGGCGGGGCGGAGGGGCGACGAACGCGCTAGGTCGGCTGTACGCGTATCAACAAACTCGCGTCCAAACTCGCCTCCCGAAGTAACCCTCGCCTTCTGAGACAAATTTTTGGAGTAAATACACCTCGCCTTCCGAAAATCTCGCATACAGGGACAATCGCATTCCGAGGTACCACTGTATTACATAACCTTCCCTAACTTGAGCTCCCCAGAAACCACTACTGGCTGTATGTGACTCAGTACAGTAACGTATGAGAGAGAGAGAGGAGGGGGGAAAGTTAAGAGGTCAATAGGGAGAGAGAGGGAGGGGAAAGAGAATAGATTAGAACAAAGTATGTATGCTATTGGCTCTAATGGTCCAAATGTTATTCACAATGAGTGTTCGTGTTAATATCTGTCTCCTCTCACCTTCAGTAATTCTTAACCTCTGAGGCTATTCTTATTGTATTACATATTTTCTCTTATTGAATTAGTTTTAGGATTTCCATATCTCGGTTAGAATTAGAAACCTATTCGTAATTACATATAAAAATCATTATTATAATGGCGGGACTAAACAGGTGTAGAGTATAAATTGTCATCCACACTTCCGTGGAAATAAACATTCCATTCACGTGGGCTGTATGGGTCTGGAACCCGACACAGCCCAGGTTCAAACTTTCCTCGTTAAAACTACTCGTAGCCCAGTGGATAGAGCCTGGGCCTCACACGCGCGGGGTCCACGATTTGAGACCCCATACAGCCCAGGTGACTGGAAGGTGTAGAGTAACATTTAGCTTACAATTTGAATGGTGACAACAATTATTGGTAAAACAAAGTGTAGTTTACCATTAGAGGGTTGAAACAGATATTGGTAAAGATTCAGTATACTATACTGTACTGTGTCACAAGATTAAGATGATATGACGATTTGATGGAGAACTAATATAAATTAATCATATAATGATGTTATAGAAATTTGCACACCCTCAGCATTCTACATACCGTATCACCTAATCTGCTTGCATTATGTCTCCATATCTTTTCCTCTAAATCTGATAAACTTTAGATAATTATCACTGTTATTCTATCTTGAATCAGCTAACATGCCCTTGATGCTTCTTAGGTAACCTGCCTAATTATTCGGCCTGTTCCCTTGATTTACCACTTGGTAAAAAATGCAAACATTCTGCCTAATGAGAAATGCACAAACCCAAGCAACTCGTTTAACCTTCACAGGCCTGTTCAAAGAAAATGTTACTATTACAGTGCAGTAATTTTAACTAGTACATCACATTTTTAAATGATTGGTCAGTTCTGTAAAAACAACAAAATGTGAAGGATTAGGTGAGAGGTGGAGTTGGATTACTATGCGTACCTCCGAGCTTGTCCCAGCAACTAATGTGGTGTCAAGTATAATGTGTGTGTGGGGGGTACTATGTTATGTGTAGTGCTTATGAACGGTAAACAAATATATTTAGTGATGTTCTGGTGTTCTAGTACAGTGGTCATCGATAATTGTTTGCCCCATGCACCTTTTTCACCATATGTCACAATGTTGTTCTCCCGTTTCTAAGATTGTCTGATTCAAAAGTTGCATTTCAAATAATATAGATATACTGTATATATATATTAAATTAATATATAAATAATTATATAAGTAATTTACTCCTGAGTAATTCAGCAGGTATACACGATCCTGCTTTCACTGAATGTTCAAATCAGTGGGATGCTCTTGCAGCCCCAGCACCCATCATAGAACCATTAAAAAAACACAAACAGTCCAGTTGGGATTACCCACTAGTAGAAAAAAAAAAGCTGATGCCATGCTCAGCGCCGCAACATCAGACAAGGAGAAAGCCCGCCTCAGAGCAGTGCGTGCCCCCCATGCAGGAGACTTCCTCCTGGCAGTACCCATGTCAGCAATGGGCACGCGCCTAGATCCAGAATCCCATCGTGTAGCAGTGGCCCTCCACCTTGGTGCCCCAATTCACACTGAATACAAGTGTATTTGCAACAGGGTGGAAGCAGACCAATATGGACTGCATGGATTGCATTGCGGAAGCACAAAGGGCTGGCATGCAAGACACAACGAGGTCAATGACATCATCAAGATACGCCTTGTCTCAGCTAGGTGCCCAGCGGAGAAAGAACCTCGCATCCTAGGGGTCCAAAACCCAGATTTCCCCGCACTTCGCCCGGATGGCATCGCCATTCACTCCTGGAAAGGGGGCAAACAGTTAGTGTGGGACTACACATGTGTATCCACCCTGGCTGACACCTATGTACACTTCGGTGCTGATCAAGCAGGTGGGGCGGCCAACCACAGGGAAATAGGAAAATCAGTCAAATACAGGTGATTGGAAGGTCAATACATCTTTGTTCCCGTAGCGTCTGAGACGCATGGCCCCTGGGGCAAGAGTGCCTAGAGATTTCTCAAGGAATTAGGTTCCCAGCTCATTGATGTCACCAGAAACCCAAGAGCTGCCAGATTTTTGTTTCAGTGACTCAGTGTGGCGATCCAGAGGGGAAACGCCTGCTGCATCCTCGGTTCCTGTTCGGAAGCGGATGAGCTTCAAGAGATCCACAACCTTTGAGAAATCTTTGCATCAACCAATGTACATCTTGTAACCTTTAAGTATATACAATAAAGCAAAAAAAAAAAAATCACAAGGAAGGGGGTGGTAGGAGAAAAGCACACACAAACTGTATTGGAGGGGACCTAAACATTCCCTCTAATGCGTTATGTGTGGTTTCCTCCGAGGCTAAGAGTCCCCTTCTTCCAGCCAGAGGTGGTACTCCCTTCCCTATTTAAAAGAAAAACTAAATAAATAAATATATATATATATATATATATATATATATATATATATATATATATATATATATATATATATATATATATATATATATATATATAATAATGAAAATCTTAAATTTTTTCTTTATTGGTACATATACATTTACTTGGATTGTTTATATAGTGGAGATTTACAAATTTGATAACAATAGAGAATGTTGATGGATTTTAAAAGTTGAAAAACTAGTTAATCCAAATTCATCCCTTTCTCTTCCCCCCCCCCCCATACCCCACAAGGACCCTAACATTCGCACCCTCAGGGAAGCCATTCCCTATTGGTTGAAAACTTCTTCTAGTGACTGCTACATACACATCTAGTTTTAAATATAAACATTAACTTCAGTATGAATGTGTGTTCTAATGTTACTGATACTCAACAGATAAAACCTCTTCCACCACGCCCAATGGAAGAGAATGGGAGCGGAACTAACTCGACGACTCTACCCACACCATTAAATTCGGCACCTGCAACAAACCCAGTTTCTATGGCTTCCATTTCTACCACTGCCACAACAACCACTACCCCTACTTCACTCATTCGTCCAAGCTACCAGACAATGACTCCACCTGCAGGGTATCCACCTCTACCGCCTGGTTACACACTAACACAACCAATGGCACCGCCAACTTCCTCGGTTGTGCCTACGTCGGCTCCTAGTCATTCTAACACGCATCTTCCAGCAGTTTCCATCACTTCTCAAGCTCCCACGGTGAGATACATACTCGCTATGTACAACTGTTGCGTACCTACATATATGTAAACAATATTATATTTTCAAAGAGTTGATCTTTTAAAGAACTCAAATTTGGGTATAGTACTTATACCTATCCACCTTTACCTATACCTTTATCCAAGACAATCATAAATAATATGTAAGTACAAATATTTAGGTGTATCTGGTAGAGCTTTTCCTACCGCTGTATTTTCTAAAGTTATTTACCTGAATTTACCTGAGGGCCACTAATACTAGTGGCCTCGACGAGGACAGGAAGCTGACGACTTGTCAAAGGGCCCCCTCCCATTTGCTCGGATGATCTTTTCTATCTATATTTTAAACCCCAGCAGAGTTTTGCCGTTTACGGCTTCCGCAGGAAGGCGGTTCTACGGGTTTACAACGCTTTGGGTGAAAAATCATCTCCTGTTTTCTGTCCTACATTGTGGCTTGTTGAGCTGGAACCCGTTGCTCTTCTTTCGTGTTACATCTGACCTTTTGAAGAAAGTGTCCAGATCAACATCGTCCAAATTGTTTAGTATTTTAAAGGTTTCTATGAGATCCGCCCTGTCATGCTTGTCTGCAGTGTTGTTAGCCCTTTGGCCCTCAACCGTTCCTGATACGAGAGATGACTAAACTCTTGTATGATTTTTGTTGCCCGGTGTTGCACCTACTCCAGAACAGCTATGTCTTTCTGGAGATGAGGTCTCCATGCCTGGATGCAACAATCCAGGTGGGGCGCACCAGAGACGTGCACAGTTGAACGGCTACTTTCTTTTCCTTGAAGGTAAAGGTACACTTGATTATTCCCAAGGTTTGGTTTGCCTTTTTTTTTTTTCTGCCGCTTCCACTTGTGCAACTTTTAGTGAACGATGGATTCTGATACCAATGTTCTTTTCTTCATCTATCTGTTGTGAGGTAGTGCTGTCAATTTGGTAGTTGTGACGTGAATTGTTATGACCCACATGCAAGGTCTTGCAATTACCGACATTAAAGAGCATTTGCCAGTCATCTGACCATTTATGGAGTTCATGTAGATATCTTTGTAAGGTCTCAATATCACCTTCACTTCCCACTTTACCATAGATCTTAGTGTCATCTTCAAATTTGATGATGTGGTTTGTAATATTCTCACCTATGTCATTGATCTATATGACCAAAGGGTTGGACCCAAAATAGATCCCTGTGGCACCCACTTAGCACATTTCCCCAGTCAGATTCATTCCCATTTAACACGACCCTTTGTTTTCTATGTTTTAACCATTGTTTTATCCATTCCCATATTCTCCCATTTATTCCATGTGCCTGTAATTTCTTTGCCAGTGTCTCATGTGGTACCTTGTCAAAAGCTTTAGCAAAGTCCATGTAAGCTACATCTACCAGAAGTCCTTTGTCTGAATAGCCGCATTACCGTTTCCAGAAATGTGAGCAGGTTTGTAAGGCAGGATTTAATTTTAACAAACCCATGTTGCGTTGATTTTACAAGACTGTAAACATCTCTGTGAGATGTTGGATGATTCCCTCCCTTAGGATTATCTCCATGAGCTTGCAGATGTGTGATGTCAAGCTGATTGGATGGTAGTTTTCTGCCCATTTCTTTCTGCCTTTTTTGAAAATGGGTGCAATATTTGCATATTTCCAATCCAGGGGAACTATCCCTTGGTCCAGGGATATTGTGAACAAGAGTTGCAGTGGTATGCATAGTGCATTTGCCAGTTCCTTTACAATCTTGGATTGAAATCCATCCTAGGTCTTTAGAGTCTTTATGTTTGTCAGTGCCCTTCTTGATTGTGTTGCATGTAATGGGTATATCCCTTAATTCATTCTCATCATCATCTTCAAACAATTGTGTGGGTGATGGGATGTCTTTCAGTCTTTCTAGTGTGAACACTGATATAAAGTTACACACAGAAATCACACTAACGTGATGTATCCACGGCAGGTAGATTAAGGCAGTGTCTGGGTTGCTCCCGGACGCAGGTTCGAATCCTCGTCACGGCCCTTGTGGATTTGTTCACTGATATAAAGTATTCATTCGGAGTGTTTGGTGCCCTTTCATCATCCAACACAACTTGGTTAGTCTCATCTTTTAGGGGTCCTACAGGATCCTTTGTTTTTGTTATGAGTGATACATGAAGAATGTATCACACACATTGATACACATGTGAATCTGATGAGGTCAAAAGGAATCTGTTGGAGCTGAATGCGACAAAGGCTGTTGGGCCTGACAGAATCTCACCGTGGGTATCAAAAGAGGATGCAGGAGCACCAAGTGTGCCACTCTCTACGGTGTACAGTATAACAGGTCACTGGAAACAGGAGACCTACCGGAAAGCTGGAAGACAGCAAATGTAGTCCCATTATACAAAAAGGGTGACAGGCAAGAGGCAGTGAACAACAGGCCAGTTTCCCCTAACTTGTAAACCATGCAAGGTGATGGAGAAGATTGTGAGGAAAAGGCTCGTAGAGCATCTGGAGGGAAATAGCTTTGTAACACACCACCAGCATGGGTTGGTAAACAATTTACCATGAGAGATGGTAAATCGTGCCTCACAGGCTAAATAGAATTCTATGACCAAGCAACAAAAATGAGGCAAGAAAGAGAAGGGTGGGCAGACTGCATTTTCTTGGAGTGTCAGAAAGCCTATGACACAGTACCCCAAAAAACTGTTATAAAAGTTAGAGCAACAGGCAGAAGTAAAAGGTAAGGTGCTTCAGTGGATAAGGGAGTATCTAAGCAACAGGAAACAGCGAGTAACTGTGAAGGGGGAGACATCAGAGTAGCGAGATGTAACCAGTGGAGTCCCACAGGGCTCTGTACTTGGACCCATCCTGTTTCTAATATATGTAAACGATCTTCCAGAGGATATGGACTCATTCCTCTCAATGTTTGCTGATGATGCAAAAATTATGAGAAGGACAGATGAAGATAGACAGATTACAGGACGACCTGGACAGGCTGGAGGAATGGTCTGGAAAATGGCTACTAAAGTTCAACTCAAGAAAATGTAAAGTAATGAATTTAGGCAAAGGGAGCAGGAGGCTGAACATAAGCATCTGGGAGGTGAAATCCTTCAAAAGTCAATTAGAGAGAAAGAACAAATCCTTAAGGGTCGTGACGAGGGTTCAAACCTACATTCGAGAGGATCCCAGATGCGCCTTAATATGGGGGTTGATATCACACGAACCTGTCCCCAGAAGCCCACATTAAAAGGATATCATCAGCGGTATATGCCAGATTGACCAACATAATAACTGCCTTTAGAAACTTGTGTAAGGACTCGTTCAAGACCTTGTATACCACTTACATCAGACCAATCCTGGAATATGCAGCTCCAGCCTGGAGTCCACACCTAGTTAAACACAAAACAAATTTAGAGTAGATTCAGAGGTATGCCACCAAACCAGCCTCAGAACTGAGAGGCATGAGCTACAAGGAAAGGCTAAAGGAGCTGAACCTCACGTCCCTGGAAGACAGAAGAGTAAGGGGAGACATGATAACCAATCTACAAAATTCTTGGGAATTGACAGGGTGGACAAAGAAGAACTATTTAGCACAGGCGAAACACGAACAAGGGGACACAGGTGGAAACTCAGTACCCAAATGAGCCACAGAGACATTAGAAAGAATTTCTTCATTGTCAGTAGTTAGTAGATGGAATGCATTAGGCAGTGATGTGGTGGAGGCTGACTCCATACACAGTTTCAAATGTAGATTTGACAGAGCTCAGTAGGCTCTAGAATCTATACACCAGTTGATTGACTGTTGAGAGGCGGGACCAAAGAACCAAAGCTCAACCCCCGCGTGCACAGTTAGGTGAGTACATATAAAATGTATTGACTTAAAACACACTACACTTATAGTCTGTATTCTCCTATGAGTATTCTTGTTTTTGTCCCCCTATCTGATAATTTAAGAAGGCCTCCATATCAGTTTAGAATCTATAATGCTTCTGTACGATTATAAGAAATTTCTATTTGTACTGAGCATTAAACCTCAATGGAAGCCATTTATAGAAAAAATTCCATGGAAACACATTAAGCTTAAACTCATTTCTGAATATACATTTCTGAGCAAAATAACTCATTTTCTGAGTTTGGTACTTGGCAGCTTCCTTGGCCATTATCACGAGCCTGGTGGAATATAGTAAACTTCAGCCTGGACCAGTACCACTTTTCATCTATGATGCAATGGAGGGATTTTCCTAAGTGTCCCAGCCAGCCCAGGGGCCAGATTCACGAAAGCACTTACACAAGCACTTACGAACGTGTACATCTTTCCTCAATCTTTGACGACTTTGGTTACATTTATTAAACAGTTTACAAGCATGAAAACTTCCCATTCAACTGTTGTTATTTTTATGAACATCCTCCTGGTGCTTCCGAGCTCATTAACTGTTTAATAATTGGAAACAAAGCCGCCAAAATTGAGAAAAGACGTACAGGTTCATAAGTGCTTTCGTGAATCTGGCCCCGGAAGGACTGTCGGTAATACTTCAATAGACTGTAAAAGATTGTTCTGCAATACTTAACCCAAAACTAATTACCTCTCTGGCTGTTAATGATACTCAGGTGGCATCACAAGTAATGTAAATACTTGTAAATACAGATGGTGAAGCAGAATATATAGTACAGTAATTATGAAATTGGAAGGTCAGAAGCAAGGGAGGAGGGGATGGGGGTTATCTTGAGCTCATCTTGAGATGATTTCGGGGCTTTAGTGTCCACGCGGCCCGGTCCTCGACCAGGCCCCCACCCCCAGGAAGCAGCCCGTGACAGCTGACTAGCACCCAGGTACCTATTTTACTGCTAGGTAACAGGGGCATAGGTTGAAAGAAACTCTGCCCATTGTTTCTCGCCGGCCCCCGGGACCACAGGATCACAAGTCCAGTGTGCTGTCCGCTCGGCCGACCGGCTCCCCATCTGCTTACTTACATTTGGGTGCAGCTAGAGGCTTCTTCAACCATTTGTCCATTCTTGATTGACCACACCACAGCCGGAGGTTGATGATGATGATGACGGGTCAATTTTGTTTATTATCTTTTGAATGGAATTCTATAACTTTTAAACGGTTTTAATTTGCTTTGCCCTCCTGAAATATAAATGCAGTTAAAGTTATAAACCTGAAGATTTGTATTATTGAAATTGCTATTTTATGCGGCCTATCTCAAACCAGTTTGAGATAGACAGTTTCAATTTGTGTTTCCCTGGAAACACAAACCGAAACTGTCTCTATTTTCCGCTTGTTACAACTTGTAATAAAGTTGTTCCATCTTGGCTTAACGTGTGTATGACGTAATAGAACGTTGTTACAACTTGCTATATTGGTTATTATAACTGGTTAGGTGTTAAAACTTGTTCGAACGTTGTATCAACGTCGTAGTTTCGGTGTGTGTTTGGCGGGTTCTTGCCTATGGACTTTCAGAATAGAAAGTTGGCTATCATATTTTAAGGTTGTTTGGGTGATATTTGGTCCTTAAATATACACAATATTTTGAAGGTTATGGTCCTGTATTACGAAGCATGGTAAAAACATGCTGCTCTACTATAATTTCTTCCTTAGGCAAATTTTGTCACACATTGCTTAGTGACAGCTTTAGATTGTAGGCTCCAAGTTTGAAAAGAAAGTAAAGAGCAAAAGGTTAGATGATAATTCTTTATGGGACATTTGCACTATTATATGATCTACCTAGGGAGCCGAGCGGACAGCACGCTGGACTTGTGATCCTGTCGCCCGGGGTCGACCCCGGGCGCCGGCGAGAAACAATGGGCAGAGTTTCTTTCACCCTATGCCCCTGTTACCTAGCAGTAAAATAGGTACCTGGGTGTTAGTCAGCTGTCACGGGCTGCTTCCTGGGGGTGGAGGCCTGGTCCTCGACCAGGCCTCCACTCCACTGGGCCGCGGGAACACTAAAGCCCTGAAATCATCTCAAGATAACCTCAAGATAACCATCATGTGGTGCAGAGTAAAGGAAATGTGCACTTGGAATGGTACAGGCCTAAATAAGTGTTGGAGAAAGGGGGAATTACTATCTCATAGTGTTCAAGAAAGAATGTGATAAACACCTCCAAAAGATACCTGATCAAGCAGGCTGTGATTCATATGTCTGGCTGTGATCAACTGCATCCAACAGCCTGGTTGACCAGGGGCCAGATTCACAAAAGCACTTGCGCAAGCACTTACGAACCTGAACATCTTTTCTCAATCTTTGGCGGTTTTGTTTCCAATTATTAAACAATTAATGAGCTTCGAAGCACCAGGTGGCTGTTTATAACAATAACAACAGTTGATTGGCAAGTTTTCATGCTAGTAAACTGTTTAATAAATGTAACCAAAGCCGTCAAAGATTGAGGAAAGATGTACACGTTCATAAGTGCCTGCGTAACTGCTTTCGTGCATCTGGCCCCTGACCACTAACCAGGATGCCATGTCAGAGATCAGTCTGCAGAGACAGTGATCCCCAGAACCGACAACAGATAGGCAAGTGTGTAATGAAATGGTTTTGTAAACGCTCACATACATGATCATATATCTAGTAATATTTATTTTTCAGAGTCATGTTAATACATACACCATGAGTGGAAACACTCAACACTCCCCGGGTTCAAGTAATCGGAGAAGATCAGACCCGAGTGATCCTCAGCAGTTTAGTAAATGTGATGTGTGTGGTGAGACGGGCGGCGTCACAAACACTGTTTCGTAAGTTAAACGAAACGTATTTTGTTGTTTAAAGAATATTGTAATGGATTGATTCTCGCCAAGTTTTTGTAGCTAAACCTTGTGAAAGTTGAAATTATATAAATTGTTTTCATATTGTATAGACTTTAGTAATTAATTACTAAAAGTATGCACCAAGTCGGGGAAATTTATGTAGCTAGACATTTCTAAGTTAGTCCACTTTTATTGTATTTTGTTAAGTGTATCTATTCTGATATACGTACTTCCGCTGATGCAGTTAATTATATTTGTATATTAAATATATACAATTCAAGGGTTGAAATATAAAAAGGGGCTTTTTTATATTTATCTTTGTCAGGGACAATAAGCCTGTACTTAGTGAGAAAATCAATTGGAGTAATACAGGGATTTGAACCAGCGACCTGAGTACTCACTGGTTTGAATCTCCATGGTGCTCCAATTGATTTTCTCACCAATATATCACGTTAGTGTGATTCGTGTACTTGGCCTGATCGCTGTCCCTCCCCACCCCTCTAGGCCAGTTACTTACCTTTCCCAGGATAACAGAGTCATCAGATGAAAGGAAATGTGCCCAACCGTTTCTGTCCTGGGAATTGAACTGGAGTCAATTATATGCAGAGGAAATAGACCACTGTGCTGCAGGCTCCATATATGTTGTCTCATTCCTTTGGCAACTTCCATCTGCCTTATTTCCCCCCCTTCTCCACATCCATGTGATGGAAGAGAGAGAGACTGACAAATTCTCAATTCGGCCCAGAATTATCCTCGGATAATTTCACCACATTCAAAATCTCCAATTAATGCTTGATATGATGGGTGTCATGTAATGCTGTGCTACACCTACCTGACTGCACAGTCATCACTGCCATCCAATGCTAGGTGGCAGCACCAGTTGTGTACAGCACAGGCAACTATTGGTCCTATCTCACTTTCGTCCCGTGCTTCCCAATATGCTTACCTCAGGTTCGTGTGTTGTGGGTAACACTGTGATCACTTTACCATTTTATAGGTCAATCTTTGTCATCTACATTCTAACTTTTTGTAGGATATGTGATCAATTTTTGTGAGGACTTTTACGTATATTAACAGCTAGATGATTTTGTTATGAAAAATGAAGGGTCATGTACAGTACTGAAGCTTCTGTAGTACAAGTATCTCTTTGTTTTTACAGGTGTGATGAGTGCAATAAAGCGTACCATTTTAATTGCCTTGAGCCACCACTTAAGAAGTCTCCAAAACGTCGTGGGTATTCGTGGTTCTGTGAAGACTGTGACAATGCGGTAAGAACAATCAATTTGGCGCACATTCAATGGAGCATTTCTGTTCCTCAAGGCATTTGAACCTCTTCACATGAACTGTTCCCCCCCCCCCCCCCCCCCCCCCCCAGTTTGTATGTTGTAGTTCATTATAGCATATTTTCCTCCCGGCTGTGTAGCAGTTTTTTTTATGTACGTCCAGTACTGTACGTATTGTGTGTGTCAGTTTTTAAGAGTTATGTGGAACTCGGACTGAAGTCCAAGATGTCTTAAGACCCACACACTTCAGTTTATTTATGTTTGCTTATTTTTGTGTGTATATGATTAGTTTTCTGTGTGTACATAAATGTATTTGTGTTTGCATGTATTTAAATTTGTGTGTATGCATGTACAGGACTCTTCATCTAGAGAGACAATTAAATATTAAAGTAGGTCAACCTGTTTCATTATGTTACACAAAGTAATTAGAGACCAAAAAATCAATAATAAAAGCTGTTTAGTGATACAATATTTTAACTTCAATTAAAATTTTGGAATTTCATATCATTTCAGTGTTAAATAAGTGTAATAATAATTCCACCCCTTATCTTGAAGTGAAACTATTTGTCAATTTGAATAAAATTAAAATTTTCACTTCATTTATGCTTTGTTCTTCATAGTCGGTCTTGATATGCCGTACAGTGGAACCTCGGTTGCCGAACGTCCCTCTTTAAAAAATATTTGGGTTATGAGCTCAATTTCTTCGTAAAATTTGAATCGGTTTATGACATTTGCCTCGCTTTGCGAGTTTATTGATACACGTATGGGTCGAGCGAGCGCATGGTTCCTGGTGGCACGAGCGACCACGCTTCAGTTTACCAGTATCTCTCAACTAGTGACGATCCCACTTGAATTCTTTGTAAAGAATTTCATTGTTTTTCAGCTTTTCTGGTTTCTAAACATTAAAGTAATTATTATATACCATGCCATGGGTCCCAAGAAAGTCAGTGGTAAGGTTCAACTTAAGAAAATAGTTGTGAGTTGAGGCAGTATCTTGAGGTTATCTTGAGATGATTTTCGGGGCTTAGCATTCCCGTGGCCCGGTCCTCGACCAGGCCTCCTATTTGTTACACATCCCCCAGAAAGCAGCCCGTAGCAGCTGTCTAACTCCCAGGTACCTGTTTACTGCTAGATAACAAGGGCATCAGGGTGAAAGAAACATTTTGCCCATTTGTCTCTGCCTCCACCGGGGATCGAACCCGGAACCTCAGGACTACAAATCCGAAGCACTGTCCACTCAGCTGTCAGGCGCCCTGATTAGAGGATATCCCTTCCTCATTAAGAAAATGTGTGAAGTATGGGAAGAACTGCAAAGTTTTGTCGAAAAAACTCACCCAAATAAAGCTGTAGCAGGCCATTGCATTAACCTTTTGAACAACAATGTGATGTCTCACTACAGATAAGTGTTAAAATGTAGGGAAAAACAAGTGTCTTTAGACAGAATCTTAGTAAGACAAGCAAGCAAGCAATGAGCCACAAGCAGGTCCTGGCGGTATATCTGCAAAACGTAGGAGAGAGAGTACCCCAGAAAAGTCATCACTGCCTGATGTTATAATGGAAGGGTACGCCCCTTCCAAACACTAACACCTTTTCTCATCCCCCCCCCCTTCCTCACCATCTTCCATACGCCAACAAGAGTCATCAAAAAAGGTAAGCTGTAACTTGTACATACTATAGTACAAAATATGTGGGTGTATTATGTATGAAATGTATTTTGAAGTTAATATTTTTGGGAGTGTGGAACAGATTCAATTAAATATTTCTTATAGGAAAATTCGTTTCGGTTTGTGAATTTTCGGTGTATGAGACGTCTCTGGGAATGGATTAAATTCGAAAACCAAGGTAACACTGTATATATAGGTAAGCCTAGTAAATAATGTTTGGTAGTGGGTTAGAGACAACTGTCAACATTAATGGCCCAAGTTCAAAAGGGAAATTGATAAATAACATCAAAGGATACCTAATGAAGTAGGCTGCCATTTATGTCAGACTGTGAGTAGTGGCTTCTAGCGGCCTGGTTGACCAGACTGCCAATCAGGACCTGGTCAGAGACTGGGCTGCAACGATATTAATCCTTGGAACCACCTCAAGGTAACCTTCCAGCCCCTCTGTTCAACCCCAACTCCTCATCCTCATATCCCCTCCAAGTGCTTTGTAGTCACACTGGTAACACTGGCTTAGTGGTTTCTCCTCATAATTACCTTACCTTTTCTAGCTATATTAGGAAAGAACACACCTTTTATGCAGGCGATGAGTCACAATAACGTAGCTAAAGTATGTTGACCAGACCACACACTAGAAGGTGAAGGGAACGATGTTTCGGTCCGTCCTGGACCGATTCTCAAGCTGGTAATATCAAGTCAATGGACTTGAGAATGGTCCAGGACGGACCGAAACATCGTCGTCCCTTCACCTTCTAGTGTGTGGTCTGGTCAACACACCTTTTACATAGTAGAAATGTAATTAAAATAAAGAAAGCAAATCCCCCCTCTTCTCAAAAAAAAAAAGTCCTTTGGGGCTTGACTCTCTGATTGTGCAGCATTTAAAATTATTTTATATGCTTTAGAACATGTAGAGCCTTTTTTGTTTTACTTGGGCCTTATCTTCTGCAAAAAAATAATAAGATTTAACAGTAAATAAAGTTATTTTGAAAATTGAATCTGTTTATGGAGAAAAATTCCAATCTTTTAAGAGAGGGTGGGAGGCTGCTTGTCGGTCCTTGGTAAGGATAGATCTGTAAAATGGTGTTGCAGTCAGCCGGTAATATAGCAGAGCAATATTTTGGCATATATCCTAGTTGCAGATAAGATCAGTGCCAAAGCATTAAGAAATTTAAAATCCTTATAAGCTGAATAAGTTCCAAATTTTATCATGGTGAATGCCAAAAACAAAAACATAAGTGTACACTTTAATTATATGCTTAGAAAACTGCAAATCTGCAATGTTACATAATCATGACTAAAATCCCTTAAACAAAATATACAGTACTGTATGTATTTTAATGAAATGGTAGATCTGTATGCAAAAGTAAGGACAAGTGTAAAGAGCATTATATATATTTACTGGAACTTGTTGTTGTCCTGGTGTGTGCTATTGGTCATCATTATCTAGACCAGTCATTAGACTAGACCATGCACCCCAAACCCATCTTTGCTGTTAAGGTCCTAAGGCTATGAGCTGCGGCCTCCCAGTTATGCTGGATGCTGCACAGACATAAACACTTCTAACCATTTGTGCTTCCAACTGGTGTTCAAACTTTGGCATTCCAAAAAACCAGCATTGAATGTAATGAAACGCCATTTTCTGGGTGAGCCCCGGAGGCTCCCTGAAGCTATTCAGCCCATATTAGTTTGGGGACATCAGTTACGGGAGTTCTTGCCTACCGGGGGCCACAAGCCAGAACCTGGCCCCCCTCAGAGAGGCACAGGGAGCAATGGCCATATGAGCACTCCACATTTAAAGTATGTCATGTCTGCCATCGACTGGGGTATACCCCCAGAAAGGTAGGCATAATAATACAAACCTCCAACTGGTGAAAATTGTATCATACATCTGAACAGAGCCAAAGAACTCTCCCAAAAGAAAACAAATAAACAAGCAAATCATCATCCAACTAGTACGCCCGCTCAAGTGAGCCGGCAGCTCAACCCTACAGTTCGTAGAATGAGGAAAACTGCTGACCGGAGGGAGGGTGTCAGGGAGCCTCTGGGGTTTTCCCATAAAATGTTTCATTACATTCAACGCTGATTTTCAGGGAGCCCCATCGGCTTTCTGATGCTATCTACCCACAGAAAAGTAAAAACAGGGACATGTCAGAGAGGTTTCAGCACCGCATGTCTCAAGACGAAGAACAACAACAGGCTGCGACAAACATCACAAAGCAACACAGGGTTGTAGAGGGCCCGGAACATTGACAAGATAATGGACAGCCAGGAACCTGTTTGATTTCCAAAACCCCCATGCCCGAATGTCAACCCAAGACATATTCCCAAATACAGCAGTGAGAGCAACATATTTCCTCACATGGGCACATCAGCCTGTAGACCGCAGGCTGGCTAGACTTGATAACGCTGCAGACAACCTGAGAGACACGAGCCCTGGAACAGGGAACCAGCGAAACTAGATCAACCCAGAGCGCATCCACTGTTAACAAGTGGCCTGCAGGTAGCGGTGTAAAGCCGCAAACGGACACAAAACATGATGCACCCCCGGCCTAACCAACCAGACATCAACAACCAACGGACCCTTCTGGAAGCCCGCAGTCTCATTCTTCGGCAGAAAAGGAGGAGAGGGCTGCAAACGAACAAAACGACCCCTAGGATCAACGGAGCAGAACCCTCTGCGCCGGAGAAGAGCATGAAGCTCCCCAACCCAACCCCCACAGGCTAAAGCCAACCAAAACAAAGCTTTCATGAAACATTCACTGACTGAAGGGGCCACTACAAACTGAGGAGAGGATAGAACGAGAGCACCCGATCCAAAGACCAAAAAGGCTCAGGTGGCACATGAGCAGGTGAAAAAAATGCAGGAGAGAGCTTATAGAATGAAGCAGAAGAGACATCCACCCCGATTGCAAGCTGGAGCGGCTCTGCCAATGCCGCACAATAAGAGGCAACCGTATTCGGCATGAGACGCCGGTTCTGAAAAAGCCAAGAAAGAAAAGACAAACTTCCCAACCCGAAACCGAGGAGACCCCTACGAAGGGAAAAGAAATGGCAGAAAGACCACCTGGAGACTTCATACTGTCGCTGAGAGGAAATACGCAGGGGACACACCATCAAAAAAGCCACCTGATCACCATATAAATGGCGATACATCTGCTTCAAAAAGACCAGATGCAAAGAGTGGAAGAGTAGGGCAAACCAACGAGGTACTTCACCACCGGCCCAACCAACCGAAAACTCGAAAACTCTCGGTTCTGACACCGAGCAAGCAATGCCTTAAACCAAAGCTGGGCCGGCCACCATGGAGTCAGGAGAAGCACTTGCCCCCGATATGATTGTAGTCAAACCAATACCTGGAGCAACAGCTGCACCAGGGTATAAAAGTACAGGAACCCCCACCTCGACCATTCCAACCAAAAAGGGTCCACTGTGACGGCCTCACAGTCAGGGAATGATGCCACACATAATGGGAGACTCCGGGACCACACTGACATGAAAAGGTCCACCTCCGGGCGCTCGAATGTCCGGCAAAGCCACAGGAAGGATGCGTTGTTGATCGCCTACTTCGTGGAAAGAGGAATAAAGTGTGATGGGTCGTCTGCCAGGACATTGGACACTCCCTGAATGTGAACATCGCGGAGAGCCGAACCCCGAGAACTCAGCAATAGAGCTGAAGCAACCAGCCCCAAAGAACTACGGACTGCAGAGACAAAGGTTGACACAATGAACCACAGGTATATAGTCCGAATGAAGCCGGATCACAGATCCCTGAGGGATCCAAATCCTCCGCAGTACCTTGCACACAGCTGCAAACTCCCACACCATTCTGTGAGCCCAACAGAAGGATGGAGCCCAGCGCCCCTAGCCGGCCTTGTGAGCACTGGTCACAAAGCCCCAGCTGAGGAACAAGGCATCCGTGAACACATTGAGCGAGGGTATGGAAAGGCGCCATGGCACCAAACCATGAAAACCCCGAAGTGGAAGATGGAGACGCAGCAACGGACGCAAGGACCCCGGGGGTCGAACCCAGTGATTGTGAGAGCGACAAAAGTGGCTGCCCTGAAGATACCGTACTAGAACAGCCTCCGAAGCCAAACACTGCTCAGCGGAAAAACCAGTATGGCCAAGTTCAGGCTCTCACACAACTGCTCAAGCAACCGCCGAGTGACCTGGGTCCCCCTCAAGAACAACAGAAAGCGGGACTGCAGCCGGAGCAAAGCCGCAGAGGGACGAGAGATGGACGCCGTCCGAGAATCCCACATGAGACCCAGCCAAGTCCTAACCTGGGATGGAACCAAATGGAACTTTCTCCATTTCGCCAGGAACTCGAACCCAGCAAGCTGGGAATGAACCATATCCCTGGCAAGCAGACATGCAGGCCGGCTGGGAGCCCACACCAACCAGTCATCGAGGTAGGCCAGAACCCGAAGACCTAACAAACGAAGACGGGTCACCACAACCCTGGTCAAATGTGTAAAAATGTGAGGTGCCAGATTGGAAAGGTGACCAAATGGAAAGCAACGAAAGCGGTAAGTCTGTCGCCCAACCACGAATCATATCCAATCTCTGAACCCCGGGTGAATAGGAACATGCCAATTAAGCATCCTTAAAATTCAGAGAAATCATCCAACCACCTGGATTGAGAAGAAGCTGGACTTGGGACAATGAAGTCATCGAAAAGGAGGGGCAAGGAATCAAACAGTTCTGACGGGACAAATCCAGAATGAACCGAAAAGCCGCACAGTCCCATTTCGGAACTGGAAACAAGCAGGAAACCCACTTGAGAGACGACGAAGTCGTTTTGACCATGCCCAAGGGAAACCCATTCCCAAGAAGACCTGACAGAGAGACGGGGAAGAAGCTTGACCTACCAGCCCTGAACCCAGTAAAAGAGAAGAAGCTGGCCAACACCACCACAGACCGGTAGAGACAACCCGATGCGCCGACAAATCGTGGGACCAAGCATGGGCAAAGAACGCCAGCCACCCCCTCACCCCCCTCTCCATTTGCCCCATCAACAGGACAACTCGCGAAAGGGCCGACATAACTGCCGAGAATCCGGCTTCCGTACAGAGCGACCACTGGTCCGCCACAACCAACCAAAACCCGAGCCCTGGCACGACCACCCCGAGAAGACCAAGAACCACTACCCCGGAGCATCAACAAATCCAAATGGGACAGCAACTGGCAGAAGCCGCCGACAAAAACTGAGCTACACAGTCCTTAGGAAATAACAAAGGACAGAACGGAGACGAACACTGAAGAGCCAGGGCCCAAGCTGAATAGAGAGAGCAAGGACGGCCTACCAACACACGACCCAAGAGGTAAAAACCATAGACACTACTTCCTGGAGAATCAGCACAAACAGCTTCAGCATAGCAGCAAACCCACCTCACGAGAAAGCGCAAGGGCGAAAAGGTACTCATTGAGGAACACCAGTGAGCCCACCAAGAATACCTGCAACACCACGGTAACCTTCTTCCACTCAAGCGTGCGGGTACGACAAGACATGTCAACCTCCAATCAAAAAGAAAGGGCAGTCTGCCAGCAAGTCTTCCTAGAGAGACTCTGGGTCCAAGTTTGACTTCCAAGGAACTATCACTATCACTGGCTTGTCTTTTCTTTACCTTTCCAATGAACGTATTTATTGACAATTACTTTTGTCTTCGTTTTAGGATGTCCTTAAAATGAGACTGCAAATTGTCATTAAACATGTTCACACACTGTGTTGTCACTGCTTTAACCGAGTGATGCTTTTCCAAGAATGCGTTCACCTTTTCAAACGTTCCCAACACTTCCCTGATCTCACTGGAAGATGCGGCATCCTCCGTTACCTCCTCTTCCCCTGATGAGAGCTCTTTGTACCTCCTCTTGATTCAGCTCCTTCTGAAGTTCCAGGAGTTCCTCAGTGGTCAGTTCATCACTGTGCTCCTCCACTAACTCCTGCACATCAGCAGCATCCAACTCCAGACCCAAAGTTTGCCCCAGAGCAACAATATCATCCACTGCATGCACTTCGGTCGTCCACAGGTGCAGGTGCAGGACCGAAACCTTCGAAGTCTTGCTCAGGGACACCCTCAGGCCACAGGCTTTGCCATGCAGAGTTTAGGGTCCTCCGTGTCCCTCCTTCCCAGGCCTTATCGATTAAACGTAAGGCACCCAGGATATTAAAGTACTCCTTCCAGAATTCTTTGAGGGTCAGCTCTGTTGTGTCATCACATCAATACACCTCTCCAACAAGGCCTTCATATAGAGCTTCTGAAAGTTGGTATTGACTTTCTGGTCCATGGATTGGAGGAGTGGAGTGATGTTAGGAGGAAGAAACTTGATGGTGATGAACTGATTTTCTGGAATCAAATCATCTTGCATCTGTGGAGGATGCGCAGGAGCATTATCAAGCACAAGCAAAGCCTTGAATGGTAACTGCTTCTCTTTAAGATAACTCCTCACTGAGGGGGGGGGGGGGGGCAAAAACTTCATTGACCCATTCACTGATGAATATCCGCATGACCCAGAATATCTTGTTGGACCTCCACATCACATTCAGTTGCGTCTTGTGCACTTTACATGCCTTGAACACTCGTGGATTTTCTGAGTGGTAGATGAGTGGCGGCTTGACCTTGTAATCGCCACTTGCATTGGCTCAGAGCACGAGGGTAAGCCGATCCTTCATCAGCTTGTGGCCAAGCAAAGATTTTTCCTCTTGCGTGATATAGGTCCTCTTCGTCATTTTCTTCCAAAACAGGCCAGTCTCATCACAATTAAGAACTTATTGGGGCAAGAACTCCTCTAGCAACGAATTCCTGGAACTGGCACAAATTTCTCAGCACAGCTTTATCAGAGCTGGCACCCTCCCATACTCCCTGGCGAGATCAGTCACACAAACACCACGCTTATGCTTTGCTATGATTTCCTTCTTCAAATCTACAGTAATTGTGTCTTTCTTTCTCTTAACAACACTATCTTTAGCAAGCAGCAGCTTTGGCGACATCAAGGACTACAAATTGTAGTCACAAACCACAAAAAAAGGTACAAATAAATGCAGAGGTATGCTTATCCTGCGCGATAAAACAACAACTCTGTCGTTGGAGGCGTCCGTGAATTTGCAAGAACCAGCAGGAATGCTAGGAAGCGCCACGTGTTTTTTTTTCGTTAACCGAGTGGAAGTTCGTAAATGGAGACAAATTTTCTGCGAGTGGCTTGCTCGTAACTTGAAATGCTCGTAGATGGGGCTGCTTGTCGCCCGAGGTTCCTCTGTACTCTAAATGTAGTGTTCATATGGCTCCCTGCACCTCTCTAAGGGGCCCAGGTTCTGGCTCGTGGTCCCTGGAAGGCAAGAACTCCCCTAACTGATGTCCCCACATTAATATAGCACATATTAATCTGGATAGTTTCAGGGAGCCGATGGGGCTTCACACAGAAAATTATATTCTGGCATTCCAAATTTGTTGTTATACGATGCACCCCCTCAGCATTGTAAAATGTACTGAGCACATTACGTGATGCATATTGTATAGTTTGCATCGTATGATGTGTTCAATGCAATTTATATTGTTGCAAGGGTGTATCCTGTAATATATTTTTTGGAGTTAATAACACAATGTGGCTCTTCCTAGAAATGAGATAAGTTTCAGATATTATTGCAAGCAGGTCATGAATGGGTAGAGGGGGAAGAGATGGGTGAGGCAGAAAATCAGAATAATGGCCAAATGGAATTACAGTATCATTGAGGGGTTGAATTAACGAGGTGTGACTGTTGACTATAGACATATTTGGTAAAACACTGCAGCATACAATACTAATATCAAGATCTTTCTCCATATTATAGTATATTGTTTGCATTTTAATTGATAAATTTTCTCTCATTCATAGAATAGAAATTTCAAGTCAAAATATAGAGATTAAACATTTCAGGTCTCAAAAATGTTCATAATTGTTCAGTTTCTTGTGAGGTTAGTTCTCTCTTTAGGCTTATATTCTTGTCATAAATTATTCATCACTGATATTTTCTTGACCTTACTGAAAGCCACACCTTATGCTCCCTGTCTATATCATGTATTTTTTTCTCCTCTCCAGTAAGCAACTGGCAATCTTCAAATAATCAAGTATCAAACACTCATCGGCAAATCTATATAGAAACATTAGCCGCTATATATCGTACTTCATCAGGGTTTGTTATTCAAAAGTAATAGTTATTACTGCTTAATTTTACTAATAAATAACAGCATGTAAATTTATATTATAAATGTATTGGGAAATCCGTGCAATAAGTCTGTACACCACATAAAAAACTGCATATTTGTTAAAGCACTCCTGGCAGTACACTTCATTGACTGGTCCTGCAGCTTGGCTCTGTCCATTGTTGTACAAATTGTCTCACCGGAAATTCTATTTCCAACATTACTGCATTATTGTCATCATACTTATTTCTCCACTGGTCTTCCTTTAGGTTAGAGAAAAAGTAAGTCCAACTCTGCTAAATCTGGTAAATTAGGTAGTGAGAGAAATACTTGCGGCAGGAGCATCACACTTCAAGCTCAATTCCTCACAGCATTAGAATCAGTAAATGCTGTAGGCATGGTTTTTCCATGAGCAGAAGTCTAATAGAATATGTTTATAGATATTTAGTACACTCAACATTTTGGAAAACCTACAAGATGCCTACAAGATGTCTCCAGGAGGCCTACAAGATGCCTACAAGAAATTTCCAAGATACCTAGTCTCACTGATTGTTTCATGCCTTACCAAAACATTATTGCACAGTTCACCACACACGTACTTGATGATTTGGTCACTCACCACAGCTTCATGCACTTGTCCCACCATATCTGGAGATGATACCTCAACAAGATGACCTGGCCTCTGCATTTCCCGTGCCTGCTCTCCCAGTTGAACTTTGCCTCCATACTTTTTGACCTCCAAATATGATGGAGTGTCGCTACCCGGCATCGTCATGAACTTGCTTTGCATGGAAGTACGGTAAAGGTATTTAGGTCTCCTCTTTAAGGGTACCTTATGATTTTGCTGTTTGGTTTTCTTGCAAGGTTGCTGTGCAACCTTGTAAGATACTTGTCAATACTACCTCATAGTATTGACAATGTGAAACTTTGAATACTTATTTAAAATTGTATCATATAAATTGGTACATGTCACTCTTATTAACCAGATGCTGACTCTTTGTATTTTGAGGAATATAGCACTTTCATAATATTATTTATATCTTGAGACATGTTAATACTAAAGTTGTATAATATATTATTGTAATTATAACTTAATAAAAATGAATGAATGTTTTAGTAGTATTTACTGTTGAGAAAGCCAGTGTTTTTAAGTAGTATGTTTTCCTCACACTTTATTCCCATAAGCATAAAATTTGGTTGCCATGAGCCAAGTAAACTATTACGAGTGACAAATTTCTGTTAACTACTGACCAAATTTTCTCTCTCTCGTAAGACTCCCAACTTTATTTACAATAGTGTCAAGGCTGAGATATCAAAATAAAATTCATACTGTATTTTGTTCTTTCCTACAAAATCAATAGTAATGGTATTGTGTTCTTTCCTGCAATATTAATACTGTATATTGAAGTGGAACCTCGATTCAGTGAATCTCTGGTTGGAGCGCACAATTTCCAGGTCAGATTTATTCACCCGGTTCCACGAACTCTTATACACTACAGTGGAGAATGTACAGATTTGCTTAGGATGTTGGCACAAAGTTCTCAGACTGGTAGAAAAGTTGGCCATCATATAATAGGTTAAAATTAAAGATTCCCTTAGTGAAATCAGCCCATAGGGCGTGGGAAATATGAGGGTATGAATGGTAACACTCCAATCACCTTTTTAATTACAGTATTTTTATACATGGACATAAGATTGGAAGAAAGAGTTGGGGAAAGCCATTGAGCATATTTAAAACAAAATTGTTGTGGTTCCTTATTTCCAGCTACAGAGGTTTTCGTTAAGGAAATTATGGGCCCTTTGTCTTTTGAAAATAAGATTTCAAGGCTAGGGCTTGGGAAATATGCTAGATGTGATTAAATCTATTTACAGATAAGTTCTCTAGGTGGCTGTCCTTCATATAACAGGTTGAAATTAACATTTCCCTCAGTGAAATCAGGCCCATAGAGCAAGGGGAAGTACAGTAATGTACTGGTGTTAGCAAACCAAGATGTATAGTTGACCACTTTTAAAATTTAAAACAAATTCAGAAATGTTGATTTGTTATGAGAAAAACAACAAAACTGACCACCAAATCAATACTGAAAATGTCCATCAAATTTTTAAACTGTGGCTTGCATAACCCTTAACCAACTCTCTCTCTCTCTCTCCTTTATTACTGGTTCATTACTTGTACACTGTAATAGTACTTCCTTATATTCACCTATCTGTTCTTGCGGGGGTTGAGCTCTGCTCTTTCGGCCCGCCTCTCAACTGTCAATCAATCAACTGTAACTACATAGTTGGAAAACTCAAGTAACAGACATTGTAATATTTTCCAATATACTACTATACTTCACCTGTACAGTTGTACGTTGTAGAAATCAGTGCTCAATACAGTTCCATCCAGCAGATTACATATAGGTTTCCTTCTAATATCTTTTATTAAGTAGACCATCTCAAGATAACTTATTAACGTGTGAAGGTACACTCTAGGTGCCTATGCTGCGGGAGTCAGTATGTGTGTGTTTTGCTGACTTTTCTCCTTGGATTCACATACCTGTACTTTTATTTTTAACGATGCTTTACAGTGCTATTAATGAAACTTTTATATTGACACATGATAATTGAATGATCTTTCTTTGGGCGAGTCTTTAATTCAGATTCTGGAAATGAAGGATCGTCAGAGTAGCCCAGCATTTTCCATTGTCCAGAGCTGTTGAACCTTTAAATGGCTCCAATCTCTATCTGAGACTACTTCCTGTGCTCGAATTCCCAAATAAACTTTTTGGGGGCATTATTTTTGTAGAAAAGAATTTGACATGTGCATCACGTTGTAGGCTGCTTAATTAGCCAAGTTGTTTAAGGGTCAAGTCACGACTTGTTAACAGAGATGAGTAAATAAGGGGCAGTGAAACTTGTACAGTATCTGTATGAACTCTCTCATACTACTGTACAGTAAATAGATTTAGAATTTTTTATTCAAGTAAAGGTACATACATAATGTTAGATTTAAAGATAGAGATAGTACATACAATGCCAAAAGCCACTAGTACGCATAGCATTTCGGGCATACATTCGGGCAAATACGTGAGAGAGGGAAGGAGGAGGACACTGGTATCTGTAAGAACTCTCGTACTACTATACAGCACACTGGAACCTCATTCAAATATTACTGTAATGTAGATCTTAAAAAAGAGAGAATTAACTATCAACAATTTGTAAGCTTGGAACAGGGAACCCAAACTTTTAAAACCATGTAAAATATATGTGATGCCTAAGCTTCAATATGCAGTAGTTGTAAGGTACCCATATCTTAAAAAGCAAATAGATTAAAGAAAAAATGATGAAGACATTCTGCTAAATAGATCATGTAGCAAAAGTATATTAGGGATGTGAGGAGAGACAGGAGGTGGTGGATATGTGAGAACCAGTAAACAGAAGATGGAAGTGACATGATCACCACACATGCAAAATTGACAAGGATAAATTATTAAAATCTGTAACATTGAGAACAAGAGGCCATAAATTTAAGCTAACAAAATAAGTGTGCCAAAGAAATGTGAGCTGATTCTCTTGTAAACAGAAAGGTTGATTGATAAAATAATTTAAATTTATATGCCATGTGAGGTTTTGAAGGTACAGTAATGCCAAAATCTTCAAAAGCTTCCAAGCCTATCGGGAAGACAAGGAATCCTGCGTGTACCTCTTATCTTGTCCCTTCACTTATACTATCACATCACCAGTACATTCACTTGCATAAGAATGTAGATGTGCTCACTATTTTGAGTCCTATAAAGATCAATGGTAAATATAACAAAAAGAGTACTGTATAATTTTTCTGGTTAAAAGAAAGTCAAGACAACATAAATCAATTAGAAACATGATATACCAATATACCGTTTTGTTTACATCGAATTCCTTGGAACTATGTTTATTTGTATTTATGATAAGCTTTCCTATGGGAAAGGAGGATAGCAAATGAAGCTCCATTAAGCACAACAGAAGACCTCTCCCCCAAAAAACACATTGAGATAACCTCTTTCCAATTGAAAATAGTCAAACGATAGAAATAAGCTCATGGTAAGTGTTTCCTCACCCCGGGTATATTGAGATCCCAAGTGGTGGCATTCAGGATAATTGGATGAGTGGGAATTACAATAGGTTGCTCGGAGTTATTTGACTATAAGCAGTTTGAAGTACAGTAACATTTTGTAATATGGTTGAGTGTTTTAAGTTTTCTTTGTTTGGGTGGCTCAGTTCAGTAGAGGGTTGATCTTTGCTTCCCACGAGCTCCGTGTCATGAAGTGAGAGATTGCTTGTAGATGTTGTGAAGTGTTTACTCACCTAGTTGTGCTTGCGGGGGTTAAGCTTTTGCTCTTTGGTCTCGCCTCTTAACTGTCAATTAACTGGTGTACAAATTCCTCAGCCTATTGGGCTTTATCATATCTACATTTGAAACTGTGTATGGAGTCAGCCTCCACCACATCACTGCCTAATGCATTCCATCTATTAACTACTCTGACACTGAAAAAGTTCTTTCTAACATCCTTGTGGCTCATTTGGGTACTAGGTTTCCACCCGTGTCCCCTTGTTTGCGTAGCACCCCATGCTAAACAGTTTATCTTTATCTACCCCTATTACTTCCCTTGAGAATTTTATAGAGAGTGATCATGTCTTTCCTAACTCTTCTGTCTTCCAGTGTTGTGAGGTTCAGTTCCAGTAGTCTTTCCTTGTAGTTCATTCCTCTCAGCTTGGGGACTAGCCTGGTGGCATACCTCTGAACTTTTTTTTAACTTCATTTTGTGTTTGACTAGATGTGGACTCCAGGCTGGAGCCACATATTCCAGTATTGATCTGACATGAGGCATACAAGGTACTGAATGATTCTTTACATAGTTTCTGAAGGCAGTTCTTATGTTCGCCAGCCTTGCATACAGCGCTGATGTTATCTTGTGATGTGGGCTTCAGGGGACAGGTCTGGTGTGATATCAACCCCAAATCTTTCTCTCTTCCTGACTCCTGAAGGATTTCCTCTCCCAGCTGGTACCTTGTGTTTGGCCTCCTGCTCTCTACACGCGTATGTGTCCCCAAGTACGTGGCGAGGTCACAGTGTCTTACACAAGCGGGTGACGTAAGCTGAGGGGAAGTTACATAGGTCCAATCTAGATAAAAGTGTTTCATTACACTCAACATATTATTTTTAAGATATTTTATTGTGTTGTATGTATGATAAGATATACCTGGCATGATAGGTCTGCAATACCTACCTTGGTCTGTTATGATTGAAAATGTTATATAATGTATGCGTTGAGTAACCATTCCATATTCAACACTTGTCACGCAAGGCAGCAGCTCTGATAATGACACTTATTATACTCAACTAGAAGAATACATTACAATATTTAGTTTTAATTTTCTGTGAATCTATTTCAGCCAGTGTTGAAATAAAAGTTATATTAATTATATTTGTGTTACTTGTCTATCCACTCTTAGTAGCTTAGTCTTAGTTTGTATGAAGAGTAAACAATTGGTAATTTTTGCAGCTTATATGCAGTATTCATTTCTTCAGCATGAATCCTTTTTGAAGCATACAGTCAATTTTATTGAGAATGTTCATTGCCACAGTACTGTGCACTCCTGCTTGAACGGACTAATTTGAACTGACAGCTTCCGTTTCACACCAAACCTCTATTTGGGTCATCCACTTGAACTGATTTATGTAACGACCACCTTGCTTCTTGTTAGGTCAGCATTCGATCTCTGGTAGTTCGTGTGGTTGTCCGTTCCTTCAACCCGTCCTTGTATCCCAGCTCCTTGTTCTTGTATCCCTTCAAAGTGCTATGTAATCATATTGGCTTACTTTCCTCTTCATAGTTATTTTACCTTACTCAGCCTCTATTTACTCATACATTGATACATTAATAATACAAACATCATGTTGTACTACAGCTGTAGATTAAATAATGAACAGTATACAGTACCGTATGTAAGAAAACAATTATTTTTATTTGGAAGTGAAGCGTGACTTGCAAGGTACATCTGTTATAGATGAATTTATATACACTACGTATGTACGGTGTTTGTATATTGTATTAGATGAGAAACAGTGCCAGTTGCCCATACTCCTTCACCAGACTGGTCAGCGCAAGGCCACTTTAAGTGTCACCAATTCTCTCTCTTCACGAAGAGATTTTTCTCAACTGCTTCAGCTTAGCTAATGGTGCTGCTAGACAATCCTGACTTAATAGTAATCACATTAAAAACAAATAGCAGAAATCATTTAGTCAACTGGATCACCTAATAATTACACGTGCTAAATAAAACCCAAGAGGTGTGAAAGGAACAAATAAATACAACTGAATCCTGTAGGAACTTCTAAGAAACAAAGAAAAATTCATTAAATTATCCATTCATTACTGTCAATATTTATAAATAATTGTAAAATTCTATTTTAATGTTAATTACTCGTGTACATGTACAGTATACATAAAAAGTACAGTATTTTTAGCATACAGTATTTAGGCATACCAAAGTACATCATTGTACTTAAAACAGATATATCTTGACGCATTTTGGTTCATAACAAAATACACACAACTTTCCAACCAAATTGGTCGTTATTTTTTTAACAAAAATGTTTGGTGCCTCTAATGTCAGCCATATTTGGTAACATTAAAGGATTATGGTCAAACTAACACTATAAGGGCATGATTTCCGTTCACACAAGAATACACAGTGCTGTACTATGCTGTAATGAGAAACTTAATGTATGTGATTGAAGTTTGTTCCCAGTGGGCAAAATATGCATGAATGATGTAAAGCCAATGTTGAGTTAGTCATGTGAGAATTTGCATGCAAGGTAAATGTTTCTCATTTACAATTTGCTAAACTTATGTTATTTGAACTTAATAGCTGCTCATAAATGTAATACTGTATTATATAGCTGACCAAGATCTTTTCTTTAGTTACTCTTGTAAAATGTAGTTAGGTAAAAGACTTGTATCGTGACTCCAAAATCTCTCTCCTCTTTTTCAGACGTAGAATCCTGGGTGTATTCCTGTTCTGCACGTGAGCATTTCCTAGTGGTTGTGGTACTCTTCTGTTTACTCTTATTTAAACCTGTTCAGCACATAAGGAGAAATTATAAGAATAAAGTGAAACGATTGGAGGTTATTGTCCGATATAAATATATTGTATCAGAGAAGTACATGTACAGTATATTATTACTCGGAGCTGGTTGAATGTTCAATGAAGTTTTGGTTTTCAAAACTCGCCTGAAATTTTGACACACACGAGCGTGTGATTTTCAGTAAAAATATTAAAATAATAGTGTTTTTGACCAGTGCCAGATACTCTTACAACATAGAATGAAAATATAATTATTCTGTTAATATGTAACATTAACCAGCTCATCCTCTCTACTGTTCACAATGTCGCCAAACTGATGTACTAAATTGCCCAAACCTAACCCAACTGAGGACCCTTAAATAGAAAATGGGACATCACGTTAATTTTTCAAGTTGCTATGATGTTTAGTCTATCAGGTTTAGGTCTTAGGAGATTTATACGTCAAAATGTGATGTACATTTCGAGAGGACGGGTTAACGTCATGATACTGTATTGCTATTGTGTCATTTTATAAATCTGTTTTGGTTTGAGAAATATTGTATCAGAAATTCTGTAAAATCAAATTATGAAGCTGGGTTGATTTCTGTTATATGTATATGAAAGACCATTTTTACTGCAGTTTGTCAGAAAACTATGTGATCTCTTTGTATGACTGACTTAGAAATTGGATGATGCAGCAATTGTAGTTACAATCTTTACCGCTCAATAAAGAAGGCTAGTAGGCCATGAGACAGGCCTTGTTCAAAAGTATTTAGCAATCAGTAAATTGACAACTTCATGCAAAATAATTATTATTTGAAGATTTAGTAACCAACTATGAAAATATTGACACCCAACCGACACATCTAAGATGAAGAAGCGACGATGTTTTGGTCCGTCCTGAACCATTATCAAGTGAAACATCATCGGCTCCTCATTTTCAGATGTGCTGGTCGGCTATCAACTCTTGAGCCATGTTATTGTTGCTTCATAAAACTGGAATTCTATTGGCACCATTGTGTTGCATATGTGGGGTAAAGTAGTATAATGTTTGTATAATATATAATGTCCTCTCATCAACTTCCACATCTCTACATTGCCAACTACTCAGTAACCAGCCAGGGGGAAATGAGAGATCACAGATGTTCATATCTTTGAAAACATTCTTACAATAGTACCTACAAATGAGAGAAAATGTATAATTTTTTTTTATTGTTAGCAAACTTTTAAATTATGTTTTATACGAACTTTTCAAAATTTAGTGTTAATATGTGAAAATATATTTATTTATTTTATTTGTTGTTACATGCAATGACAATAACTGTGGGTGCTAACTTAATGTTTATCAATATTATTTCAAATAAATGTGTCCCGAGTGTAGAGAAAAATATATTTATTTAAATATTATTTGGTTTAAGTTGTTTGCATATGAAATATACCGACGATAAAACGTGTGAATTTTAGGCAACAAATTTTATTTATAAACTTTTATCCATCTATCTACATATATCCCCTTAATGTTTTTATATTATAGGAAGCTTGCATCTCCAGAATATGCTCAGATATAGATGATTTTTTTGGTTGAATGGAGCAGGTAACACTGAAGACACTCCTTATACTGTACATATAAAGTCCAAGTCTGTCCTTCCTATATCCAGTACCTATACTGTATCGACATTTACTCGTACTGTATAACTTAATCCTTCCTGCGTGTTTGCCGGCAGCTGATCTCGCTCACTTACTTCTAAGTCTCATTTATTTCTTGATAACTTATAAACAGTACTGGTGTATTACGGGCTCACCATAGCCCGTGTTACTTGGAACTTTTTGTTCCAGGTAGCGAATCTTTAACAACAACAACAGTACTGGTGTGCTATGCTTTCAGTTTCCTCAATAGTGCACCTCTTTACCCATTTTAAATTTTATGTTCCTTCATTGTCATATCAAGGAAACCTTGTATTAGTCAATCCCAGATGCCTAACTAGTCTGCTATTACAGATACATTTTAGTATCATAAAAGAGCTACTTCTGTTGAAATACAAATTTTCTTACCTAAATTTTTATTTTGTCTAGTTTTTTTACCTTTTTTTTTTATGTTTGGTAATGTATAAGCTGATATTTGTCTAAACATCTCCGCACCTCTACATTCCACCTTGTTTTCTCATTTGCTTCTAAATTTTGTCATTCTACACATTTCTTGTACATTCTTTCATTCAGCCTCATCCATATCTTATTTAATAGGAATCATACAAATAAATTGTGGTTTTGTTGTGTTTTCACCCATTTAATTTTGGAAAGATTGTTCATTCACATTGTTGGGCCTTAAAATTACCTATAACTTCATAACTTTTACTGTGTCACTTCTTTGTTGTAATTATTTTTATTATGGTACCTGTACCTGTACTTAATTACCTTTCAGTTTTATTTATTTTAAGGATCTTGTGAAATTTAAGATAATGATGAGCATTTATTGTACATTTCTTGTATTGTAACTGAATAATTAAAAACTTTCTATTCATTCAGAATATGTGTAATAAGGCTTATTTATCATATTTTCAGTTTGCAAGGAAGTATAGTTCTTTTTTTAATGACGAGAATAAAAAATAAAGACTTTCTCGCGTAGTTTTATTCACAGGAATAGGTGACATTTTTGTCAACAGATGCACTTTTTGCTTTGACAAAGGAGTGTTGTGGCCTGTGTGTGCTTTGTACTTCAGGTGCATAAAGGATAGACCTACATGTTCATGAGTGGCCAGTATATACACGGTACTGTGCTAGAATATTCACAAAAACACATGATTCAGTTATGTATAAGCATCCATGCAGGAAACAAAAATTCCTGTTTGGATTTTTTGTTGGATTTTCATTTCATTTTTCCTACGTGGATACTCGCATGCAGTACTGTGTATGTGCGCTTGAATGGATATCATGTTCTTAACACGAGACCTTCATTTTCATGGTTTCTCACAAGGATTCCTGGCCCTCCACACCATCAATCACCCTATGTCTTTTAGCTGTTCAGCATCTGAACACAAAGGAGAATATTTTATTTTTCCCGACTGGTAAATAAAAAATAATAAGAGGCAGCATATTGTAAATGTCAAAGTAAGCTTGACAAAAATATGAAACACATAGCAGCTGTCAGAAAGCAGGAGATTACAGTATGTTGTTCGGTGTGTTGATACATGGACAATTGATCATTTTACAGTTGATATGGTTAAATGTTGCATACGATATACATGTAGTAGATGTTGCCCTGATGTGATATTTTGTCCCTCAAGCTCCCCTTTAGGGAGTGGCCAGAACAGGAGATTTTCTAGGATGCTCTGTTACCACAAGATATTGGTTGTCTGCCTCTACCATATGGTCTCCTTAACACCCTTTTTTGTTAAGTAACCATCAGGCATTCTATGTAATACCACTTAAATGTATTGTAGTCCTTCCACTCCTCATTTCATTCACCGACACATCTTTCATATCACAAAGAAATCACAATGGCTCAATATATTGATGAAAATCATTTTGAATTAAAGTCGGCTGGTCGACTTTTGTACCATCACGGCCAAGTCACTTAAGGCAGGTGTCTGGGATTCACTAGAACACAGGCTCAAGTCAATCCATTGTCTCAAAATTATTTACATCTTGCATATGCTATATCCATCCCACATATACCAGCTGCTGTCCACAAAAAAAGCTAATTTCTGCTGCTACAGTAACAAGCTTTAGCATGCACTCTCCATACCCAAAGTTCTCTTCCAAATGTCAGGGTTGGAGCCCTAATGAAAATATGAGGGTCCCACAGAATATTGATTTAAAACCTTATTAATTACATTAATAAAACTACAGTACAGGTAATTTGTTTTTTTCTAATTTCTAAAGTTAAATTTGAAGGAAGATAAATAAAAGATGTGATTTTGACATTTTTTAATGTCACAACTGAGTAAAAATCTGTATATTCAATAATAACTAATATAATTATATTTTGATAACCCCTGACAAATGACACATCTATAAGACAGAGAGAGCTGTTTTTATTTCCCAATCATACAGAGATGAACAGATTTGCTGGAATTGATGAGCTCTCCTGCTCTCGTTGATCCCAAGACACCAACCAGCTTCGTGAGATCCGAACGCTGGAACAGAACTGTTACTGTGCTAGCCCCGAGATGCTTTTGACGTACCCGAGGATTTTGGTTACCTTCCTGTTTAGAAAAAGTATGAACAATAAGCCATGTATTATGATACAATAAGCACCAATGCAAATGAAATTACATTTAAGATATGGAATGAAAATGTACAAGTCTCTGCTACAGTATTACCACATTTGCTGACATATAAGATATGTCCAATTTAAGAAGATATTTCATGGAAAAATCAATTTTGTTTCATTGTATGTTTATTAAGCGGTATTTACGTGGTTTTGTAGAGGGGGAAACATATGATTGTGTGTGATGTAAAGTATATCTGGATGGTTGTAGACTAAAACTGTGCATCCTATCTGCTGGCAAATACGGTAACCTCTCTCCGTGTTGATTCCTTGTGCATTCAAAACTATCCTTTTCACTCTACAGACCCTCAAAGAACCTTAGCATGTCCCACTAACACCATTTGTACAGATAAATTCTAGATATTTAATTTGCAGCATCTAAATCTTTCAGAGTACTGTATTACAGTACATTGCAACACTCAAATACAAAGTACTAGTACTCTTAGAACCGTTAACGTCAAACAATTCAGTTTGTGCTATAAATGTCAACAAAACCACATCACATACAAAGAACAAATGTGAAAACTCACATTCTTCCATCATGATAAATAATCACTAATTACCCTACATTGCTCAACAGTTTCCATAGTGCTTCAGATAACACAGTAAAACCAATTTCACATATATATATATATTTTTTTTTATTATTGTTTCTTCATTGTTAAGATCAAATCCAGAGTATTTTAGCCCATAGTTGGATTTTATTTGCCGGCTTGGAGAAAATTTGTCACGTATTCTAAGGATTTCTCTAATCTGTGGTAATTTCCGGTGTGATTCCTTGTTATAATGTCCGTTATCCACCATCCTAAACGGTGTAGATTAAAGTCTCTAAAATTACAGTAGAATCCAGTACAGGATTTTCTAGATAATCATAATGTTTTATTTGAACTGTTCTGTAAATTACTGAACCATTGTATCTGGAAGGGACCTCTGACAAGCCACTGGCTTCCTGCCCTCATCTAGGCCACTGGAGAGAGTAGCCCTTGGGTAAATTCAGGTAAATTAGATCAATAAGGAAATTTGTGTTCTCTATTACTGAGATACAGGAATTTTTGTACATTTATATTCCACTCTTTCTCATATGTGATGTCTATATTTCAAAGTACCATTATAGAAGGTCCCTGTATAGTGACAGAAAAGGTTGGGGACCTCACGTACAAAATAAATCATGCGGACAAACATAACAGGTGATGCTTGTGCACTTAAACCATCTGAAGAAGAAGTTCCAGGGCACATTTTAAAAGTTCATAAAATTTTTGGAGTTTAGTTTTATTCAATGTTGTAGATACTAGCATTTTCTTTTTATGTAGTGGCCAACAGATAGTGACTTTACTCGTAATCATTCAAAAGTGACAGTTCAGAAAATTCAGCGAAACCTAAAAAGTATCCTCTCGGAAGATTGCTAATAGCAAAGTGTAATGTGAGGGCCAGAACAGAACTGTGCAGAACAACAGATGAGAGGGTGAACTTTAGAAACAGCTGGGTCACCTAAGAAACAGCTGGGCCACCTAAGAAATAGCTTGGTCACCTAAGAAACAGCTGGGTCACCTAAGAAACAGCTGGGTCACCTAAGAAATAGCTGGGTCACCTAAGAAATAGCTGGGTCACCTAAGAAACAGCTGGGTCACCTAAGAAACAGCTGGGTCACCTAAGAAATAGCTGGGTCACCTAAGAAATAGCTGGGTCACCTAAGAAACAGCTTGGTCACCTAAGAAACAGCTGGGTCACCTAAGAAACAGCTGGGTCACCTAAGAAATAGCTGGGTCACCTAAGAAACAGCTGGGTCACCTAAGAAACAGCTGGGTCATCTCAGAAACAGCTGGGTCATCTGAGAAACAGCTGGGTCACCTAAGAACCAGCTGGGTCACCTAAGAAACAGCTGGGTCACCTAAGAAACAGCTGGGTCACCTAAGAAACAGCTGTGTCACCTAAGAAACAGCTGGGTCACCTAAGAAACAGCTGGGTCACCTAAGAAACAGCTTGGTCACCTAAGAAACAGTGGGTCACCTAAGAAACAGCTGGGTCACCTACGAAACAGCTGGGTCACCTAAGAAACAACTGGGTCACCTAAGAAACAACTGGGACACCTAAGAAACAACTGGGACACCTAAGAAACAACTGGGGTCACCTAAGAAACAACTGGGGTCACCTAAGAAACAGCTGGGTCACCTAAGAAACAGCTGGGTCACCAGAGAAGCAAACATGTAGAGAGCAAGGATGATGAAAAAAGCCAAAATGTAGAGTTGTCATATTTGGTTAAAACTTTTAATCTAAAGCCATAACAAAATAACATATGAATAAGCCTAAAGTTTCACTAAAAGAGAGAATAGTAAATAGAATATCATGAAATATCTTACCACCATGAGATTGCAAATCTCGGAGAAGAAGTGCGGGTAGGATGGTACATCATAGAATATAATGTGTCTAACTCCTTTAATCCGATAACGTCGGTAGAAGTGAAATCTTTCGGTGTACAGCAGAAAATTACGTTTTCCATCAAAGAACAGGCTGCGCGCTTTGGCAACTTTGCTGTTTTGCTGAAAATGAGAAATGATAATACAATATTTTATATGGTTATCAAGCATTCTTTTTTTCAATTTGTATTAACATAAAATTCTACATATACTTTGGAAAATATAATTTAGTGTTGTTAACATAGATGTTACTTTACACCACTCCAGACCGACAACCAGAGCGCAACTCCATAGTCTCCTGAGACTGATGGATGCCTGCTACTAAGTCATAGTCTCCTATTTCTCACTTTTGTTAGGTACATTTATTGAGCAAAACCTAAACTTCACCATCAAACATGATGGATGCAGACGAGGAGTCACAATGACGTGGCTGAAATATGTTGACCAAACCACATACTAGAAAGTGAAGGGACCGAAACGTCGTCGCCCCTTCACTTTCTAGTGTGTGGTTTGGTCAAAGATGATGGATATCCACCAAGGGAAACTTTGAAGTCAGTCCTCTAATATTTCTATACCTCTTGGTTTGCCATGAGCAAAACTAATGAACACTTAACTTAAATACAATCCCAAATTATTTGAAACATGAAATGCTTTGCGTACTTGTGGCTTTATTAAATATAAATACACTGTAACAACTAATTAACCACTGTATCATGTTATGTATATTTTAAAAATAAGATTACAGTATTATTTCAGAGACAGTTTCTTTCTCGTCTCATCACAAATCCTTATCCTGATCCCCTTCCAAGTGCTATATAGTCATAATGGCTTGGCACTTCTCCTGATAGTTCCCTATCCTTTAGAGCCATTGTTCATGCACTTGTTTCCCCATACTCTATGAGTGTGTTCACACTCATTTCCCATGCTATATGAGTGTGTTCACACTCATTTCCCATGCTATATGAGTGTGTTCACACTCGTTTCCCATGCTTTATAAGTGTGTTTTCACACTTGTTTCCCATGCTTTATAAGTGTGTTTTCACACTCGTTTCCCATGCTTTATAAGTGTGTTCACACTCGATTCCCATGCTCTATGAGTGCACACTGGTTTCCCATGCTCTATGAGTGCACACTGGTCTCCCATGCTATATAAGTGCACACTGGTTTCCCATGCTCTATGAGTGCACACTGGTTTCCCATGTTCTATGAGTGCACACTCGTTTCCCATGTTCTATGTGTTCGCACATTCCTTTCCCATGCTTTATGAGTGTATTTGTCAAACAAAAGCCTCAACTGTTCCCCATGATGGCTATCCATCAAGAGAACCTATGTAAAAATTAACTTTAATTAATTGAATATTGTCAAGGGAATTAATAACCCCTTTAGGGTTATTAAACCATAAAATTTATTTTTTAGGGTTTAGTCATGTAAAAATACATGACATATCTTATATAATGGAATATATCCTAATTTCTCAAAAAAATCCCTAACAAAATACTAAATGGTCCAGTCTGATACACGATCTCCAGGAAAGCTGTAAATCAGTTTACAAGTTTAGCTTGGCATTATCATACTGTATTGCAACATTTTAAGTAATACTTACTCCAACCATGTATTCATTTATAGTAGCAGCACTGGTGCCTCCATCCTCCTTCAAATACCGCACTAATCGAATGTAATCACAATAGTCAGGAATGTACACCAAGACGTTATGGCGCATGCTTGATCGGAACTGAGGAAGCAACTCTTGCGTAAAGTGCTGGAACCTGCTGTCTGGATCTCTCATTCCTGATATGCGACTGAGGACAAGTTCAGCTTGTACCACAACTTCTTGAACTGAACCATGTTCTACAGGGTTTAATACCTGTAAGAAATACTTTTCGTAATTATAACTTACTATAGAAAGAGCAAGTGCAAAATAATGCATAATACAATATATTGCATATGCTGATGATGAGTTAAAACAACATGACTAAAGATCATTACAGACATGTTGATGGACAAAAACATCGTCAATTTTTCATTTTCATATTTGTACGTTGCATATGTAACTATAAATAGATATTCATTGACAATCAGTCTATTTTGAGTGATTAGTAGACTAAGAATGAAAGTACAGTACCGTACAAGTCTCTCTCTCCATTACAGACAACCCTCCATTGGATGTCTCTAAATAACAGTTAATATGTTCAGTAAGGTCTCCAACAAATGTATCAAAGTATTGCCTGTATACACAAAGCAGTTGACATGATAAGGGTCCAGGATGGCCAAGATGTCATCACTTTCCTGTTTAATATGTGTGGGGATTTGGGTATTTAAAGTATATGCCACTGGAAGTTATGAATTATTCTGTTTATCTTCGTGCTGGCGAGTGACATTAAAAATTTTGGAAATATTGTATAGTATTTTAAAAATTACAATGTGATGACCTATCATGTCTAGGGTTAACCAGCAAGAAATAAATCCAGTTCTTGAAATAAATTTAACAGTTTTAAGCTGGTAAATTAACTTAAACACCGATTGCTTCCCAAATACCAAATATCGTACTGTATACCTATACAAGCTATCTCCTCATAATTGAGTGGGAGATGAAAGAGGTATAATTGTATTAATTGGCAGATTGCAGGACACCATTCTTAAAATGGTTTAAACTTCAAGAGACCTTGGACACCACATGTGTTGGTAGGGAAAGTTAGGGAGTGAATACAGAGTTTTATGTGGTGGTTTTGTAATCTCCAAACATTTCTCGTAAGGAGGCTGTGTTTTCTGAGAAGTTCTTTCACCTTTTCAAGTGAATAATCTCAGATGTAGGATGATCTTTGATTGCTACATGCACCCTTGCCTGTTGAATGGGTAATATATTGGTCTCGTCGATGCCTGGTTGATGGGGTTCTGGGAGTTCTTCTACTCCCAAAGCCTGGGCTCGGGCCAGGCTTGAATTGTGAGAGTTTGGTCCACCAGGCTGTTGCTTGGAGCGACCCGCAGGCCCACATATCCACCACAGCCCAGTTGGTCTGGCACTCCTTGGAGGAAAGAATCTAGTTTCCTCCTGAAGATGTCCACGGTTGTTCCGGCAATATTTCTTATGCTCGCTGGGAGGGTGTTGAACAACCGCGGACCTCTGATGTTTATACAGTGTTCTCTGATTGTGCCTATGGCACCTCTGCTCTTCACTGGTTTTATTCTGCATTTTCTCCCATATCGTTCACTCCAGTCCTTGATACATGTGAGGTGATATAAGCCACAGGAGCCTGACTTATTGACTGTAGTGCTGGTGCCATAAAGGTGTTGGTGTGTGTCGGGACCATAAAGGTACGGTACTGGTGTTTTGTTACATTCTATCTTGCATTTTTCTTTGTTTTACAGCATTTTCTTTGTTTATAACTATTTACAGTGTCAACCTCAGTTAATACTGTAGCTTCACAAGCTAATAACAATACCTGTGAAATCCTATGGTGACTGAACTTAAACACTGCACAATTTGTTTCCTGCAATAATCTCAAATATTGGAATTCAAAGTACAGTATTCACTTTACCTGCAATCTTCCTGTGAAATTGGTACACTTATTAATGAGCGCCCTGTTATGGTCTACAAGAGTTGCCGAGAAGATGACAGTCTGACGATACAGTTTGGAATGGCCATCCAAAGACCATAAACGCACTCGAGTGAGGTCCGTATCAAGCTTATGAATGTCATGAGGATGGTGATTTATAGTCTCCATCAATACCAGAACATGCTCCCAATTCTGCATCATAAAGACATCCGCCTGTATGGAATGTAAACATTATACAGTACTACATTAAGAATGGAGAAATGGAAAATTATATTTCCTGTTATCATTATATTCATATCTAGTGTATAGAAAATATATTGCAATCTTGCATATGCCTTCACTATTTCATACCTGATCCAAGATAAGAACTTCAATAGAGGTGAGGAAGTCCGCCTCTGCGTCAGTCTTGACCGAGTTGCCCACTACATAGCGTAAGCCAAGAGGTGAAGCTATTATGATGTCAGAGTGGTAAAAATCTGCATACAGCTGAAAATGGTTAAACAATGGTCAATTAAAGTGATCTAAGTACATTATTAAACTTTAGGGTGTACAGAATACATATAACCTATACAAGTGGCAGAATGACAGCTCAAAATATATCCAGGCAGAATACTGTATATACTCATCTAAGAGATACAGGCAGCCCATGATTTGCATGATATTTGAAAATGTGAAATTGGTTGTATACAGATAATCTTATATTGTTACGACATGCACAGATGAATTTTAATGCTGTGCAGATTTAGTATACGAGTTGTTAGATGTTTCGCCGATGTACCACACTTTATCAACTGTGTCAGGCTCCTGCACACTTTTAGAGACCCCTGGAATGAACCACCATGCTTTCTTCATAGCATTGTACCTACAAGATTGAGTTGTGTGGTGTTTGCTTTACACAAGTGTTACAAGAATGTAACCCTTATACAAATGGAAAATTGCTTGTACTCTGTGGCAAACATATGGTCTTACACTAAATAAACAAATAAAAAGTGTAGCTCCATAATTGACTTTCCCTGTACACTTTTAAACTCTGTACAAATGAGTCTTACCTTGAGGGAACTTTTGGTCAGCTTTAACCCAATCTTGAAGTCCTCACTAATGTCACCCTTAAATGTTTCCTGGAAGTCCTCTGGCCTGGCACGTTTGTTGACACTATCTTCCCCCTCTCCAGGGCCAAAGTCTTCTTGAAAACGACTATGATTTTGGACGGCGGTATTCTTGCCTTCAAACAGTAGTGTTATTATCGTTTCCACAAGTCTGAAATATTAAATGATCAATGAAGAGATATTACCTCTTTTAAATTAACACAAAAATAAAGACAAGCAGTTCGAGATTAAAAACGGTATGTCTGAGCCGGCACACATCATGATATGAAGTGGCCGGTGTGAGGACAGGCTGGTATGAGGAGGACAGGCTGGTGTAAGGAGAACAGGTTATTGTGAGGAGGGTAGGCGGGTGTGAGGAAAACAGGCTGCTGTAAGGGATACAGGCTAGTGTTAGGAGTACAGGTTAGTACAAGTAGTACTAGCCTGACTACTTGTACTGGAGGAGGTGGTGTAAGGAAGAAAGGTTGGTGTGAGGACAGGCTGGTGTAAGGTATACAGGCTTGTGTTAGGAGTACAGGCTAGTGCAAGTAGTACAGGCTGCTGTAAGGCATACAGGTTACTATTAGGAGTACAGGTTACTATAAGGAGTACAGGCTGGTGAAAAGAGTACAGGCTGGTGTAAGGGTTACAGGCTGAAGTAAGGAGTACAGGCTGATGTAACGAGTATAGACTGGTGTAAGGAATACAGACTGGTATAAGGAAGACAGGCTGGTGTGAATACAGGTTGGTACAGTATAAGGAGCACAGACTTGCATAAAGAGTTCAGGCTGGTGATGTGAAAGTAGACGAAGGGACTGAGTACGTAATTATCATAAGAAAGAACCAGCCCAAAAGGCGACAAAGTGCCATCTGTCACAGAATATTCAAAAGGCCTTATGTGTTTGGCAAATACAATCATATCTACTATACAATGAATCAACATCTCTCTATATATTAATTTGGTCGAGCAAAGTTACACTGTACACTGTTAGATCTAGTATTAAACAACTTCTGGAAATAGCAATTCCATAGGACTGCACGAGATAAAAAGATAAAAAAAATAATCTTTCAAATCATAAAATATGTAACACTAACAAACACTAGGTATATGAGAAAATCACTGGAGTAGAACGGGGATTGAACCAGCATCCTGGGTAATGCCAGTTGTGCGCTTTAACCCACGGACCATGATATGCTAAAGAGTATGTCACCTGGGGTCTGGCTGGATCTATTAGGGGTCTGGAGGCACCAAGCTGGCAGCTAATCTAAGTTCATGGATTAAGGCATGCATCTCTGGCTAACCAGGACTCTGATTTGATCCCCGTCCTGCTTAATTATTTTGTCATAGCTATATCACGTAATTGTGATTTCCTTGTGTATTGAGTAGGTCATTTAATTTTGTAAAAAAAAAAAAAATACTGTACCTGTAAGCCGAGTGTTTAAATGGTAGAAGAATAAGAACTTTTGGCCTCGCGTATCCTTGGTCACGATACTTATCCGAACATTCGTATCTCTTCTCGGCTTTCGCTTTAGTGATCTTAAGAGTGTGATTAACAATTTTCTTTCTAGTCTTGAGAATGTGATTAATGGCATGGACAGCATAAACAGTTCTCACTTGCTCCCAGTGCTCAAAAGTGGCCTGTGGGAAGTAAAGATCAGAATAGTTCGATAAAATAGTAAGTAGCTCCTTTTGGAAATCTGTAAGGCTTGTTGGGCATTTAGAACTGCCACAGATATTTGCAAATGGTATATTCTTACACAACGCCTTCCTAATGTTACAGTCGTCTAGAATATTTGTAATTTTCTCCGGAGGCTTAGGAATATCTCCAATATTAGGTAAACTGGTCCCATCTTCATCGTCTGCTAACAATAAAAGTTTGGGAGTTTGAATTTCAACATTTGGAACTTCTATCTTAATTCTCCCTAATGTGGGCCACTTTTTAAAAGATGATGTCCAGCTTTTCAAGTTCTTTACTTGTTCTGCTGCAGCTTCACACAAGTTCTTCTCAAAATGATTTGAAAATGTATCTTTTTGACTTTGATTTGACCCTTCCTCCTCCTCCTCCTCCTCCTCTTCCTCCACTTCGGTGTTATCTTGATCATCCTGCAACAAGAAACATTTTTCAATGGCTAGCAAATGCACATACATGTAAGAGAAATTTGGCATCTTTGAACATCTGTTTACACAGCAGCTACTTCACATGCACATAAAAGTCACAATAACAAATTAAGAAATTATTTAAAGCAATTTATCTTTTATTAGCTAAATTCAAATACAATCCACATTGTCTGGCATGACCCTTGTCTTTTAAACACCAATCTCTTTACAGTCAAAGTTTTATATAATAAGTGCACAATACAAAATATATCAGCACCAACCATCACATCTCCTAAACTTTGTGTATCATCGGTAGAAATGCTGTCTTGCTCAGCCTCGCCATCTGTGTTCTCTTCATCTACAGCATCATCATCCCCCTCTTCATCACTCTCCTCAGGTTCAACTGTAATGTTACCATCCTCATCATTGCTATCTTCATTTACTTCAGAACTCTCTTCCTCTTCGAGCGCATCATCTTCCTCATCGCTGTCAATGGCTTTATGGGCAACAGCACTGAAAGTGGCAAGGAGTTGTGACACTGCATCTGTATCACCATTTTCTTCATCACTTGAAGATTCGTCGGCATTTTCCACCTCCACACATTCACTGTCATTTTCCTCACTATCTTTTACCTGTTACAAATAGAAAATTATTATTAGATTTGCCCAAATTTACCCAAAATGGCCTACAATTATAAAAATATAACAAAAATTAAATATTTTCCAACAAAAAATTGACAATCAATGTAGAATTGAATGAACATAATTTTACTTGAATAAATACGCTATAACAAAATATGACGTAAAGTAAAAAATGTGTAATTACCCAAATCATCAAATAATTATGTAAATAATACATATAAATAAAAAAAAATTTATACAAGAGTTCTTATAATCTTGTAAAGCCACTGGCACACATACAATTTCGGGCAGGTCCTTAATCCTAATTTTCCCTGGAATACGACCGGTTAAATCGTTTAACAACCAGGTACTCATTCACTACTGGGTGAACTGAAGCTACAGTAAAGGATTGGCGCCCAGTCAAGCCTCCCCGGCTAGGATACAAATCAAGGCCAAAGCACTCGCAAAGCACTGGGTGAGTGTCTTACCCCTGCGCCACTGGGACAAATATATTTTCCAAACAGTATTCTTAATAATGAATGTAGAAATTGTTTATATAATTGATGCTGGAAATAAACTTTTTTATGAAATATGACCAAAATAAAGTTGTAGACTTACCAAACATCACACAAATTGACCTATAATTATGAAAATTCTGCACGCTTTGATTAATTCTGTAATTAACACAGATTTTGTAATAATGCTTAACATTTCATATGGTACTGTATCACAAAGACAGAGATATAAAAATTATTATAAATCCATCATTGTTAATATAAGTTATCAGAGAGAAAGGATGTACACTTTAAGAGCATTTCTTGGGGTCCAGATAATCACCCAAAGTCAATAAGAACTGCATAAGAGGAAATATGATATATTTGCAGAAGATGGGGTCACAATAACGTGGCTTGAAGATAGGAGAACTAAACCACACACCAGAAGACAAGGAGACAACGACATTTCGGTCTGTTCTGGATCATTATCAAGTCAATTGGAGATGAAACGTCGTCGTCTCCTCATCTACCGGTGTGTGGTTTAGTTCTCATATGGCGTACAGTATTTGTTTGCTATATTATTAGTACTGAATGTAGAAAATGAAAAATATAATTCTGCTCAGAAATTAACTAATTTTATAATGAAATCTGTTGATAATGTGGCAGGTGATGCTTTGTCGATGGGAGCTGCAATTTCAAACGTATGAGATTGGTCAGTTATCCAGCTGAGCAATGATATGATTAGCTAAACGATAAGATAAAAATATTACCTTCACTCTGACTGGTGAATCAAAAATTGGCAAGAATGTCTGTCGAGGTGAACCAGACCAAAATCCCTAATAACTTTAGCAAGAACACCTAGTTGAATCTTGTATGCGGGATTTCTTCCTACACAGTTTCTAAGAACATTCAAGACAGCCATATAAGAGATACAGCCTGTACATAACGCTTAGTGAACTAGGTCCCTTTAGACTTAAATCAAGAACATCAAACTGCCCCACCTTCCTCCTTTTAACATTTAACTCTTCCTGTTCAATCGGGTGAGCTTCTCCAAATTCTTCATACTGCTTTCTCTTGGGCAGACTCTCAGCTTTCTCTTTCTTTCTCTTAGCCTTATTATAGGAGTTGTGGTGGCGGGTGTAGCCTCCCCTGCCACGTGCCATTGTTTACACTCGGCCTCCCGCTACCGTACGCTCACCAAACACCCTCCTACAAGTTTCCAATTTAATAATGTATCTGCAATTTATTAATTAATTTGAATAATTTACCTGAATTTACCTGGGGCCACTATCTCTCTAATAGGTTCGACCAGGACAGGAAGCCAGCGGCTTGGCAATGGTCCCCCCCCCCCATTTATCCTGATGATTTTATCTAGATGGATCTTGAAATGCAAGAGTTGTGGCAATTACGGCTTCGGCGGGTAGGCGGTTCCATGAGTTTATAACCCTATTCATAATAATAACTCTTTTTGTCGGGGGACAGGAAGCCAGGTTATATATACAGCACATGTTAGGCTTACACCGAGGTGTTCCCCCTTCCAGGGTCGAACTACTGACCCTCCCCAGGATGCAACCCCACAACAGGCTGACTAACTCCTGGGAAACTAGTTACTGCTAGGAAGACAAGCATGAGGTGAAAGGAAACGTGCCCAACCAGGTCTGTGCTGCCCGGGATTCAAACCCGGAATTCTCAATCGTGAGTCGAGAACGAACCCGACTGTACTACAAGGAACCCTAGTGTGGGTGAAATTGAAATTGAAATTGAAATAAGTTTATTGAGGTAAAATACACACAAAGGGATGAGGTAGCTCAAGCTATTCTCACCCCGTTCAGTACATCGTGTTAATACATACATATACACACATCACAAGCAATAAACATATTACCAAACATTCTGAGAGATAAACATCTGCATTTCCTAGTGTGGGTGAAGAAGCATCTCCACATATGTCAGTTGCTTAATTTAGAAGCTGTACTTGTGGTCGATCTCGAACCCATTGTTGACATGACGACTTATACTGAATTTTGTAACTAGCTCATCAAGATTGTAACTTGCTTAGCTAAAAGAATTTCTGAATTTCCAGGGACACATTCTAAATATATCAAAAAAGTTTCAAAAACTGTGGGCATTCTTTCTAAGATCAGATATTATGTACCCCGCCCTGCCCTGGTGACTCTATTACTCCCTTATCTATCCATATCTCAACTATGGTATTTGTGCTTGGGGCTCTACTACCCAAAATCACTTACGTCCTCTAATTACTCAACACAAAGCTGCTATTAGGACAATATCCAACTCTGGCCCCAGGCATCACTCGGTACCCCTACTCAAATCTCTGAATATGTTAGACATTAAGTCACTGCACATTCTCTCATGTGTATTATACGTATATAAAACGCTAAACTATAATGCCAATCCTGATCTCAAAAGCTTCATAGAAGGTTGTAACAGAACCCATGAGCACCACACCAGAAATAAATACAGTTTTGATATTCCTAGAGTACGACTTAATCAAACTAGAAATGCTCTACAAATCAAGGGGCCCAGAATGTGGAATGACCTTCCCAACCATGTTAAAGACTGTACCTCTCTCAACCAGTTTAAGATAAAAACGAAGCTATACCTAATAAATTCCCTGTAACCTACCTTACCCTTCTATTGTCAACCAATGTCTGTTTTTTCTTTAAAGAGCGCTGTTTGTCGACATAATTGTATTTGTGCTGCTTTTTCAGCTATGTTTTCATTTCTTGTTTTCATTCTACTCATTATGCTCAATTAGTATTAAGCTTGTCATTTAAGTTTATCATGCCAGAAACGCTTTGCGTAATAGTGGCTTTAGGCATTGTATGTACTAGCTCTACCTATAAGTCAACCAATCTTTGTAAAAATTTATTGTATGTATGTACCTTACCTAAATAAACATTTTATTTTATTTTATTTTATTTTAATTGTGGGGTTCAGTCCCTGAGCCCATTATGTGCCTCTGTAACCCTTTCCACTATCGCCCACAAGATGGGTATGGGGTGCATGAGGCTGTTGGCCCTTGTGTGTGTTCCATGTGGTCTCTGTTCACCCAGCTGTGAATGGGTTGTTAAACAAAGTTGTTAAATAATGTAATTAACCATTTGGCGGGTCGTATTCCGGGGAAAAAATTAGGATTAAGGACCTGCCGGAAACGCTATGTGCCAGTGGCTTTACAAGAATATATAAAATGTTACAGCAGAAATTGAAACAGAACAACGAGGACTTAGACAGCTGTTACTGGTTGCTTCCTGGGTGTGTGTCAGAGAGAAATATATATATTTGTAGTAGACATAATACAGGAAAAATAAATTGGTTAGAATGGCGGGGTTCAAGAGCTAATAGCTCGATTCTGCAGATACAAATAGTAAATACACTCTGGCTTGGGATCCCTCCAGTGGGGTTCAAAACCACCGTTGTGACGTCACAGCGACGTCATACCTTTACATACTATATAAAACAACATTTTATCTCATATTTTCGTTAGATTAGCTCAGTATAGGCACAGTCATGGGTGGAATATGTTAGAATGGGTTGATTTAGCGTATTATTTTGACGCAGTTACATAATTATCTCAGATATTACATCCTTGTGTATGTGTGTGTGACGTCATAGTGACATCATACCTTTACATACTATATAAAACAACATTTTATCTCATATTTTCATTAGATTAGCTTAGAATAGGCACAACCAGGGTGGGATATGTTAGAATAGGTTGATTTAGCGCATTAATTTGAAGTAGTTGCATAATTACCTCTGATATTAGAGGGCTGTTGTTTGTGTGTGAAGCTCCCGCTCGCCCAGCTTGAACCAGCACCAAGACAGCTTCACCCGCAGCTGTGTGTGGCCCAGCTTGATGAAGCTGGAGGTGTGCTGGTGTCCCCAGGAGCAGCAGCACCTGCCACCACCACACACTGTAAGCTGCCAGCCCCACCAACCTCCCTTTATCACAGTTAAAGCTCTAGTGGTCATGGCGTGTGGCAGCTTAAGCTTACTTTAAGTAAGGTTAAGGGAGGATAGGCTGGGTAAAGTTCACCTAGGCTGGGTAAAGTTCACCTAGGCTGGGTAAAGTTCACCTAGGCTGGGTAAAGTTCACCTAGGCTGGGTAAAGTTCACCTAGGCTGGGTAAAGTTCACCTAGGCTGGGTAAAGTTCACCTAGGCTGGGTAAAGTTCACCTAGGCTGGGTAAAGTTCACCTAGGCTGGGTAAAGTTCACCTAGGCTGGGTAACGTTCACCTAGGCTGGGTAAAGTTCACCTAGGCTGGGTAAGATCTACCTAGGCTGGGCAAAGTGGTCTACGTTCCTGACTTACACTCAAGGGCTCGCGGGTTCAGTCTCTAGGGGGGGGGGCAGAGGGATGGATATGTTTGCTCTCACCTAATGCTTCTGTTCACCCTCCAGCAGTAAATAGGTACCTCAGGTGTTAGGCAGGTAGTGTGGGGCTAGTGACCCCCCCCATTTCCCCGGGGAAGGGGGGGGTTGTGGGCATCTTATAGAGTTCCCTTTTACAAACCTCAAACATTATACTTCTGTGTTAACACTCGACAGTCATGTAAATATGTTGCTGTAAGTTTATTTTTATGATATATAGGTGTTAAGATATATAGGATATATAGGTTTTTATGAACAAATCCACAAGGGCCGTGACGAGGATTCGAACCTGCGTCCGGGAGCATCCCAGACACTGCCTTAATTGACTGAGCTACGACAGGGTAAAAGGGTTCATTTCATTTTGATTCATTTGATGCATCACGTTAGTGTGATCTCTGTGTGTGATGTATTGGTTTTTATGATATATAGGCTAAAGTTTGTAATTAGTCGCGTCGTCGTTCTTTTCACAGAAATCATCGAGGGTGGAGGATGGCGGAGGTTCAGCTGTGGGTGCGGCCGGAGGTGATGGAGCTCGGGGTGCTGCCCATACTTACCCCGGATAAAGTTTCTATCGAGGTACGGTAATATGGCAGCGTGGTCGATGTCCCCTGGGGCTCACAGCTGAGGTGCTGTACCATGGTGGGACGCAGAAAGGGGGGTGGGGCAAGCCTCATTTCACCTGATTCCTCTGTTCACCTGGCAGTAAATAGGTATCCAGGAGTTTGGCAACTGTTGTGGGTGGCATCCTGTGAAATGGTCATTGGCTGTTGGTCTAGGGGGGGGAGGGGGGTATCTGGGCATGCCTGTTAGGTTTCCTGTGTCTATGATAAAAGGATGAGGTAAATCAATAATAGTACAGAAATCTTAATATCAGAAGATCATTAAAAATCGAACTTTAAAAGTCTGATATCTCAGACTCAAAATATGTTTGATATCTAAAAAGTTTGATATCTGCAGATATCAAAATTGGAAGAGCCCATTATTTCTCCGTGTGTTGTGTTGGACGGCACCGCAGGAAAATTGCACGTCCAGATCTGCCGGGGTTTACTCTCCTTTATTGATAGTGCCTTGATCCAGAACATTTAATTGATGGCTTCTAGTTAAAGCTCAACCTGGACAGTTCAACCAGGCTGTGACTCGTGTCGGGCTGCGAGCAGCCACGTTGAACAGCCTGGTTGACCAGACAACCAACCAGACGGCTCGGTCAGAGACCGGGCCGCAGGCACGTTGATTCTCGGAATCATTGACAGGTATGAGTGTTGAGTGTGAAAGGGATTACATAACATATTTTGCTTACAAATACTACAAAATATTTACAGAATAATAAGACGTGCATGATTAATTAGTATCTCACATATGAGACTGAAGTTTTTCTTATTAATGATCCAAAAATGGGAATACAGTACTGTATTGTACCTTCACAATGGAGTTGCCAGAATGATACTAATAGGCAATTGTCCACAATTCGTGAGCTAATAAGGGAGTGAAATTTCTTACTGCAGTACTCTTTTTTTTTTTTTTTTTTTTTTTTTTTTTTTTTTTTTTTTTTTTTTTTTTTTTTTTTTTTTTTTTTTTTTTTTTTTTTTTTTTTTTTTTTTTTTTTGCCTATCATTTAAGGACTTCTTAGGTTAGTTATGTAGTGCAGTGGATGATTTATGCATCACTCAGTCATGTTAAGCACTGATATATAGGTCTGGTCAGTAACTGAACAAGTTAATACCCAGATAGTCTTGCCCTTGGCTCTGGAAACTTGGGTGAGACTGACAGGATTTCTGTCCTCAACAGTGGTATACCCATGACATATTGTATATTAGACACAACCTCAACAGTGGTATACCCATGACATTGTATACCAGACACACAACCTCAACAGTGGTATACCCATGACATATTGTATACCACACACACAACCTCAACAGTGGTATACCCATGACATTGTATACCAGACACACAACCTCAACAGTGGTATACCCATGACATTGTATACCAGACACACAACCTCAACAGTGGTATACCCATGACATTGTATACCAGACACACAACCTCAACAGTGGTATACCCATGACATATTGTATATTAGACACAACCTCAACAGTGGTATACCCATGACATTGTATACCAGACACACAACCTCAACAGTGGTATACCCATGACATATTGTATACCACACACACAACCTCAACAGTGGTATACCCATGACATTGTATACCAGACACACAACCTCAACAGTGGTATACCCATGACATTGTATACCAGACACACAACCTCAACAGTGGTATACCCATGACATTGTATACCAGACACACAACCTCAACAGTGGTATACCCATGACATTGTATACCAGACACAACCTCAACAGTGGTATACCCATGACATATTGTATACCAGACACACAACCTCAACAGTGGTATACCCATGACATTGTATACCAGACACACAACCTCAACAGTGGTATACCCATGACATTGTATACCAGACACACAACCTCAACAGTGGTATACCCATGACATATTGTATACCACACACACAACCTCAACAGTGGTATACCCATGACATTGTATACCAGACACACAACCTCAACAGTGGTATACCCATGACATTGTATACCAGACACACAACCTCAACAGTGGTATACCCATGACATTGTATACCAGACACACAACCTCAACAGTGGTATACCCATGACATATTGTATACCACACACACAACCTCAACAGTGGTATACCCATGACATTGTATACCACACACACAACCTCAACAGTGGTATACCCATGACATTGTATACCAGACACACAACCTCAACAGTGGTATACCCATGACATATTGTATACCACACACACAACCTCAACAGTGGTATACCCATGACATTGTATACCACACACACAACCTCAACAGTGGTATACCCATGACATTGTATACCAGACACACAACCTCAACAGTGGTATACCCATGACATATTGTATACCACACACACAACCTCAACAGTGGTATACCCATGACATTGTATACCACACACACAACCTCAACAGTGGTATACCCATGACATATTGTATACCAGACACACACAACCTCAACAGTGGTATACCCATGACATATTGTATACCAGACACACAACCTCAACAGTGGTATACCCATGACATATTGTATACCAGACACACAACCTCAACAGTGGTATACCCATGACATATTGTATACCAGACACACAACCTCAACAGTGGTATACCCATGACATATTGTATACCACACACACAACTCAAGTTCAAAGTTTATTGTGGTATTTGTTATTTGAAGGTCTGAGGTAAAAACTGAACAAACCACCACCGTGTATTTGCTTGGAAATCTACATTTGTTCTGATGTAGTGTTCTGATAGTATATTTAGTAGAGTATTTTGCTGTGGGCTTTTTTGACAACTTTTGAATAATTTTATATATTTTGTGTAGGATGACTTGATAGTTTTTAACAATTATGTTGATATTGTGACTTATTAAGGTGTTGCCTCTTTCTTTTATCATACTTGTGCAATGAATTCGGTTCTTTGACTAAATTATTGGTGCCAAATATTGATCATTTAGTAAATATTGGTGACCTATTATGTAAAGTATTTTGTGTCATATATCAGATGCTGTCACGGCTGCTGCAATATTCACACGATCTGGGAGAACGTGGCTATCCTCAAATGAAGTACGAAACCTGGAAGCACATTGCTGTAAAAAAGGTGGGTGACTGTCAGTTGTATGGTGGGTGTAATGGGCGACTGTCAGTTGTATGGTGGGTGTAATGGGTGACTGTCAGTTGTATGGTGGGTGTAATGGGTGACTGTCAGTTGTATGGTGGGTGTAATGGGTGACTGTCAGTTGTATGGTGGGTGTAATGGGTGACTGTCAGTTGTATGGTAGGTGTAATGGATGACTGTCAGTTGTATGGTGGGTGTAATGGGTGACTGTCAGTTGTATGGTGGGTGTAATGGATGACTGTCAGTTGTATGGTGGGTGTAATGGGTGACTGTCAGTTGTATGGTGGGTGTAATGGGTGACTGTCAGTTGTATGGTGGGTGTAATGGGCGACTGTCAGTTGTATGGTGGATGTAATGGATGACTGTCAGTTGTATGGTGGGTGTAATGGGTGACTGTCAGTTGTATGGTGGGTGTAATGGGTGACTGTCAGTTGTATGGTGGGTGTAATGGGCGACTGTCAGTTGTATGGTGGGTGTAATGGATGACTGTCAGTTGTATGGTGGGTGTAATGGGTGACTGTCAGTTGTATGGTGGGTGTAATGGGCGACTGTCAGTTGTATGGTGGGTGTAATGGGTGACTGTCAGTTGTATGGTGGGTGTAATGGATGACTGTCAGTTGTATGGTGGGTGTAATGGGTGACTGTCAGTTGTATGGTGGGTGTAATGGGTGACTGTCAGTTGTATGGTGGGTGTAATGGGGACTGTCAGTTGTATGGTGGGTGTAATGGGTGACTGTCAGTTGTATGGTGGGTGTAATGGGTGACTGTCAGTTGTATGAACTGTACAGATTTTTAAATGCTGTGCAGAAAGTCATAATAATGCAGCAGAAAATACTGTATGACATGATATCTAGATTTCATCTTTCTCTTTTGCAATATGTATTGCATTATCAAACCAAGATAGCATGATCAATAATTGTTAGCTAGTCAATGTTTAGTTCTTATCATCAACTAGTGTGTGTGTGTTATATACTCTTGAAATGCTACTCAAAAGTGATATGTAACTATATATTTTCTTTTGTGGTTTACACAGATGGGTCTAAGTGTTGAATGCAGTATGGTTGTATTTTTTTCTTGTCTTCTGTTCTCCAAACTTCGTCCTGGTCGTGACCGGGAGCTGGAGGCTTCCCTTGCATCTGCTGCTTCACAAAAAGAGAGAGGTGTGAATTAGTCTTCCCATTCCAATAAAACATACTTACATTAGTAACCTTGTCTTGGGGTCTTGTTTTCTAATTCAGAATGGATTAAATATCTTTAACAAACAGTCATAGACAATCTTAAGATTTTTTTTTCCTTTTATTGCAATATTTGTGAGAAAATAAGCTTGATGAGGATTTGAACGTACACGCTGGGTACTTCTAACTATTGAATCCTCATCGTGGCTTCTACTGGTTTTCTCATTGATAGTACAGTATCACATTAATAGATTTCTTTGTGCATAATATTTGTCAATAATTTTTCAGACGAGGTGTTCATAATTCTGAGTAGTATATTGTATTTCTTCAGATGAGGTTATGGGTTGTGTGGAGGTTTGGACAATGGAGTTGATAATTCTGTTGTATCTTCACCGAGTCACCAGCGCTCATCCTCGGGCCGTTGCCAGACAAACCTCTCTCCAGACTCTCACCACTGACCCGTATCCTTTTCTAAGTTTTTTCTATGTCTACTGACCATATATTGTATTAGTTCAATGATGGTGCTTTATGTATATACAGTATGTATGAATGAATACCTTTATTTGTACAGTATACATGTATGAATTTTCTGTCGGGACCCCCATCGGCTCCCTGAAACTATTTGAACTGATATGTGCTATCAGTTTGGGGTCACCAGTCACAGGAGTCCTTATGCATACCCAGAACCACAAGCCAGAACCTGGTCCCTTCAGAGAGGCGCAGGGAGCAATGGCCTATGAGCACTTTACATTTAAATTGTCATAATTGCCATCGACCGGGGAAGGACCCAGAAAGGTACAGATGAAAACATTGTCTAGTTAACCTGTGCAATTTACATCCAAAAAGATCAAAATAATTTGCCTAGAAAGAAAACCAAATGAGCAACCCTTCATGCGACTAGCACTTCCACTCGTTAGCATTACCCTATGGGGGAGGGAGTGAGGAGGACCACTTCAGGCAACCACTTCAGTTCTTGAACTGATGTGCTGGCGGTCACTTCGATTACCTCTGGCCTCAAGATCCTGTTCTGGAATTTGCCCTGTGTGGGTGTACCAGCAGTGTGTTTGGGTGTTGGCCAGGTGTCGTCTTGTACGGGGAGCTGCATGCGCCTAGGGTGAACTTTCCTAGGTGCTCCTTAATTGCTGTACTGCCCTTGCATTTCAGGGTTATCTTCCTTGGGGCTTTTGGGAATCACTCCTCGCTAGAGGACTTCATCGCTTGAGGTAGTCTTCACCCTTGGGGTATGTTGGCGGTCTTGGACTTTCCGTCTTGCCTTCCGCTCGCTACCTATTCAATGTTCCTGGCCCTAGTTCGAAATGTGTCACATTGGGTTGGTGATTGCAGCCAGTTATCTCGACTTCGAGTTGAGGAGCGAGGGGCGACTGCCTCCCAGGTAAATCCCTCTTGCGGGATTTGTTTTATCTTTGGTTAAGTAGCTCCGGGGAGCCAAAGAGTCTACCCCTAGAAAACCAGTGTTGAATGTAATGAAACACCATTTTCTGGTAGACCCAGAGGCACCAAGACAACCCTACCTCCCTCCCTCCCTCCGGTTGGCAGTTTTTAGCGAGTTTTTGATATTCAGCCTCAGAACTAAAGGGTGGATAGCTGGTGTGGGGGTGTGGGGTTCCACTTCCCCCTCCTAGGGTGGGGGAGCTGCGCAGACAGCGCCACAGTGACAGTTGTGATGTCATGCTCGTTTTTTGTTTCGGGAAGTTCTGTCCAACAGTTTGGCTTTCAGTAGCAATAATTTAACCAGATAGGGTTTGTTTTGGGGCGCCTACCTTTCTGGGTACCTGATCCAGTTGATGGCAGACATAGAATGCTTCCAACCACATGGGTTTCTGTAGGCCATTGCTCCTCGCGCCTCTCTGAGGGGGCCAGGTTCTGGCTTGTGGTTCCTGGTAGGGCTAAGAACTCCACTCGCTTGACTGATACAATGGTCTAATACATTCATATCAACCCGGATAGCTTTGGGGCGCCTCCGGGTCTCGCCCAGAAAATGGCGTTTCATTACATTCAACGCTAGTTTTTTCCTTAACTATATATATTGCAGATGGCCAAATAACAATATTTCTAGTGCTTCAGCCAGGAAACAGCTACTGGAGGAGAAACATTCTGAATTTGTACGAGAAGCTTTGCCAGAACTTCTAAGTTTATTAGCAGGTGTAAGCTACATAAATCTTACATTTTACATGTTCTGTATTTTCATAAGTGCTATATTCTAAGTGTATGAGTACAGTAAAACAATACATTTTAATGAATTTCCATGACCATTTGGAGTCGTGCTATTCACAAGAATTTCATACATTAATATTGCATTTATAATAATAATAATAATAATAATAATATAGCATTAAAACATTAATTAATATACCTTTCAAAATTTCCTCTTTGATTTGATCAACCAGTTATACTTACTCAGTATGTCATGGGTAGTTAATGATATTAAGGTTAAACCCTTTCACTGCTCAAGTTGTCATTATGTAATTTTCCCCACATAAATTATCCATTTTTAGTTACTGTACGTGCACCTCAACGTAATGCTTTTAAATAGCTGCAGTATTCAGGAGGTTCATAAGTACGTAATGTAATATTAGGTTTACAGTTAGTCTTGATGTACTGTATGTAGAATTAAAATTTTATGTTTGGTTTGTTTTGATTTAATGTATGGCATTTAGCACTTAGACGAGGAAAGTATCATTTGGTATTCATTTCTCTCATAGCATCTCCAGGTTGAAGACACAGAGAAAAAAAAAAAGACAAATGACAAACGCACACCGCGGGAACTCCTGGGCTTTATGAAGTCTGCAGGTGTTCTGTCTGTAGACGTTGTTAGATCTCTCAGCTTTATAATTGGTACATCAATACAAGGAGAAAAGTAAGTTGCTAGCAACATTGAGATTGATTTAATGTACTTTGGTATGGTTAGCTGCCTAACACAGATTAAGAAGTTTTGGTCTGTATTATGGATAGTAAAGACTGGTATCATCTACTGTCTTTTTATCATTTCTTTAGCGATGTCTATTAGTATTTTGTACACTTTAAATGTGTAACTTAGAATGCAGTTTTTTAACCAACTTGTTTTGTTAATAAATTGTGCACATACAGTGGCCCCTCAGTTTACGAATATAATCCGTTCCCAGAGATGGTGCATAACCCAAAAATTCGCATTCCATTCCACACTCCCAAAAATATTAACTTCAAAATACATTTCATACCTAATAAACACAAATATTTAGTACAGGTACGATAATATGTACAAATTATAGCTTACCTTTATTGATGACTTGTTGGCGTATGGAAGACGGTGAAAAGGAGGGGAGGAGAAGGACAGGTGTTAGTGTTTGTAAGGGGAGTCCCCTTCCATTATAACATCAGGGAGTGATGACTTCTCTGGGGGTACACTCTCTCCTACATTTTGCTTGCATACCACTAGGACTTAGTTGTGGCTCACTGCTTGTTTTTCTCACTAAAAAGCTTTCTATAGACTTGTTTATCCCTACATTGTAACAGTTGTCTGTAGTGAAGCATCAGTATCCTTAAAAATTTTAAGGCAACGGTCTACTTCAGCTTGCTGTGGGTGAGACGTTTCAACAAAAGTTTGCATTTCTTCCCATAGTCTACACCACTTCTTAATTGTTGAGGAAGGTACATTCTGTACTACCTCCTCCTTCCCCCTGAAGAAATTTCCTCAGCTGCCTTTTTGTTGCTGCTCATTGTGAAGGGCTAGGAGTTCTTTGGTGGTCAGTTCTTTGCTGTGTTCCTCCACCAACTCTCAACACACAACACTGTAAATGCCATTTCTTTTTGTAAATTTCTCAAACCATCCCCTGCTCGCCTTAAACTTTTTTGTATCTGCATAACTTGTTCCAGGGGGGTTTCTTTATAAGATCTTCATACAATAGCCTTGCTTTTTCACAAATGATGGCCTCGGAAATGCTATCACCTGCTAACTCCTTGTTGTGTATCCAAATTAATAACTTTTCAACATCTTCAAGTGTTTGTGTTCTTTGTTTCATGATTGTTGATATGCTTTCTGGGGGGAGCCCCGTCGGCTCCCCGGAGCTTTACCGGCTGATATGCTAATGTCAGACTTTGGCATCAGTCATGTGTATGGAGTTCTAGGGCCTACCGGGGACCACGAGCCAGAACCTGGCCCCCTCAGAGAGGCAAGGGGAGCAATGGCCTATAGAAACCCCCGTGTGGTTGGAAGCATTCTATGTCTGCCATCGACCGGGTCAAGCACCCAGAAAGGTAAGCATTCCAAAACAAACCCCTATTCTGGTGAAAATTGCTACCTAAGCCGAACTAGTGAATAGAACTCTTCAACAGAAAACACGGAAACTAGTATGACGTCATACGTCACCGCGCCGCTGTCTGCGCAGCTCCCCCCTCCCCGGGAGGGGGAAGGGGGAGCCCCAGACCTCCCACGCCGGCTATCCACCCATCAGTTCTTCGGCTGATGCTATAGGCAATGGTTATGTGCTCCGGCTCCAGTGGTTGTTTCAGCACTGTACCTAGAGTGTGGTGTCTGTTTTCTAGGTGGTGCGTGAGCCGGGTGTGATTCTTCAGTACTCGGGCTGCATGCGCCTAGGGTTCCCTTCCCTAGGTGCCCTGTAAGTACTGCCCTTGGGGCTTGGGGCCACCTTCCACAAGTTCCTTGGGTCCTGCCCCTGCTTGGCCGTTTACCGCTTGGTTTTCGGCCGCTCTTTGTGTGCTCGGGTGTTCTGTCTCCCTTGTTCGCCTTAGAGTAAGGGGCAGTGTTTGCACTGGTGGGGCGCGGGGTACTGTGCAGCTTGTCTTTACCAATCATAGCGGCCGGCTCTGTTCCGCTTGGGTACGCTGTCCTCTTGCGGGGTTTTCTTTTTCTTTTGTTTATATACCTGGTGGGGGGGTCTGCCTTCGTTCTTGCCCCTTGTGTCCCTTGTGTTCTGAGTATTTCTGGTGGTACCCCCTGCTAGGTCCCCGTGAGTGTACACGTCCCGGGGGTTCAGCTCTTAGAAAGTTGTTTGGTAGCTTGGGTGCCGGTTAGCAGTACCCTGCCTGGGATTACCTGAGCGCGAGTCCTCTTAAAGTAAACGCTCGGGACCCTGGGAAACCCCTGGGGGCGCGCGGGTCCGATGGATGTGACCCCAGAGCCCCCCCTCGCTTCCAGCGAGTTTGAGGGTTGCTCTCACCTTTTGTCTCTGGGTGACTCTCTGTTTTGCCTCCGTCTGCTGCCTGTGGGGTCGGTGACACCTTCGACCCGGTGTCCTGCGAGTTTGGTTGCTCGTTGTGGCTCGGTTACCCAGTTGTGCTAACAAAGCGGGTGCGGGCAGCAGGGGCGTTGCACTTGAGCCTTGGTGGTGGCAACGTTCTCGTGGTTTCCTCCCCGGGAGCCCCGGGGCTGCCCCGTTGTATTTCGTTTTGGGACTTGGGGGTGTTGGTTGCTTCGGTTCCATCCACGCCCCCTTGTCTTTCCCCTGGTTCACCCTTCCTGCCTGTATCCGGTTCCTTACCGTCTGTAGGTTCAGGGCGGGGTGTTTGGTGGTGTTGAGACTCGGGCAGTCTCGGGGAATTCCCCTTCCGGGGTAGTGACGGGGGCATTTGGGCCTGTTCCTCCAGCCGTGTTGTATGAGTCTGCCAGTGGGCTCCCTTCCTTAGTGTTTTCACGGCTGCCCCGGTTTTCTGGTACGGCCGGGGCTTTGGGGGAACGGCTCGGCCCCGGGGCCTGTCGTGTAGGTTCCCGGGGCTGGGGAGGGGCTGACTTGGGGGGGCCTTGGCCCCGTTAGACCCCGTGGGGGGTTTTATCCCCCTCTCGGCGGGGCTTGTGGTTACGCGGAGTGGGGTCTTTCCTCCCCACTCGCCGTACGTGCTGTTGGACGTCGGCCCCTCCCCGGGCTCGGTTCCTTGGCCTTTGAGTCGGTTGGTTCCGTCCTGTGGGTGGATATTTCCTCCCCCGCTTTTTGAGACGGTGTTTTTGTCATGTTTCCCCGTTCGATGGGGTTCTGCGTGACTTTTGATCTCGGGTGCGCCTGCGCCTTCGTGTGCCTTCGGGACTAGTGTTGGCTTCTGTGTTCTCGAGGGTACGGGAAGGTTTTTCGCTACTTCCCGCATTATTGGAACGTCTGTCGGCTCCTAGTACTTGTCGCCCTGTTGGGCTACTTGTCGCCCTGTTGGGCTACTTGTCGCCCTGTTGGGCTACTTGTCGCCCGGTTGGGCTACTTGTCGCCCGGTTGGGCTACTTGTCGCCCGTTTGGGCTACTTGTCGCCCGTTTGGGTTCCCTTTTTTTTTTTGGGCTCTTTGCTTCTTTGGCCGGTTTTATTGTTCCTGCTTCCTCTTTTGGCTCTTTTTCTCGTGCAATAGTCCTGGCTGGCGCCTTCCCGCAGGGAGGGTGTGCGGTTCGGCCAGCGTGTTATGCGCATGCGCCGTGGAGTTTGTTTTGGTCTGGGCGATGGTTCAGTGCTGGGGTTTTGCGCCCTTTTTTGCTACAGTGCTTCGCCTCTCGTTCTTCTCCCTGGCTGCGGTATGTGCCCCTTTGCGCCAGGGGTGTCCTGGTTCCCAGTTGTGGGGAGGACACCGCGGTTTTCTGTGTCATGGGTGTGGACCGCCTCCTTCGCCTCTCCCTGTTCTCCTGCGGGTCCGGCTCTGGCGTCTTCACCTAGCGGTGCTCCCGAGTTCTTCTGGGCACGGTTGAGTCGTGTCAAGTTCGAGCCACCATTCGCCAGGTGAGTTTCTGCGGTCTGGCGTCTTTTGGCCGGGCGCTGGATGCGGCGGTGTTCATATACCTGTCTTTATTTAGGTATAATTTTGTACGACTGAGACCGTTCGCACACCAGTGACTGTCCCTTTATCACCCCTTCCTGTCCCCCTCATGTGCATGTCCAACCCATGCTGGAGTCGTTCAGGGGACCCTCCCTTTTTACTGTTGTGAGGTGTGGGGGTTGTAGGGTTGGTTCTGTACTCACCTGGTGAGGCTCCTGGCTGTGCTTGCAGGTTTTGAGCTCTGGCTCTTGGGTCCCGCCTATCTGGTAGAACTTGCGGGATAGTACCAGTGGAGTGCAGTGGTGCTATTGGCACTTTTGGGGAACACTGTATTACCATCAGTGGTCTGTGCTTGTTACACGACCTACTTGCGAGCATAAGCCTTCTTGCTGGTTCGTCCGTGGACTTCCAGGGCGCACTGGCCTGTTTTCGTATGGCAGTTCCGGCCCGTCCTGGTTGTGGAGGTATGTGGGCCGGTGGACTGCTCCTAGCAGCTGCCTGGTGGGCCATCTTCTGGCCGGTCTGGCCTGACCTTGGGCCGGGCTTGAGGTGTAGAAGAGCTCCCAGTACCTCATCCAGCAGGTATCGAGCGGGGTTTCTCCGCCGTCGGTCGCCTGGTGCAGGTTTCTGGGCCTGCAGGGTTTTTGTCGTGTCTCCGTTGGCCCTGTCTGGGGTCTGCCTGCTCCGTTCTCTGCCTTTGCAGAGGGGAGTTGCTATTTACATGTTGCATGTTGCAGTGGTGCCTGTTGCTGCTGCTGCTGCACGTGAGCATTGGTACCGTGTTTCACGGTGGCGTGTCCTTGTTCCTGTGTCCGGTTGTGGAGTGGCGCTTTGCTGCCGTTTTGTGCCTGGGGATTGCGTGGGGTTTTTGTCCCTGCCTGATTGTCCACCCCTGGTTGTTCTCCTGTTTTTTTTTTTTTTTGTGCTTCTGCTCTTTCTTCCTGCCTCTTCTGCAGCAGGAATGTTCTGCGTGTGTTCTTAGGCGTTGGTCAGCCTGTGTCCTGTGATGTGCTTCTTTGTCTCGGTCTGTTGCAGTTGTTCGTGCCCCTTGGTTCGGGTCCTGTTCTGGCGGCGACCCTTCCGCCTTCTTTGGTTTTCCTAGCTTGCCCTGCCGGTTGTTGTTGTTTTACTTTTTTTGGGGGGGTTCTTGCGATGTCTCGCGTCGGACCCGTCGTTTCTGAACTCCTGGCGGGCTTGCATGCTTCGGAGTTTTTCTGTTCGGCAGACGTTCCATCTCCTTGTGCCGCCTGGGTTTCGGTGGTCGCGCCCGAGATCTTCTCGCGGCTCCGCCTTTTTCCTGGGCTCGGGGGGGCCTTGTCGGGGCTGCTTATGTTCTGCCTCGTGGTCTCGCCTCCGGTTGGTGGTCGGGTGGCTTCGTGGTAGGTGTCCCACCTGCGTGCTTTCTTGGCGGCAGTATGGGGTATTTTGGCGGTCCTTCCTTTTCCTGTCCCTTCTTCGGTGGGTCCTTCTTGTTGGCTTGGTTTACTCTCGGCTTGGTTTTCTAGTGGGGGTTGGGGGCCGTCGTCTTGCCACATACTGTCGCCTCTTTTCGTGCGGCGCAGGCGGAGCCGCTTCAGCTTGCTTTCGGTCTTGGTGTTGCTTCTGCACCGTTAGTCAGCTGTCTTGTGCGTCATTTCACCTCCGGCCTGTTCGTGCGCCGCTTGCACCATCCTGGTCTCTGGTCAGCGTGCTCTGTCTTCTCCTCGGTTGGTAGTGCCCCTTCGGTTCCGGTGTTTTTTTTCGTCGGCTCTTTCCTTTGGGCCTTTGCCTCTGGGGGTCGGTTCGCTGTGTTTTCTTGCTCTTTCGGTTTTAGCGTTTTGGTTGTTTGCTGGCAGCAGTCTCCATCTTTTCTGGCGCGGGGTGGGGCTGCTGCATTCTGGAGGGGTCCAGGGTTTGTTGGTGCTTCGTTGGTCGGGCCGGGGGTGTGTCGTTTTTGTGTTCAGTGGCGGCCCTCTGCTGTTGTTTGCGTGCCACGGCGTTTGGGTCCGGAGCGCGTTTTGCGTTGATCCGGTTCTGTTCTTCCCGGTTCGCGGGTGATGGTGTCCCGGGTGGTCAGCCGTGTTCTTGCGGCTAAGCTGCCTGTGTTCTTCCCTCATGCCTGTGGCGTTCGTGGCTTTGCTGCTCTCGCTGCCGTCTGGGCGACGTGGCCTTGCAGTCTTTCGGGCATGGATTTTTGGTGTTCGTGCAGGGGCCTTGCTGCTCGTGGTTCTCGTGTTGTTCCCGGGATTTTCGGGGCTGTGGCGCCTTGGGTTGGCGTTTGCTGCCGGTTGTCTCGCCTCCTTGGGGGGTGCGTGGTGTCCGCCTCCCGGTTTTGTCCCTTTGACCTTCCTCTGTGGGTAGTTAGCTCCGGGGAGCCGACGGGGCTCCCCCCAGAAAACCAGCGTTGAATGTAATGAAACGCCATTTTCTGGGTGAGACCCGGAGGCTCCCCGGCAACCCTCCCTCCCTCCGGTCGGCGTTTTTCGCGTGTTTTGACATCCAGCCTCAGAACTGATGGGTGGATAGCCGGCGTGGGAGGTCTGGGGCTCCCCCTTCCCCCTCCCGGGGAGGGGGGAGCTGCGCAGACAGCGGCGCGGTGACGTATGACGTCATACTAGTTTCCGTGTTTTCTGTTGAAGAGTTCTATTCACTAGTTCGGCTTAGGTAGCAATTTTCACCAGAATAGGGGTTTGTTTTGGAATGCTTACCTTTCTGGGTGCTTGACCCGGTCGATGGCAGACATAGAATGCTTCCAACCACACGGGGGTTTCTATAGGCCATTGCTCCCCTTGCCTCTCTGAGGGGGCCAGGTTCTGGCTCGTGGTCCCCGGTAGGCCCTAGAACTCCATACACATGACTGATGCCAAAGTCTGACATTAGCATATCAGCCGGTAAAGCTCCGGGGAGCCTCCGGGTCTCACCCAGAAAATGGCGTTTCATTACATTCAACGCTGGTTTTTTGCCACTTTAGCACTCATAATGTCCTTTTTCTTAATAATCACAGTGCATATCATTGACATAGATTTGTTGTACTGCCTAGCTAGTTCAACAATCCGTGTACCATTTTCATGTTTACGAATGATCTCTTGTTTTTGCTCTATGGTCATCCTCTCACATGTATTTTCTTAGATTGACCCTTACCACTGACTTTCTTGGGACCCCATGATGTGATATATAATAATTCCTTTTATGTTCAAAACCTCAAAAAAAAGCCTGAAAACAATGAAATTCTTTACAAAGAATTCAAGAGCGATCATCACTAAGCGGGAGGCACTGATAAACTGAAGTGCGAGCGACCATGCCACCAGGAACCACGTGCTAGGTCGCTCATACACGTATCAAAAAACTACGTAACTCGAAGCAAAGCTCGTAACCCAATTCAAATTTTACAAAGAAATTGGGCTCGTAACCCGAAAAATTTGTAAAGAAGGGCATTCGTTAGCCAAGGTGTCACTGTATTCTCACTTTCTTCGTTTGTTATATTTATTTTAACAGCACAGGTGTTTTCTTACTTGAAACATAATAGCTGTGAATTCATGCAGTTATTTTGTTGTTTGTGACTGTCTTGGTAGAGATAGGGGTGAGTAAATATTTTTAATGGACAAAGTAATCACATCAATGTTAGTACCCAGGCTGCTGGTTTGAATCCTCTGAATAGCTCCAGTGATTTTCTCCAGGGTGTTTTAACTTCATCCAATGCTGTATTGTGTTTTTATCATTAAAGATCAGTAGAACAAAATATAATTTGTTGCCAAAATCAAATAATTTATCTTTGTATTGCAGAGGTGAGCACGACCTCCTGTCATTGGCAATGGACACCAATAATTGTTACAGATCTGGTTATCTAAGTAAGAAGAATTCTTTCCAAAAAGGGTAAGTTATGGGATAGCTTTTCATGTCTTACGCTGAGAGCTCTTGGTACCTTACTCCTTCATGCTTTTAGTGATCTTGTTGAGTGAAATGATAAGAATAAAGTTATGTTTACACACAGAAATCACAATAGCGTGATGCATCAAATGAACAAATCCACAAGGGCCGTCATGAGGGTTCGAACCTTCGTCACGGCCCTTGTGGATTTGTTCAAAGTGATGTTTCATTCTTCCCTATGTGGCTATTGTACATACTGTGCTCTTGTGCAAGTTTACTGACAAATTGTTGCATAATGCATATGTTTATATCACAACATGTACTCACAATTACAGTAGACAATAATCTTCAGTTGCTTATGTAAAGGTTTTGTGTGTACAACAGATACATGGTTTCAGAACTAATCTACTGTAAACTAACAAACACTTGACACATATTTATATAATTTAAATCATGATAATGCTTCATTTGTTACAAAAGAAAAAAGGCTTAAGCTTTTTAAGGCTTAGTCTTAGTGGTCACCAAGGCTTAGTGACGTGTTTCTTACGTAAATAATTGTGCTCGTGATGATTTGTTTCAGTTTGTTGATATGAAATACAACAGCTCAGCCATTACAAATAACTCAGACATAAGTTTAATTAATAAATAGTCCAGCAAAACTGAAAAAGTAACACAGTACACGTACTTTATCAAGTACTGTATTTGAGGCAAACTAGGATAAAGTCATTTTCTTTGTAATTGCATTATATCATTACTCTAATGCAGTCATTATAACAAGCACGTGTGTAGACTATGAATATCAATGTCAGAGTGATAACCTTTTGCTTTCATACTCATCAGTCTGTTCAAGAGGACAGGTTGAATAATGAGTCATTCTGCTCAAGTGAGACACCTTTATGCACATATGCAGTAAATAACAGAATTGCCTATCAAGCTATCTTGTCATTACTGTATGGTGAAATGAATTTTGCATTACAGTTTATTTGAGCAGTGGTTGTTAAGAGGACTAGACTGGGCTCCTCATGGAGAGTGGCTGTGTGTGCGTCGCGGCAGTAGGCAGTCTTGGCCTGTGGTGTCTCTAGCATCACAGACACACCATCGCTTTGTGGCATCCTCATCTCCTGGGTATGTATTATCACCAAAGTAAACAAATTGATTTTTGTTTCAAAATATTCTATACTGCAGCCAACTTTTAACCACTGTACCGTGCAGAATGCCTTTAAGGCACTCTGAAAGTTGTACTATTATTTTTTAATTAGGCTATACAGTATTTTAGTGTTTTTTAATGTTTTCATCACACTTCATGTTTTGAGCCCAACCACTTGGGCTGGACGGTCGAGCAACAGTCTCGCTTCATGCAGGTCGGCGTTCAATCCCCCAACCGTTCGAGTGCTTGGGCACCATTCCTCCTCCCCGTCCTATCCCAAATCCTTATCCTTACCCCTTCCCAGTGCTATACTGGTATAGTTGTAATGGCTTGGCACTTTCCCCTGATAACTCCCTCTTCGAGTTTTGAAATGAAAATGGTTGAGTTTGGAAGCATTTTGACATTAACTTTACCTGAATATTTGTATAAACAACAAAAATATGTCCTTGATAATTGCACTGTGAAGTTTTTGCCGAAACCAGGTGCGCAGTGCGGTGGTTAAGTTCTGCATTCTGATCTGATTATTGGAGCACTAGGTTTTTTATTCAGCTTCATTTATAAAGTTTTAGATGATTCAAAAGTATTTTGCTCATTTTTAAAGTGGTTTTATAACATTTAGGTCTTCAGTAGAAGAATGAGATTTGTGAAAAGTTCTTTGTTAATTTTGAATGAGTAAGTAATTGTGAACAATTTTTTGACTGGATTTGGTGCTACATAGTCTTCTCTACTTGTTGCCTCCTTTTGATTACTTTAGGTACTTTTGAAGTAGAGTGATCTTGGAGTAAGGAAAGCAGCTGGTCAGAATAATAAGTAAAATAACGTCAGTATATTTATAACCTAAGGATTTTTAATATTAAGTGAATTGCTTGACTTTGAATCAGTTTCCAGTGAAGTTGACTTTCTCTATTAATGTCTCCACTCATACATTATACTGTAGTATACAGTACTGTATATAGGGTGTTTATTAATGCAATCTTTTTTTCTAGTCATAAACTCATGTACATATGTGAGCTAGTAGATGGCCTGACGGCACACATGGGAGATGAGGCTCCTCCCTGTGACCTTAAAATACGACGCTGCTCCAAATCCAATATCTACATTCTACAGCCAGTCAGGTGATTTAACACTCCAGTGATCTGGTTGCTATCTGATGTCCTCCTTTGCTTCACTCACCATATGCAATATTTTCCCTTTATGATTTAATGTTTTTTATCATGTGCAACTCTATTTGGTACTTTTAAATAGCTGAACAATTTAGGGGGATTAATGTGTAATATTTAACTTATTATAGTAAGAGAATGTCCTATAATGGGAGAATAAAGTGATTGCCTCAAAATTGCCTTTACACCTCGGTATTTTGGATAATTAAGAGTTGATTCAATAACATCTTATCACTATCATCTGTGACATAGTCTTTTGTCCTCAGAAATGCTGTAATCCACAAGTGCCACGATACTCGAATAGTGCTAGGCCCAGTGTCGGGGCGAATACGTTTAAGTGAATGTCGGAATACTACGGTAGTGTGTGCGGCGCGGTCCGTCGTGATAGCAGATTGTCGAGGATTGATCATTCACACACTGACACCCCAGAGACCTATATTAGTGGGAGGTCGTACACAAGGTGTCACACTGGCACCGCTCAATATTCACTACCCTCGCCTCAAACACCACATGGCTAAAGCACAACTTCAGTCTCATATTAATATGTGGAACAGACCATTACATTTAGGTAAGTTTCTATTTGGAATTTTTTGTTATATTCTGATGACAATCAGAGCAACAGTAATGAGCCAGAAAAGACTAGAGTTGTGCCTCAAAGTGGCTGACATGAGGAACTTGGCCTCCCTAGGTCAGAGAACCACAATATTTTTACAAACTTAAAATAAGCCGTCAATCTGACATGGTTTGCAAAACACTGTAAGCACCCTATGGCAAAATGAATAGGTTTTGTATTGTGAATATGGCATTGGGTAATGTATACTATTTCTCTAAATCTTGTTTATTATTTCTTAGAATAATTTTAAGTTCACTTCATTGGACTGAATCCCCTCCAATAGATGTAGTGTACAGTATATTCTTCCTCAGATATGGAAAGCTAACTCCAAAGCTATGTAGACTGTACACACACAGATTTGTTGACAGGCAGTGAAGGAGTTCTGGGTGGTGCGTGTGAGGTGATGAACCCAGAGGACTTCCAGCTGCTTGTAATTCCCTTCACTCAAACTCCTCCAATAGATGGCCGACCACCTCTCTTGCCTCCAGGGCTTCCTCATGAATTTGCAAAGGTCAGTTTTCAAATTATTTGTAGCCTTGTGAGAATTTTATTACCCTTGAAGTACAATTATGGTATAAAAACCAAAACATTTAAAGTAAGAGGCTAGAGGGAAAGTTTATTATGAACAGTACAAAAATTGCAAGTTATTGAATAGTGGTTATGAAGGACTTGTAATGATTAGAAGAAAGAAAGCAGCATGATTGAATAAGAATTTTAAGAGAGTAGTCCAGGAAATGTTTTATTAATGTCAGCTGACTGCATATTGGGATTTAGAGAACGATATAAGGAACCTAGCAAAGACAAAATAAATGAGGCAAGAAAATATAAGAATATAAAGAATGCTCTATACTGTATCTGATAAAATGGGTTCCATCCCATTGTATGACCTCAATATTTTCTCATAGATACATGCCTGGGCAGTTCTGGGATGCAGGTTCAATCCCATTGTATGACTCTAATGGAGTATCTTCCATTAGGGTAAAGCTGCTGGTCTCCATTCACTTCAGAAAGTTATTGATGTACTTGGTAGACTAGATATACTGTAGTTATGTTTGGGTTCCTCTATATCCTCTTTTTAACTTTTTTATGGTCCATCTTCGAGGTGATGAGTTAGTGGACAACTTACCTGTTTCGTAGGAGTTCATCGTGGGCCTCTTCGTAGTGATTGTGATTTGACTATGAAGCACCACAGACATCCTGTTTCTGTGGCATCTCCATATTTATTTTACTTTTCTGGTGAATGCTCTGCATTTTGCTGAAAATGGCAGAAGTGGCAAAATTTCAGTTTCCTCTTATTAAGATGCTGTCTCCTGTTCTGCAGACACTGAAGAGATGTGTGGGCCATGTGGTTTAGCACCATAGCTTCCCTTTCAAAAACTAATAAATGTTTTATACGATTGCTTAGGAAAGATCAGTGCCTCTAGAGCAGCTTCATAAGCTTTGACTTATACAAAGCAGTCATAGTTTAGAGATTCTTACCAATGGGAGCCACTAAGTGCAATCGACTTGAGAATGGTCCAGGACGGACCAAAACGTCGTCGTCCCTTCACCTTGTAGTGTGTGGTCTGGTCAACATATTCTAGTCACGTTATTGTGACTCATCGCCTACATAAGTGCCTTACTGAGGAAGGTGCTTTATATAAAGACTCAATTGTTCTTCTGGGCTGATATATCCTCACCCATTACAAGAGTAAATGATGTACTGATATGTTTACGTTGTCTTGGTTATGACTAAGTTCCTCCATTCTGTGAATGCATTTTCTCTTTACAAAATCTTTTCTGCTTTAGCTTACACTTCAACTTAATTTTTTATTAATGTCATTTATTTAAAGTACAGTACTAATTTTAAGATTGGTGTTCAGAGTGTGGAGGAAGCAGGGAAGTGTGTGTCCAGTTTCCGAGCTGAAGTACGAGATGCTGAACTGTCTCCCGAACAGCGGGCAATTTTGCAGAAAGCTGTTGATGCGAAGTTTAAGGTAAGATGAAGTGTATTGATCTTTAATTTTAAATAGTGAGGCATTCATAATTATTAGTGTCGGTAGCTTTTAACTATACTGTATGTGTACTGTACTGTACAGTACATTGTAATGTCTATTCAGTTGACACTTAATGCTGTAATAGAAAGTATTTTGTTAGTCTATTCTTTCTGATGGTGCCAGGATGGTTTTTAATGTAATCTTATTCAGAATCATATGAAGTCAGATCTTGTTATATAAAAAATTCATTAGATCCTGAGGTTATAGAGCAGTTATCTATGTTACTATAGCAATTATTGCTAACAAATCTCTGCTGAAACTCCTAGGATGAGCTCCTGGGCTATTCCCTGTCAGTGAGTACAAGGGAGTGAGAAGTAGCTCTTCATGCCCTGCCTTCTAGCCATTTATACCTGTGTTAATTGCCTTTCTCAACATTACTTTAATCATATTTGTTCTTATTTGTGGATGAGATTGGCTTCAGCAGTCTCTTCCTTCAATGCATTCCACTTGCCGAGCACCTGTACAGGGAGTGAGACTCGTTACGTGTCCAGCTTCCACTCGTGTCCCCTTGTCCATATTGCCTTTTAATTTAAATATGCTCCTACAATGCTCCTTGAACCAGAGGCTTTATAATTCACTAAAGACTTGTTGCTCACCTAGCTGTGTTTGCGGAGGTTGAGCTCTGGCTCTTTGGTCCCGCCTCTCAACCGTCAATCAACAGGTGTACAGATTCCTGAGCCTATTGGGCTCTATCATATCTACACTTGAAACTGTGTATGGAGTCAGCCTCCACCACATCACTTCCTAATGCATTCCATTTGTCAACCACTCTGACACTAAAAAAGTTCTTTCTAATATCTCTGTGGCTCATTTGGGCACTCTTGTTTCCACCTGTGTCCCCTTGTGTGTGTGCCCCTTGTGTTAAATAGGCTATCTTTATCTACCCTATCAATTCCCTTCAGAATCTTGAATGTAGTGATCATGTCCCCCCTAACTCTTCTGACTTGTGTCCCTGGCTAGAATCTTGAAGACCTCATACCCCCATTCCCTTCCCCACCGTGTTGGCATCCTGTAGTACAGTGGTCTACGGGTTCAACTCACAAATGAGAATCCCAGGTTAAATTCCTGGGCAGGACAACAATGGTTGGGCATGATTCCTTTCACCTGATGCCTCTGTTCACTTAGCAGTAATTAGGTACCCAGCAGTTGGGCAACTGTTGTGGGATGTGTCATTGGGAAGGTCAGTACTGTAGTTGACTTAGGCATATTGAGGTCCTTCGCTAAGTATAAACTTCCTATTCCCAACAATAGGAATTACAGAAAATGGTTGTCGACAAAATTAGGGAAAGGAAACGGTAGCGAGTTTAACTAAAAATGTTCCCGCGGGATAAGCTTTCTGTAAAGCAAAGTAGCCAACACCCTCAACTCCCCCTTCAGGTAATAATTAGCATCCAAAGAAATAATAAATATGGCTTCTTCTATATATTAGTTAAATGGTGATTGGAAAAATTTAAGGGTTGTGATGATTATCTTCTGTGCTTGAATCACCAATACGGACTTTTTTTTTTTTTTTTTTTTTTTTTTTTTTCATTAATTACTGTACAGTATATGAATTGGTTTTTGTCATGCACCTGCCAGCTGGGTGGACAGCGTTTCGGATTCGTAGTCCTGAGGTTCCAGGTTTGATCCCCGGCAGAGACAAATGAGCAAAATGTTTCTTTCACCCTGATGCCTCTGTTACCTAGCAGTAAATAGGTACCTGGGAGTTAGACAGCTGGTACGGGCTTTTTCCGGGGGGGGGGGGGGGTGTAACAAAAAGGAGGCCTGGTCGAGGACCGGGCCACGGGGATGCTAAGCCCCAAAATAACCTCAAGAAGATGATGATGTGCACCCACAATTTAGACATTTTCATTAGCTGAGACATGTAAGGGTTACCCTGCCTCCGTCAGCTGCCAACATAACAGTGCAGGCAGAGCCTTCGTCACAAGTCTGCTATAACAAGTTTTTTTTTAACTACCCGGTAGGTGGTTGTTGAGACTATCTCGGCTCTTGTACCACTCGGAAAGGAGCATTTTATTTCACACAATGCTTTATTTCTGGGAGAAGCCCTTTGGTAGCTCCTTGGAACTAACTGCCTGGAGAGCTCCAGAAGATCCACCAAGGGGGGGGGGGCAAAGAGAAACATATTTTATTACATTCACTGCTGGGTGAATGTGGAAATAGTGGGTGAATGAATAGTTAGTCTACATTTGATTACTCTTGAAGTTTCCAAGAGAAAATGTTTTTAAACAGTTATATTAAATGACTATTTATGCATGCACACAAATTATTTAACTACTACTATTAAGTTTGATTTTAAAATTTTGCAATATTTTCACTGCACCATTACTGGACTTAGTCTGTACAGACTCTTAACATTAACCCTTTCATAAACATTAATGGTCTTGTTGCTGTGGTGCCAGAGGTGTGTTAATCATTATTGCATCTTTTGTTAGAAAAGTTTACAGCATGTGACAAATCCCTCTTTTTAATAGCGTCAAAGCAAATAAGTTGCTAATTCCTGGCATATTTAAAACAAACCTTTCTTAGTAATTTGTAGTAACTTTATAATACTATTATTATATTATTGTAATAAGATATAAATTAAATAGTGTGTTTTCCATGCAGGCATGGCTCCGAGATACAGGTAAGCAACGTGAACTAGACCAGCTGGAGAAGTTAGCACTTACATTAAAGTACGAGAGAGTGGCCAAAACTACAGCAATTTAAATGGGAGTCAGGTGGCACATATCTTCCATAAAGCTCTCTGTTTGCAGCTATTTGTGGCTTTACTAAAATAAGTCACAAGAGTTTACCCACTAATTTTATCTTACAAAATATTACTAATAAATGAAATACCTGCATGATTGTTCTTAATTTTCCTAAAGTATTTTTGAACTGATAACATATATAAATGTTCTACGGCTAAATATGTATATTGTATTTTGTTACATCATCTGGTAATGAAGCGGCCGGCGTTCTCTCGATTTGCCACTCCGTAAAACGTACACCCGTTTTGCCTAACCCAAAATTGACAAACCCAAGCAACCCACCTAACCTATCAAAGCCAGCATTGTCATGTTTTAAATTGTAATAACATAACATTTTAATGGATTAGTAAATTCCGACAAAAATACGCCGTATTAATGTGTGTGTTTTTGTAAAGGACGGATTGGGAAGACTTGACATTACAAGATTTGCCCCATTTGTTTCAGATGCTTTACATTAACGCAGTATCTCCACCTTTTTTTCTTAAATGTTGCTATTTGTTTTTTCGTAGCTGAAACTCTTCCAGTACAAATGATGAAAATCCATGTGTTTTCATAAGATGTTAAGCTTTATTTGAAAGAACTCTGCCAACTCTACAGTTTTCATTATTATCACAAACAGCACTTAGAATCCCAGCATACTGGAGTGTTGCCATATTTTTTAGCAAAAAAAAAAAAGGTGACATTCCATTATAGTATACAGTATTCAAATTTATTTATAATTCACCATGTTGAAAGTTTTAGGCGCTACATTTTTGCAGATAAAATTAATGGTTTGAGATTTAATGTGCTTAAATCCTTGAATATTTTTGTTAGTGCCTATCCAACATTGTGGAAGTGATTGCACGATGCACAGTGTCACACCTGCTGCAAAATGTGCAACTTTTTTTTTTTTTTTTTTACTAAATTCTGAGTATTTAATGAGTTTCGTATTTTTTTAAATTTCCAAATTTCTTCACAATTTCAGTTACACTTTAATAAACATATTTTAGCTTTCTAATGAGGCAAACTAAATTACTGCAACCAAATTTAATTACCATAATTTGAGTCGCCATAATTTTTTTGAATAAACTAGCTTAAACTAAAAAAAATTAAACTATTAACAAAAGATGGCTATGTACTAATAAATGGTCATTTATTATCATTGTTTGAATATTAATTGATATTCCAATTACCATAACACATTTCAGCATCATATTGTGAACAGTTCGTGATGTTTCACATTTACAGTCTATAAATACGTAATTATCAAAAGAAGACACCAAGCCGGGAAGGCACTGTAGCACCGTCAAGAGTGTGGGATAACCAAAAGGCACAGTTTATAAACAAGATAAAGGATTATACTCGGTCAGGGTTAGAAGACCTGTCCAATGTATATATATAGAGCTAGCCAATCATTTCATTGTAAATTTTTTAGAAGGGTGTTCACTATACCATGCACCTTCCCAAATCTGGATCCCTCTGCACATCGTTCAAAATCTGCTGCGAGATTCATGCTCCACACTTGATTTCCCGATTCCAGGAATAAGGTACAATAGTTATGTGGAGAAAGCACTAAGCCTGTACAACTATATAGCTGATTCAAAGGACAGTTAAATATGGCTCATTGGTTGATACTTGGTTGATTAACTAGCCGGGAAGGCTATGTAGGTTCATTACCCAAAAAAATTCCAACAGTTCTTATTCTAGCTAAAGTAGAAGTGCTAAGGAAAGTGGTTCGGACTATTGAATCTACTCATTTGTGTGTGTCACCTTTGAGATGTGACACACAAGGGTGAGCTGCTGTATCACATGAAGGCCATAATTTACTTAAGGAAGATTTCATAAGGCCAGATATTGTATTATACATCACATACTATCTTGAAGAAATTAATTTAAAATTTATGATAACAATTAAATACTATGTGTGATTGTACTGTGCGCTTTTAAATTTAAGAAAAAATTATAATTAAAACTTATTACATGATGTGAAATGCAAACATTGATAAAATAATAGATTAATTACTAGTTCAATTATAAAACCATGGGAATCTTGATAGAAACTTTTCACTGAAAAAGTTTTCATTTGTTTCATTCATTTTTTCCCTTCGTGCTTATGAACTACGTGTACATTATTATATACCTTCACTAACCACACCTGACATGTTAAATACACTTATTTTATTCTCAAATTTATCCAATAAAGCAATAATATTTACACAATTACAGAAAATTTATGCTTTACCTACCACATCATGATTTACACATGTGATAATATCAATATAATACTTCTCAATAAGTCCCAAGTTAGTTATACGAGGTCGTACATCGTTAACACTATATACTGTATACAGTATATGCAACATACAAACTATATTGCACGTAGTCATTTTTTGCATCGGTGATCTAGAGCGTTCACTTCCAAACATTTTAACGTAAAAATTCATAGTTACAACCCGAAAATAGAAATATATAAATTGCACGTTGCTGTGCTGGGCACCAAGTGGGATGGACTGTTTGCGTCCTGGGACGAGGCTGGACCACTATAGTGTAGTGTTATCCAATATTGCACATTCATAGAGGTGACAGCATTTGTCCTTCGGGATTTTCTGCATAAAAATTAGGGAGATTGCAGACATAGAAAAATACCAATATAGTATAAAAGAATAATACTACTGTACATTAAAAAGAGTTTGCCCAATCACAGATTGATTTGTTCATTTAGTATGCAACCCATACCTGTCACATGGGCAGTAGATGGAAGAGGTTAGAGGCACATTGATGGGATCAATCAATCAGAGGATTGCTCAACTCCTGCACTCTGCACCTTTTTGAAGTTTTTGCCAAAAAGTGCAATTGCTAAGGACATATTTTTGTTGTTTTTATAAATGTTCAGGTAAAGTTAATGTCAAAATATTTCCAAACTAAACTATTTTCATTTCAAAACACAGAGTAATGAAAACATTAAAATATAGCCTAATTAAAAAAAAATAATAAGTATAACTCAAAACGACATTTGTTGGCCGGCGCAGTTGAGGGGTTAAATCTTGGTTTAATAGTGTGAAAGCTAGCAAAATGTGATGAGATAGTCTCCTCTAAGTGAGGTGGTTATCTACATACATTCCCCACCTGGTAGCATCACCGGTACTACTGTACCACATGCAAGCCAAATATCCTCGGCTGTGTCATGGCTCTTATAAATATCTAAAGTCTAGTATTACTGGTGATAAATTCATTTCTCCTTTATGACCCATGAAGGCAAAAATATAAAATATTCACAGGAAATACAGAAACAATATGTTAATTAAGTTAGGCACAAGGGACTGTACTAGGCTCATGTTAAGTAGTTAACACAAATGAATGAGGCTGCTGTTGGTAAGGCAAGATGATGCTCTGTGCTGTTTAGACATGCTTTCTTTCACCTGGTGCCACTGTTCATCTAGCAGTAAATATATATACCCAAAAGGTAGGTAACCATTGTGGCTCACATCCTGGTGAAGATCATTAATTGGCCTGCCAGGACTTCGATAAGTCTAACATGCTTCCTGTCAATAGGAACCAAATGAGTACGATGTTATTACATAAAATTACAATTATAAAGTAAAAACATTTTTATAACTTTGTTATACTGTAAATACATACACAGTACTGTAGTTTTTGTGCAGCATTCAACATGCAAGTAAAAAAAATAATATATATATACTAATGTATATACAGTACTGTGTAGTGTACATTAAGGCTGATTATTTGAACGCTTAAACAAAAATTTATGGGGAGATGCTACACAAATTCTTGTGTTTTTGCCCTCCAAAATGGGCAATAAAAGAAATTCCAATGCATACTGTTTAACCTATTTATATAATATAAATACAATTGTTTAGAGTTTTCTTGAGCTGCAGCGCAAATAAACAAAATTTATTAATAGAGAAGTTCTAAATATGCATGACCCAAGCCTATATATGCATGTTATCTGCATATATAAGCCTTGCAAATTCTTTTGCAGCAACGGTAATATTTGGGTACTTAAATGAATATCCGGTTTGAAGAGCTTTCTTTGGGATTACCTTTTGTCCCTCTGTCATAATTTTACCTCGTTCTTCATTGAAAAGCATGTTTACCGCAAATGTTGGCAGGGGTATGACAGATGGTCTCCAAAGAGCTTTTCCAAAAGCTGTTGCAAATTCCTTGTTTGTTAAAATTTGCGGTGCCACTCCATTGACCACTCCAGTGACATTTTCCGATTCAATTGAGTGGATGAAAATGCCGACTATATCTTCAATGTGGATCCAAGGCATAGGTTGTTCACCACTTCCCACCGGACCCCCAAGACCCATGTAAAACGGCAAGAAGAGCTGTTGAACCATTCCGCCCTGACGACCAAGGACAACACCTAGAAAAATTAGAGGTACGGACTAAATGTACAAGATTTAAAGACCTACTTTTAATATATTTTTCAGGATACAAATATTACACCTCAATGTTCTAGATGGTAGGAAAGTTATCATGCTGTTCACAGAGGTTATTTTGAGATGATTTCGGGGCTTTTTTTAGTGTCCCCGCGGCCCGGTCCTCAACCAGGCCTCCACCCCGAGAAAGCAGCCCGTGACAGCTGACTAACACCCAGGTACCTATTTTACTGCTAGGTAACAGGGGCATAGGGTGAAAGAAACTCTGCCCAATGTTTTTCGCTGGTGCCTGGGATTGACCACAGGATCACAAGTCCAGCGTGCTGTCCGCTCGGCTGACCAGCTCTGGCTCAGAGGGCCGACCGGCTCAGGGTTAAATATACTGTATATTATCTAGCATGTTTCAAACACTGGAGGATAAGATGAATATTGAGAAAGCCCTACACCTAGACATATGGATGGGATATGAGGACATGACAGGAGTTGGGAGAGGGTGAGTGAATGAAAGAATGGCGTCTAACCCCTTGCACCACTGGGTAACAAATGCTAACTTTGCCAAAAGAGACGGCACAGCTCTACCTACCAGTCCAAACCATTGGACACTATAAAAGTGCTCCAGGGTGGTATTTTTTACAATACAAATAAGGTAGATAAATAAGTACTGTGCTATGTGTAATATGGACAGGTTATTGTAATGTATTTGCAGCAATGGTTAAAAGAATGTTTAGACGGCAAGTGTTGAAGCCATATAGGATGGGAAGAGTAAATTGAGTGCTCTACATATTTAAAAATTCAGATAAAAATTATAATTTAACAGCTGAAATTGTCTGGATGACTAACATGGTGTAGAGAAACATACTGTTTTACTTTGATATAAAAATCGAAGTCCATACCTGTTCTTATCTTCACTACTCTCACACCAAGGTCGGATGGAAGGTTTGCTGCATTTTCCCAGTCCGAGCACAGACGAGACAAAAAATCAAAATCCCCCCCGGGGCCATCCTCGTCATACACTTCATCTTGATTTGCTGGATAAAACCCTAAAAGTGAAAAGTATCTTAGGGGCTTGAAAAGTATTGGTGGTAATAATACTTGTCCTGTACAGGTCTGGTTCATGAGTAATGTTCATGACAGTCCACTCCACTTTGGACACTTAAGATGTTTACAATATTGTATACATCTTATAAAGGGTTACCTCTGCTAGGGTTGCCATACGTCTGTAGCTTCCAGGACATGTTCTGGATTCAGGTGTCAAAATCTGCATCTGGGATGAATTTTAAAAATTCTCTAAAAGTCCAGTATTTCACTTACCATCACTTAAAAAATTATCTGTATACTATATATATTTACCAACATCAATATATTTATCTATACAGTATATATATACTGTATTTATGCAGTGGCTTCTTTGCCTTTTTAAAAACCAATAAGGCATTGCTGGAAAAAGATCAGATCTACAGAAAAATATGCATGGGTACATCAAGTCAAAGACAGAGTAGGGGAAGAAGATTGTAACTATAGGCTGTTCAAGATAATGTAAAGATAATTTTGTTGCATTTTTTTTCTTAATAATTCTGTACTATGCTTGTTTTCCATTATAATGGCAATTATATCTACAAAAAATTCAAGCTTGTGGTACAGTGCAACAATATTATATCAAAGGCCCGCCGTGTGTGTTGGGCGAGTTACGGAGAGTCGTGATGACTGTTAGTGGAGGCGTCCTGGATGCTGACTTTAGGCAACTCCTAACCTCTGCCATCAATGACTAACTAGAACTCAAATGAGCTACCGTATTACGAGAACCCTATTAGCAAGAATAAAATCTATATAGTATTAATCTGCTAAAAAATGTAAGGTGTCACCTTTACTGGGTATACCTTCTGAAACTACTATATATCATACATTAAAAGTAAACAAACGCAGCTTTGTGACATGGTACTTACCCACCCCTGACGCAGTCACAAACACCTTGGGTTTAACACTTGCTGCTTGAATAGCCTGAGCCAAGTACCTGAGGAAATAACTTGGCATCAATTTTAACATAAAGATTTGCTATAGAAACATTATTTCCAATTAAATTTTAAAAGTAAGAAAACTTACGAGGAATAAGTGCCACACCATTATGTCTATACAGTATAGCACCTGGAAGGGATACGGAGACAAGGATCTGGTGTCTGGCATAGGACGGTGGGAAGGGATAGTGCCCAACCACTTGCACTGTCAAGGATTGAACACCAACCTGCAATATTTAAGGCTGTTGCTCAACCGACCAATCCAGGACATATTTCACCACATATTTGTTTAAAACAGTTGCTTCCAGGAATTACTATTTTACAGGACTACTGTACTTTTCTTACTGTGCAATTTTTTTTTCTAAACCCAAGCATACATTTCTATTGTGCATCAACTGAGGTCCATCACAACCTTTCCATGTTGTCATAATTCACAACATATCCATGTCATTGTCATTATTGACACTCTTTCTATGTGGTCATCACTTACAACCTCTCCATGTCATCATTCTCATACATCTTCTCTCACTTTACTAGAGGTAATCTTCTCATGTACTTGTCTGTGATTACCATCATATTTGCCAGAGTTGTGTATAACACACACATTATTTTGCCCAAAAAGGCATCTTAGAATAGAAAGCCAAGGTCACAAATTCTTTACATGAATGCTGCCAACATCTTTACATGAATGCTGCAACATGCCTAACTAAGTACCCGTATCTCCGGATAGGTGATCATCACATTGTTAGTCACCACCACAACACCAACATCACACAACGCCTAAGGAAGGCAGTTCTTACAATAAATAAAATAAATGCATAGGCTTAGCTAGATTGTTTTTTTTTTTTCGAAGGCATACTCTTGTGTGAACCCTAAGCTTCTGGCCATTCATTAATATTTCATGAATTAAGTTCAATGTGAACAAAAATATTCCCTTAGTTTAAATGATTAATTTCATATTTATCACCTTGTCGTGTTGATTCGCGATGCCCAAACATTTTGTTTAAAACCTTCAGTCCATCGCCTCATTGGATCCAATACATTCTGGCCAGCAAGGCTGATTACTGCTGTTGTTGAGTCGGGTAAACCTGTCTTGTTGAAGTCACCCTGCAACAGAAATATTGTTCTGCAATTTATTGAATGTAAACAATATTTTCAACTAGTTCAACAAGTCAAAATGGGCATTATCCTTTTCAGAATGGCACACAGTTCCTTATTTCAAATCTATATGACATCTATTGTAGATGACTTTATAAAACTTGAACTAATCGATCAGTAGCCCTCATACCTTCACCCTGGGAGCTCCTCAACATGGGTGTCCACTACGGAAGTTTCTTAGAGAAGGTCTGTCACCACACAAACCTTTCCAGCTCTCTAAGCCTCTTTTTTTCTCATATATTGTTCCATTCTTCCCTTCCATGATACTGTACTGTCTGCCTCAACTATAAGATCCACTTATTTCAATCCTGTACACCCTTCTTTTTGATTCTCCTGCATACTACTAACATGTCATATCATCCAAGCATAATGCACTTAACCCCACACTACACCTAATTCCCCTCACCTAACCAAAACCCATAACTACTCAGATGGTTGACCTGAATGTCATGGTTTATGTGGCACAGACACTAAAACCACAAGTTGAGCTGTGGCTGGCATTTGGAACTGGGAAGATAGTCCAGTAGTTGGTAATCAACAAAATGACAGCTTGGTTTGGTCCGGAGAATACCCGAACCCTGGCTATATTTTATGCTCTGATAGGGTGTGTGGGTTGAGTTAGGCGTGTCATTTGGGTTCGTGCCTTTGTAGTTAGGTTAGGACTTTGTATTTTGTACGTTGTGGAAAATTTAAAAACTGGCTGGATGATGAGCCATGTGAACCAGCCTGGCCGACTCTACCCAAGGCAGCCAAGACCTGTCGAGTGTTCGTATCCTACAAATGTAAGATTATGTGAAGAGATGTACTGAACTGTAGTTACTAAAATGGCTCCACTTCCATGCACAGCCTTGTATGTTTATAAGTGTAAATCATCTCAGAACTGACATTCTGGTTTCTTGTAAAATACAATAAGGTTAAGGCTTCAACTGTGCACATACTGTATTTAAGTAAATTTAATTCCAAATTGAATATATATTTTTTATACCCTCTATATTGAGATATTTAAGATTTATGTTCTTCAATACACAATTTCTAAATAAAATATTCATCGCTAAAAAATAGTTTTCTTTAACATCGTAGTATTTAATTAACCGAGCATAGACCATCTTCTTTACTGTGGAAAATTGTTGATACAGTTGCTAAATATCCAGATCTGTTACCAATATATTAGTATCTATGTGCTAGATTTGATGATTTTATCATAAAATGCACAATAGTTATGCTATACCGCACCATATTTATTAGTTTTATGCTTGGCATGCTATTTACACCTATCATGATACTGCCCATGATGGGTGTACATGGGTACACCCATTAATACTTTACATTTTCAAATACTGAAACATAATTTAAATCCACAGAGATAAAGTAGAGATAAAAATTACAATTTAATTTAAATCCGTCTACTGACATACCCATGTTATGCTGTACGGCCCCGGTTTTCTCGAGACAGTTAGAACGTCATAACCGCGACGCCTGAGGCTGCGGCCAAGAGCTGTACCGATAAAGCCAGTACCTCCCCCTGCAACAAAGAAAACCAAATGGTTATTTAATACTGTATGTTTAATGTATGTTTATATAACAAAAGATCGTAGCAAGTGCAAATATTATAAACCACACCATCAAATTGCAGATGACATTAAAATTTGTAATAAACTGGGAAGTGAAAATGATATTGAGGCCTTACAAAGAGATCTACATGAACTCCACAAATGGTCAGAAGACTGGCAAATACTTTTTAATATAAAAAAATGCAAGACCTTACATGTGGAGCATAATACTCCAGATGGCAACTACCAAATTAACAAAACATCAACTTACAGCAGAATGATGAAGATAAAGAACCTAAGAATCAGAATCCATCATACACAAAGTTGCACAAGTGGGAGCTGCAGTAAAAAAAGAAGCTAACCAAACCCTACAAATAGTCGAGGAAACATTTGACTAAAAGGAAAAAGTGGTAGTTATTCAACTGTATAAATCTCTAGAGCACCCATACTTGGGTGAGGTCTCCAAGCATGGAGACCTCATCTTCAGAAAGACATAGCTGCTCTGGAGAAAGTTCAACACCAGGCAATAAAAATCATCCCAGAACTAAGTCAAATTACACCAGGAAAAGTAGAGGGCCACAGGGCTAACAACATTGCAAGCCAGATACGACAGGGCTGACTTCATCAAAACTTTAAAATGCCGAACAATTTGAAGGATATTGACCCAGACGTCTTCAAAAGGTCAGATGTAACATACAAGGAGCACCAGCTTCAAACTCAACAAGCCACTATGTGGGAGAGAAACCAGATACCTTTTCACCCACAGGGCTATAAACCCATGGAACTGCCTACCCATCAAAATTGTAAATGCCAAAGCACAGCTGAATTTTAAAATGAAGCTCGATAAAATCATCAGGAGAAATGGGGGGGGGGGGATCTTTGACGAGCTGCCGGCTTCCTGTCCTCGTCCAGGCTACAAGGGAAATGTTGGCCCCCTCAGGTAATGATAAATTCAGGTAAATTATAAATTTTATATAAAACCACAATAAAATGTTTGTATTATTTGTGTGTTATATACTTCAGCAACAAAATTAAAACAATAGGAGAAGTGTATGAAGCAGCTACAACAGCCTCTTATCTGCCCCTCGTTCTGTCAAAGGTATAAATTACTGTACTTTATTATGAATCATGAATTATAGGCTGTGTAAAAAATTCATAAGGCTGGATAACTAACTGTGCACTAGTACATAAGGCACGCAAAGGCACAAAATGAGAGCATATACATAAATAAATAAATATACTGTACCGATAACAACAGTTGAAAGGTGAACGGTCATAGTGAAGCAGGTGAGGAGGGTGTTGTGTCGCAACTGCCTCGGGAGTAGTCACCAAGGTGTCGCAGCAGCCCTGGGAGTAGTCACCAAAGTGTCGCAGCAGCCCTGGAGTAGTCACCAAGGTGTTGCAGCAGCCCTGGGAGTAGTCACCAAGGTGTCGCAGCAGCCCTGGGAGTAATCACCAAGGTGTCGCAGCAGCCCTGGGAGTAGTCACCAAGGTGTCGCAGCAGCCCTGGGAGTAGTCACCAAGGTGTCGCAGCAGCCCTGGGAGTAGTCACCAAGGTGTTTACTAGTTGTGTGTTTTTTGCGGGGGTTGAGCTTTGCTCTTTCGGCCCGCCTCTCAACTGTCAATCAACTGTTTACTAACTACTTTTTTTTTTTTTTTTTTTTTTTCTCTCTCTCTCTCTCTCTCTCTCTCTCTCTCCACACACCACACACACACACACACCCCAGGAAGCAGCCCGTGACAGCTGACTAACTCCCAGGTACCTATTTACTGCTAGGTAACAGGGGCACTTAGGGTGAAAGAAACTTTGCCCATTTGTTTCTGCCTCGTGCGGGAATCGAACCCGCGCCACAGAATTACGAATCCTGCGCGCTATCCACCAGGCTACGAGGCCCCGAGAGAGGAAGGTATCGCAGCACCCCTGGGAGTAGTCACCAAGGTGTCGCAGCAGCCTCGGGAGTAGTCACCAAGGTGTCGCAGCAGCCTCGGGAGTAGTCACCAAGGTGTCGCAGCAGCCCCGGGAGTAGTCACCAAGTAATCATACGGCACCAGACACTAACAGTGCCCTGGGGTTCACCTCTGGCCAGGGTGACACATATGGGGGCCTCAGGTAAGATCATTACTACACTGCTGCACAGAACATTATATAGTGAATATGGCACTTGCTGCAATTAATTTGGTGTATTACAGTACTGTACATAATTCATTTTGTCAGGGACAGGAAGGCTATATATACATACAGTATATACATATATATTTAAGGGGACATACCATCAAAAATTAAAAGTTGTTCAATTTCAACCAATATTTATTGATTACTTGTATAAGAAAAGGGCTCCAATTGTCCCAAGTTTCAGCCCCGCAGTCTAAATAGAAATGGTGAAAAAAAAAACTTTATTTTTCAAAAAAATTTCATCATATTCAAAGTCTATCACAAAACAAAAGTGTCAACTAAAATCTTTTCTATGACACTTCTCTATAATGCATCTAATAAAGGGTTTCTTCACATAGTTTTGTCCAAAATATGTTTAGTGTTACTAATATAAATATTTATAAGTCACCCCAAAATTATTACAAAAAATGGTTTATATATACAGTATTTATAAAATAAAATGGAATTATGTAACAAATACCGAGAACATATTATAGAGGCAGAAACTCTACATATAAGGTGTAAATTTCAAGAAAATTGATTCGTAAATGAAAGAGGACTTACAGTTGTTTTATTTTAAGTATCTTACTTGAACCCACATTATGTCAAGATTCTGCCACCTGTGGCCGAGATTGATGTCGACCGATACAGACGGGCACGCGTTCAATAAGATGTATAAGTTTCATATAAATCGCCTGATCAAAAAGGGAGAAAAAAAATAAGGGAAACAAAAATAAATTATATTTGGATAAAACTAAGTACTAAAATCCTTTATTAGATGTTATTGTGATGGCTGAGTGTTATAGAAATAATTTCAGTTGACACTTGTGTTTGATGTTAATTTTTGAACATTTTGAAAAAAAAAATTGTAAAGTTTGCTATTTTTGTTCTCCCTTTCTATTTAGGCTGTGATGCTGATACTTGGGCAATTTGGAGCCCTTTTCATATACAACTAGCCATAAAAGTTTGATTGAAATTGAACAGTTTTTCAGTTTATCGAATTTTTGAAGGTATAGCCCCCCCCCCCACTAAAGGCTTGCATCAAGCCTTAAGCATTGCTCTGGACTATATTGTTCCTATCTCAGTGACAGACACCAATATGTAGTCACCAATAACATAACCATAGCATTTGATTTGATTTTAACCTTTTCTAATCTCTAATTGATTTTTCAGATTAAGGACCTGCCCGAAACGCTGCGCGTACTAGTGGCTTTACAAGATTGTACTGTGTACAATACTATGCTATGTATTCTCACAAGCCCAATGTACCTTCTTGTATATAAATAAATAAATAAATAAATAAATAAAACCTCCCCGTCTCTACCATTAAGAGTAGGAGTGCCGCAGGGCAGCCTCTTGGGACCTCTATTATTTCTTATATACATCAATGATTTGCCAAATGTTTCTAACATTCTTATACCTATACTATTTGCTAACGACACTACCTTCATCTATTCTGACCCCAACCCCCCACACACACTAAATAATGTCAACAGAGAATTAAAAAAAAAAAAGGTCCACTCGTGGATGTCAAGCAACCAACTCGCACTAAACATAGAAAAGACCCGCTACATTTTATTTAGTAGTAAATCATCAAATTACATTCAAATTCAGATTAGATACTGTTAACATCAGCGATAAAGATGATGGAAAGTTCTAAGACAAGACATAGACAGGAAGACAAGACATAGACAGGAAAAAGTCTCACAAACAGGCGGTATACTTAATAAAATCAGATATTATGTTCCAAACTCTGTTTTTGTCTCATTATACGACATTAATCTATTCCTATCTTATATATAGTACCTACACCCCCCCCCCTCTCCAAAGTGGAACTACTGACCCCCCCCCTCCCAGGATGCAGCCCCCCATAACAGTTGATTAACTCCCGGTTACCTGTTTATTGCTGGGTGAAGAGAGGCATTAGGTGAAAGGCAACGTGCCCAACCACTTCCGTCCCGCCCGGGCACCAAGCCTCTTGCCTCTCTCTTGGTTTGTTCGTACATAGCCATTTCGGACATCGTAGGTTTCGTATACAAACAACAGGTTCGTTCAATATTTTATACACAGGAAACCTTTCGTAGATACAAATACCAAAATTATATAATAATAATAATAATAATAATAATAATAATATAATAATGTTATAATAATTTTATTAATAAATGTCTATTGAGTACATTTATATATATATATATATATATATATATATATATATATATATATATATATATATATATATATATATATATATATATATATATATATATATATATATATATATATGTCGTACCTAATAGCCAGAACGCACTTCTCAGCCTACTATTCAAGGCCCGATTTGCCTAATAAGCCAAGTTTTCATGAATTAATGTTTTTTCGTCTACCTAACCTACCTAACCTAACCTAACCTAGCTTTTTTTGGCTACCTAACCTAACCTTACCTATAAATATAGGTTAGGTTAGGTTAGGTAGGGTTGGTTAGGTTCGGTCATATATCTACGTTAATTTTAACTCCAATAAAAAAAAATTGACCTCATACATAGAGAAAAGGGTTGCTTTATCATTTCATAAGAAAAAAATTATAGTAAATATATTAATTCAGGAAAACTTGGCTTATTAGGCAAATCGGGCCTTGAATAGTAGGCTGAGAAGTGAGTTCTGGCTACTAGGTACGACATATATATATATATATGGATATGCGCTGGCCTGTTTTCCAGAACAACCCCTTTATAATGCACTACTTCCCATAACAACACAAATAATGGGATCCCGGGAGTACAGTCGGGGTTCGAATCCCGGCCGGGACCGAAATGGTTGGGTACAATTTCCTTTCACCTCATGCATCCCTTCCCCCCTAGAAGTAAGACGGTACAGTACTCAGGGGTCAGCCTTGCTTCCCTGGGTCAATAATTCCACCTTGGTGGGGGGGGGGGGAGAGCCCTTGATATAAGCCTAAAGTGTATGAATACGCGTTGGCTTCTTGTCCCCCGACACAATGAATTATTATTATAATTGTATAAAAAGGATACGACCAAATGTAAACTGTGTCAACAAAATTATTCGCACACCCTCCGTCACCATGTGATGGAGTGCGAAAAGATACGTGAATTTAGAGACAATTTTATAACCAATGTTCCAGCGATGTGTCAATATTTCATTCAAAATGATCTGCTACCAGAAATTTTAGCCAAATATCCCCAGTTTGTTAACTGTAGGTAGTAACTAAGTGATTGTAACCTATCCACTGCTGCCCACTGGATGGGGGGGCGGTGTGCAGGACAAACATATCAATTGTGACACTAGCTCTCCACATATGTCAGTTGCTTAATTTACAACCTGTACTTGAGGTCGATCTCGAACCCATTGTTGTTGTGATGACTTAAATTGAATTTTGTAACTAGTTCATCAAGATTGTAACTTGGCTTAGCTAAATGAATTGTGGGGTTCAGTCCCTGAGCCCATTATGTGCCTCTGTAACCCTTCCCATTAGCGCCCACAAGATGGGTATGGGGTGCATAATAAATGAACTAAACTAAAAAACTAGTTACTTGGTATAGAGGACAGATCGCACACATATATTGATCAATCAATATAAACCTTTTGTTTATATTGATACAAAAATAAAGACACAAAAAAGTTTTATGATAAAGTTTTTATCATACAACTTTGTTGTGTCTTGTATAGGACACAAAAAGTTGTATGTTTGGTAAATATATGATTGGTCAATATTAAAGCCACAATATAATGCTATTAACAGTAATAATGCATTATAACAATATAATGTAATATTGAACAATGATAATAAATCTGGTCAATATTAACGCCACAGTATAATGCTATTAACAATTAAAAAGCTTCTTAACAGATATATCGTTATTAAATTAAGTTGAGTGATGTGATTAACATAATACGCAGAAAACACCTGACTGAATTTACCTGAGGACCACTAACACTAGTGGCCTCGACGAGGACAGGAAGCCGGCGGCTTGTCAAATGTCCTCTCCCCCTCTTTTGTGGCCAGTTTTTGGCTAGACTCATTTACTGTGATAGTTATACTTGTATATAATAATATGTATTAAAAGGTAAACGCCTAACATGTAATATTAATTAATAAAGAGAGAACCCACTAGATTTAGTCAATCTTAATGATAATAATGTTGATTTATTTAGGGGAATACATTTCTGGGCCCAATAAGAAATGATGGGCCTCACAATTAATTGAAATATTACAATATTTCAAACAAACTCACCCTTAACATTGATAAAACTTTCTATATTCTGTTTGGCAATAAATCCTCTAATCAAATAATTCTCAGAATAAACAATACCCAAATTTGTAACAAAATAGATGGCAAATTCCTTGGCATTCTCATTGACCACAAGCTGAATTTCCAGGGACACATTCTAAATATATAAAAAAAGTTTCAAAAACTGTGGGCATTCTTTCTAAGATCAGATATTATGTACCCCGCCCTGCCCTGGTGACTCTGTAATGTAATGAACTGTAATGCCAATCCTGACCTCAAAAGCTTCATAGAAGGTTGTAACAGAACCCATGAGCACCACACCAGAAACAAATACAGTTTTGATATTCCTAGAGTACGACTTAATCAAACTAGAAATGCTCTACAAATCAAGGGGCCCAGAATGTGGAATGACCTTCCCAACCATGTTAAAGACTGTACCTCTCTCAACCAGTTTAAGATAAAAACGAAGCTATACCTAATAAATTCCCTGTAACCTACCTTACCCCTCTATTGTCAACCCATGTCTGTTTTTTTAAACAGCGCTGTTTGTCGACCTAATTGTATTTGTGCTGCTTTTTCAGCCATGTTCCACCCTTTCTTATTTTTATTTGTTATCAACACATTTTAAACTTTAAACTCAATTAGTATTAAGTTTTAGTCTTTAATGTTTTTCCTGCCCGAAACGCTTTGCGTAATAGTGGCTTTAGACATTGTATGTACTAGCTCTATCTATTAATCCATCAACTTTGTGTCTTACCTTGTATGTATATACCTTACCTGAATAAAAAATTTAATTAAATTAATTTAATTTAATATATCGTTATTAAATTAAGTTGAGTGATGTGAGTGATTAAGTTGAGTGATTAACATAACAATAATACGCATAAAACACCTGACTTAATTTACCTGAGGGCCACTAACACTAGTGGCCTCAACGAGGACAGGAAGTCCGCGGCTTGTCAAATGTCCCCCCCCCCCCTTTTTTGTGGCCAGTTTTGGCTGGTAAAAACTGGCCAGTTTTTGGCTAGACTCATTTACTGTAATAGTTATAATTGTATATAATAATATGTATTTAAAGGTAAACGCCTAACATGTAATATTAATTAAGAGAGAAGCCACCTGATCTCACCTTCAAGGACTAGATTTACTCAATCATATTGGTAATAATGTTGATTTATTTAGGAGGAATATTTGATGGGCCTCAGAATTAATTGAAATATTAATTGAAATAATTGAAATGTACACACACACACACACACACACATATATATATATATATATATATATATATATATATATATATATATATATATATATATATATATATATATATATATATATATATATATATATATATATATATATATATATATATATATATATATATATATATATATATATATATTATTAAATATGACCGAAAAAGTAAGATTAATAATTCTAACACGAATTTTCTCTATCTTTCTTACGTTTCTTTTTACTGTCTTTGAAAATGTCTTTGAAGTCTTTGAAAATGTAATAAGTTTTACGAAACGCGCTCAAGTGTCGCGTCAGACTAGAAATAAAAATGAATTTTGGAGAATTGATCTTTGAATTACCATCAACAGTGAAAAGAAACGTAAGAAAGATAGAGAAAATTCGTGTTAGAGTTATTAATCTTACTTTTTCGGTCATATTTAATAATATATGTCTACAGGAAAGACTGCTACCAAAATATACTAATATATATATATATATATATATATATATATATATATATATATATATATATATATATATATATATATATATATGTTTGCCACGACTTTTTTGTTAATATGGAGCTTTGTACGCATGTATACCCATGCATCATGCATACTCTATCAATGTTTCTGCTTTCATGTATCTTAATTGTACTCATTATAATTTAGACATGTAATGTAATGTAATTTAACTTACATTTATGTAGGTGGGTAATTCTAGGTAATTAGTAATGCTAATTATTTAGGCTTAACTTACTCGTGCATGGGCGATATATGCACCCCTTCCTTATTATTGTTAAGTGCACCATTTATAATTTTAGGGTAAATTCTCTAACCTTGTATTCTTTATTTAGGTATCACTTACTGTGTTCGGGTGCATGTGTCTCTACTTACGTAGAGTAGTATACAAGTATAGTTATTAAGGTCACTTAACACATGTATTCCTACACATGTACGCCATAGGCTGCAACTGTAGTTAAGAATTATTACCAACTATGTATGGTGTTTCAGTTTCACCCGAATGACCCAAAAAATAATTTTTTTGTTGCATTAAACATATAAAACCAGTGGGTACTTCGTCTATTATACATGTCTCATGTATAAGGAGTTGTGAATATAGGGCCATCTTGGTGCAAATCTTTTGGGTTTTGACATCACTGTAAATGTAGCCTAGATTGTAGTCACCTAATTGGACCTTTTACCTGAGTTTACTTGATAGCCTCTAACACTAGTGGCCTCGACGAGGAAAGGAAGCCGGCGGCTTGTCGAAGGTCCCCCCCAATTTGCCTTGATGATTTTTTTCCAGATGTACTTTAAAAGTTAACAGAGTTTTGGCAGTTACAGCTTCTGTCGGTAGGCGGTTCCATGGGTTAATAACCCTGTGAGTGAAAAAGCATCTGGTGTTCTCAGTCCAACATTGTGGGTTGTTGAGCTTGAACCCGTTGCTCCTTGTTCGTGTTACATCTGACCTGCTTAAGATCTGGCTATTAACATCCTCCAGGTACAAGTGTAAACTATGTGGTATGTTAAGGTCTCACACCCTTGCCCATTTTGTTCTTGATTGTCCATTGATTAATAAAGGTTGATGATATACTTGAGAGATATAAGAATTTTGCACCAAGACTGTATTTTTTTGTTGCATTATCTGCATGTCTCTTGCAAATTGTCTATACAGTATACCTAGGTCATAAAAGTATTTGTGTATGTCTGGTACCATACTACTTGTATAAAGGAGGAATGTATATATTTATCTCTCAGAATGTTTGGTAATATGTTTATTGTTTGTGATGTGTGTCTATGTATGTATTAACACGTTGTACTGAACGGGGTGAGAATAGCTTGAGCTACCTCATCCCTTTGTGTGTATTTTACCTCAATAAACTTATTTCAATTTTAATTTCAACATCCTCCAAATTGTTCAGTATTTTAAAAGTTTTAATGAGATCCGTCTGTTTCCAATGTTGTTAACCCTGTGGCATTTTTAACTTCTTACCCGTTGCTTTCTCTCCGCCAGACAGAAAGCCATGTGAATTTGGAGAGATAAAGGAATTTATAAATAGTGAATATATAAGAATTAAAATTGAGTAAAAGGTCGAAAGGAAGTTAATAATATTCAAAATTTCCCGCCACTCCACTGTTCAGTGTTACCAAAATATTTTAAAAACTAATTATTGTGATATACCAAAATATAGTGGTTTCCTATAAGGTATAGTTGATTTGATGTAAATTTTTATTAATATTATTTAATGTATAGAGTGATTTGCTAAGCATTAGTATATGGATATAAGAGAGAGAGATGAGTTGACCGGCAGAACACAGTGGCATCACTATGGCGGCATCTGCACACATCATCACGTACACAGATGCTCGCCTGGTGTTCTCACCCACAGTAATTTTGTATATGGCTATAACTCACAAGAAAGAAATGATCCTCATGACGACAAAATAATCGATATTACTATCTAAGAATAATTTGAGATTTTAATCAATATATTTCTGCCGAACTAAGAGGCTTATATGATCTCAGCATCTTTTTGTTTTGACCAGTCGACTCTTGGGTGTCAGTGGGAGGAGTTGTGCGCGCCGGGTCCTGACAGCCGCCACTGGATTACGTCCCCTTTCACTATGTCAGGCGATATTCAAGTTAAAAAGCGCAAGGGAAAGGGCAAAAAGAAAGGTACGTGTGTGTTAGTGACCGGTGTTGTGTGTTGGTTAGATGCGGATGACATGTCCCACAATTTATAGCGGTAGTGGCAAGATATTGTTTGTTGTCATTCTCCTGTTTACCACACGAAGGTGGCCTCTGTGGCTAGGCTTTGGTGCAGGGCTGTTGTATATGGTCATGCAGGGGTGCTGTATAGGGCCATGCAGGGGTGCTGTATAGGGCCCTGTAGGGGTGCTGTATAGGGCCATGCAGGGGTGCTGTATAGGGCCCTGTAGGGGTGCTGTATAGGGCCATGCAGGGGTGCTGTATAGGGCCATGCAGGGGTGCTGTATAGGGCCCTGTAGGGGTGCTGTATAGGGCCATGCAGGGGTGCTGTATAGGGCCATGCAGGGGTGCTGTATAGGGCCATGCAGGGGTGCTGTATAGGGCCCTGTAGGGGTGCTGTATAGGGCCATGTAGGGGTGTTGTATAGGGCCCTGTAGGGGTGCTGTATAGGGCCGTGTAGGGGTGTTGTATAGGGCCGTGTAGGGTTGCTGTATAGGACCGTGCAGGGTTACTGTATAGGGCCGTGCAGGGCTGCTGTATAGGGCCGTGCAGGGTTACTGTATAGGGCCGTGCAGGGCTGCTGTATAGGACCGTGTAGGGCTGCTGTATAGGACCATGTAGGGCTGCTGTATAGGACCATGTAGGGCTGCTGTATAGGACCATGTAGGGCTGCTGTATAGGACCATGTAGGGCTGCTGTATAGGACCATGTAGGGCTGCTGTATAGGACCATGTAGGGCTGCTGTATAGGACCATGTAGGGCTGCTGTATAGGACCATGTAGGGCTGCTGTATAGGACCATGTAGGGCTGCTGTATAGGACCATGTAGGGCTGCTGTATAGGACCATGTAGGGCTGCTGTATAGGACCATGCAGGGGTGCTGTATAGGGTCATGCAGGGTTCCGGTATAGGGCCACCAGAGGGTTCCTGGCCAGTTAGACTTAAAAGGAACCACTCTCGGCTGTAGGGCAATAGAGCATGATAATAAAGGAAGCTACAGATAGCCTATTAGCCCATGCCAGGCCAGTAATTTTCAAAGTAATCCCTAAAGTTAAAGCAGTGTCACTTTGCACACAGTATGTAAAAAAAAATTCTTCCTTAGATTAGAATCCTTCTTTTAGATTGCAGTTCCATCAGCGTAGTGGTGAGATGCTTGCCTGGTGTTTCGCGAGCGTGAAACCCTGTCCTGGGTTGTCCTGGGTTCATATCCTGGCTGGGAAAGATTTTCTGGGCGCAAATCCTTAACTGTAGCCTCTGTTTAACCCAACAGTAAAATGGGTACCTGGTGGTTGAAGGATTTGGCGGGTCGTATTCCGGGGAACGTAGAATTAAGTACTTGCCCGAAACGCTATGCGTGTGTGGCTGTACAAGAATGTAAGAACTGTAAAAATGTAACAAAAAAAGATGTTGTTTAAAGAGCAGTGATGGCATAAAATGGAATGACGTTTGTCCTCTTTTTAACCCCTACTCTTTGAGGCAGCTCTTACGTATACCCAAGCATACTTGCTGGGGTATACAGGTAACCTGAATACAGGTATTCGGGTAAATATGCAGTCCAACAATTAGAAAACTATCTACTGTATAGGTGAAATGCATGTGTACAACTTGACTGTACACCAGGAATCACACTGTATGATAAAATATGAACCATCCGGGGACGTTGTGTAGAGTACTGACCCGGGGAATGGCGGGGGTGGAGGAAGAATTACACTATATGGTAGGCAGTGTAGGAACCATTCGGGGGTGTTGATTGATAATCTATTCTGAATGTCTGCTCGTAATAATTTGTCCATAATAAAAAAGTTCTTAGAATCATTGTTGTGAATTATTTAAATTTTGTCAAGAACACCATTTTGCCAAATGTTTTCTTCTTAACCACTGCACTGCGCAAAGCGCCTTTAGGCGCTCAGAGAGTTGTGCTCTTTGTTTTTTAATTTGGCTATATTTTAATGTTTTTTAATGTTTTCATTACTATTTGTGTTTTGAAATGGAAATAGTTGACTTTGGAAACATTTTGACATTAAATTTACCTGAACATTTGTAAAAATAACAAAAATATGTCCTTGACAATTGCACCAAGACGTTTTTGCCGAAAATAGGTGAGCAGTGCAAGGGTTAATTAGTACTGTACATATGTTATATTATGTATACAGCAGTATCAGCATGAATTACCTCTTCCAGACTACCATGTTTTTGTGGAATTTGAGATTATCATTAAGCGAAGTTTTGATAGTCGTGAATCTTCGGACACAGAAAATTATGGACATTCTCAGTAGATTAAAAAGTAGTAATACTGTATTGTGCTTTAGTAGAAGTTAGTATGAATTGAAAGAGGAGCCATTCTTCTATAAAGTAACACTGTGCATTCAAATCTCATGATTATATTAAAAACTCAGTGTCTGGAGTCGTGGTTTTTGCAAAGTGCTCAAACACCCAAGTGTCATTCTCCAGTTTAATGTAAATTAAACCCATCCCATACTGTTGCAGGGAAAAAATTGAACATGATCACTAGAAAGAACCTGGCAACATTTTCCAGGTGAATCCCCCAAAGTGAGCATAGATTTGTTCTGGTTGTTGTTGTTGCTTGTGTTGTACAGGGTATGGATTTCCTGACACTATATATTGGAGCTATCACTTTCTAGTGTGTGGTTTGGTCAACATCACTGTCTAGTGTGTGGTTTGGTCAACATTACTGTCTAGTGTGTGGTTTGGTCAACATCACTGTCTAGTGTGTGGTTTGGTCAACATCACTGTCTAGTGTGTGGTTTGGTCAACATTACTGTCTAGTGTGTGGTTTGGTCAACATTACTGTCTAGTGTGTGGTTTGGTCAACATCACTGTCTAGTGTGTGGTTTGGTCAACATTACTGTCTAGTGTGTGGTTTGGTCAACATCACTGTCTAGTGTGTGGTTTGGTCAACATCACTGTCTAGTGTGTGGTTTGGTCAACATCACTGTCTAGTGTGTGGTTTGGTCAACATCACTGTCTAGTGTGTGGTTTGGTCAACATCACTGTCTAGTGTGTGGTTTGGTCAACATCACTGTCTAGTGTGTGGTTTGGTCAACATAGAGGTGTATAAGTGGATGAATGGGCATAGAAAAGGGGGATATTAATATGGTATTAAAAGTATCAACACAATTCAGAACACGAAACATTGGGTATAAATTGGATAAGTTTAGATTTAGGAAAGACCTGGGTAAATACTGGTTCAGTAACAGGGTTGTTGATTTGTGGAACCAATTACCACGTAATGTGAAGGAGGTGGGGTCCCTCGATTGTTTCAAACGCGGGTTGGACATGTATATGAGTGGGATTGGGTGGTTATAAATAGGAGCTGCCTCGTATGGGCCAATAGGCCTTCTGCAGTTACCTTTATTCTTATGTTCTTTAGCATAGTAGCTAAAGTTAGAAAGTTCTGGGTATAAGACACTTTGTGCAATAATTTGTTGTCACAAATAACAAAAGATATTTATAATAGTATTGTATAGGCCAAGACTATTGTATAAACTGTGTGTTGGCTGTTATCCCACCCATGTTTTGGAGAATTTCACCTGTATAAACATGTACAGTATTGTTTGCTTAACAAAGGTCATGAGTGGTAACTGGAATTCAGTAAAGCAATCTTCAAACACTGCACTTTGTCTTGTGGGTTTTGTGTGTGTTCCATGCTTCTTCAGGCTTCATGCCTGGGTCTTTTGTGGTTTTTGCCCTTGGCCTGTCAGGCTTAGTGCTTTCTGATTTTCCATGGGCTGGTTTGGCTACTAGCTCTTTGTTTGATAGGTGCTACATAGTTTATCTTCTGGGCAGGGTACCTGCTTGATACCTGGTTGATGGGGTTCTGGGAGTTCTACTCCCCAAGCCCAGCCCGAGGCCAGGCTTGACTTGTGAGAGTTTGGTCCACCAGGCTGTTGCTTGGAGCGCCCTTTGTTTTCAGGTGGTCCTGGATGAGGCAGTTTTTCACTCCTTTCAACCCTCCGGTCTGGTTCCTGTGACTTTGGATGTTTGTATTCCTGTCCCCATGCCATGGTCTTTTGTGTGGCAATTTTCTGGCGTACATTTGGAATTTTTAGATCGCTCCTTCCCCTCCGTCCCATCCTAAATCCTTATCCTGACCCTTCCCAGTGCCATATACAGTAGTTGTAATGGCTTGGCACTTTCCCCTTATAGTTCCCTCCCCTCCTCCGTTTTGGCCTTTGTTGACCAGGTAGGAGGTGCATGTCATATGGGCTGTAACTTTTGGCCCCCACCCCCATCCTTTCCCTTGGGTGGTGTCTTTTTCTTTATAACCACCTCTTATCCTTGGATTAGGGTTATTTGTTTTCTTGCAGAAGGTAGTTCAGTTTACCAGCCTGTGGTCTATCCTCACTGTCTTGTGTGTCTGTTTGCTGGTTTGTTGACTTTCATGAATGTTTTTGTCTACTGCTCTTCTCAGCTTTATACAGTCTTCCTGGGTGCTCATTTTAGTCTAGCTGCACATGTGTTGCGCTGTGGTGTTAGGATCCTGTGTCTCGTATCCTACTCTTCTGCAGTCAGCCCTGTTTGTCTTACCCAGTTTGGCAGACTTGACTTCCTTGCAGTGGCACTATTCGGGGAGTGCTGTCGGTAAGCTCAGGGAGCTACTGTGAGGCTACTGTTAATTAAACGTGATGAAACATATTTTTTTGGTTGGCCCTCGGTAGCTTCTCATCCCCTTACCTGTGGGGATTGGGTGGTTCAGAACAGTTGGTTAGTGAGGTACTTGCCTTGGTGTGCTTGCTGGGGTTGAGCCTTGGCAGTTGGGTCCCACCTCACACTGAAATTTTGTTTTTCTAATACTGTATCTCTGGTTCATTTGGGTACAGTACTCTGTTTCCACTTCTGCCGTCATGAAGTGATGAAGACGCAGGTCATCTGGTCAGAAATCTGGTTATGGTCGGATGAATGTTCTAATTGACTTCAAGCAGTTGCTTGTTTTGTGCTTAGCCATCCTCATAGACTTTTCCTTGGCTGTACACATAGAGTGAGTCAGGTTCTGGTTCCAGTTTCTGGTAGGCACGAGTAGTTCTCGGGAGGCTCAGTTTGCTTAGCTTTTGCATTATACTGTAATTGTTTATACAGCACTAGGAGTGCTACCAACGGCCCACCAGAAAGGGGCATTTTGTTACTATACAGTACAATGAACGGTTGATATTCTGTATATATTAATACAATTTAAAAAACCTTTATATACTCCATATATTTTTTGTATACTGTACTTAAAACAATTTTATTGATTTGTCATTTCTTATTAATTTAAAAATTCAGTACAGTAATTCAAATTTAAATCCCCCATTTTTTAAATTACCGGTAAGCTTATTTTAGTTGTGGTCACATATGGGCAAGTATTGAATTGAGCTGTAGTATCTATAATGAGCATAAGGAGCAGCTCACCAAATCATTCATAGTAATTCTGTGTAATACCATACCTTGAGGTGCTTCCGGGGCTTAGCATCCCCGCGGCCTGGTTGTCGACCAGGCCTCCTGGTTGCTGGACTGATCAACCAGGCTGTTAGATGCGGCTGCTCGCAGCCTGACGTATGAGTCACAGCCTATGCATATATAAAGCATATACAGTACTGTACCTGTATAGGGCTTTGGACAAATGAAAAGAGCAGGTATTTTTCTTACTAGGAAAAAAATAACCATAATTTTATTGCATTTCAACCTGAAATGGAAATTGGGGAAGAAAATAATAAATTGCCACGGCATATATTACTAATTAATAGCTCAGAAAATTGGTACAATGTTTGCAAAATATTGTTACTGTAATGATTTTTTGTGATTGGGGATGGGGTTTGAAGGAGGTTGGCAGCAAGCAACGATGCCGAAGACCTATCTTGGACACATGGAATTTTATTTTTATTGATTCATCCATAATACATTTCCTAGTAATGTATTCATTATGTATTCATGTATTCAGCCATTGGTACAATGTGTGTTATAAAAATCCTCAAATACAGTATCCTCAAATTTTTATATTGCATGCTAGTACTGCACCGAGTATTGTTCATTGAAGGCAGCAAAAAGATGCTTTTATAATTAGATGTGTGATTGATGCTCCAATCTGGAGTAAATTCACATATTATAGGCCTATTGCAGTCTTGTGGGTAATGTGAAAAAGTTAATTTTAATTAGTTCCAAGTAGATACCATACTGCAGACGAGGAGTCACAATAACGTGGCTGAAATATGTTGACCAGACCACACACTAGGAAGTGAAGGGACGACGACGTTTCAGTCCCTCTTGGACCATTCTCAAGTCACAATCGACTTGAGAATGGTCCAGGACGGACCGAAACGTCGTTATCCCTTCACTTTCTAGTGTGTGGTCTGGTCAAGATACCATACTGTATTGTACTGTGTATAAATTAGGTAAGGAAATTAATTTACAGTCAATATGATTGTTGTGTATTTGACATGATTGTAATGTACAGTACTACTTAGCCTACTAAGGTTAGTACGTAGATAGGGTACTGAATCTGAAATTAATTCTTTGGTGATTGTTTGCTGGTCAGCTCACCTGGAGGCTCTGCAACGTGAAGAATATGAACAGGAGCGTCTGGCTCTCAAAGCCATGGCCTGTAAGCACTCATTCTCCTGTTAGATGCATGTGTTCTATGCAGATAATTCTCCCCCCACTGCCCTGTCTCTTACACAACTACCCTCTCCCCGATTGCCCTGTCTCTTACACAACTACCCTCTCCCCGATTGCCCTGTCTCTTACACAACTACCCTCTCCCCCACTGCCCTGTCTCTTACACAACTACCCTCTCCCCGATTGCCCTGTCTCTTACACAACTACCCTCTCCCCGATTGCCCTGTCTCTTACACAACTACCCTCTCCCCCACTGCCCTGTCTCTTACACAACTACCCTCTCCCCGATTGCCCTGTCTCTTACACAACTACCCTCTCCCCGATTGCCCTGTCTCTTACACAACTACCCTCTCCCCGATTGCCCTGTCTCTTACACAACTACCCTCTCCCCGATTGCCCTGTCTCTTACACAACTACCCTCTCCCCGATTGCCCTGTCTCTTACACAACTACCCTCTCCCCGATTGCCCTGTCTCTTACACAACTACCCTCTCCCCGATTGCCCTGTCTCTTACACAACTATCCTCTCCCCGATTGCCCTGTCTCTTACACAACTACCCTCTCCCCGATTGCCCTGTCTCTTACACAACTACCCTCTCCCCGATTGCCCTGTCTCTTACACAACTACCCTCTCCCCGATTGCCCTGTCTCTTACACAACTACCCTCTCCCCCATTGCCCTGTCTCTTACACAACTACCCTCTCCCCGATTGAAGTTCGTGTTGTTACTGCCCCTTTTCTCTGATCATTTCTTGGTCTAACTGCACACTGATATATTAATTGGTGACATCTGCTCTAAGTATTTTTAATATGTCTTTGAAAACTCATAAGCATTCCTGTGTGCCTTTAATTTTTTGATGTTCATATTTTTAACATTTTCTTGTTAAAAGCAAGCAAGGTTACTGTTGATTAACTGGGATTTGGAGTTGATGACTTCCCTTTAGATTGAGTTAATTCTAATTTAACAGAGCATAAATGACTGCCGACAAGGCTGCCTTGGCTAGAAAGTCACCAGGCTAAGAGTATACTTGTGTGGAGATGACATTTACCTGAATTTACCTGAGGGCCACCATCTATCTAGTGGTCAGCAGCTTGTCGAAGGTCCCCCCCCCCCACTTTTTTTCAATGGAACAGTATTTTTGAATTGCAGTAAGGCCAGCATGTAAGGGCTTTTAATTATGAAATGGCACAGTTATTTGGAAGTACAGCACCGTACTACATTAAGGTTCACATGTTAGAAAATAATTAACAATGGGGAAGGGGGGGGGATTCCATGTGAAGATTTGAGCACAGAAGAAAATCGCTAATAGGGATTGGAGTAGTGTGGGGTATGCAGCCTAACCTGTTTAGTCAATGGTAGATTTTGTAAAGCCATTATATACAGGAATGGTATGTAAAGTACCATTTGCTCCCAACTTTTTTTTTCTACTTGAGCTTGAATTTGATTTGGTGTGGATATGTCGGGTAAATTTAGGTTGGGTGATTCTTTTTAAGGTAAATCATTTATTTTTGTTATACTGTATAATGTACTGCATTACCTGATCTAATTAATGACCTTGCATTTCAACCGGTCAGCAGCTAATTAACACACTTCCCTTACCTGCAAGTATTGCCCCTTATATGTGCAGCAACATGTAATTTGTGTGTGTTTCTTTTTATTTTTACAGTACTGTATAGTTAAGATTTGTTTTTGAGTTTGCATTTGTATATGTTTACAATATAAAAAGTTTACAAGGAAAAGCTATCAAATGTGCAGGCGATGAGTCACAATAACGTGGCTAAAGTATATTGACCAGACCACACACTAGACTCACATCTATCGACTTGAGAATGGTCCAGGACGGACCGAAACGTCGTCGTCCCTTCACCTTCTCGTTTATGGTCTGGTCAACTATGAAATGTGTATTGATACTTAATAAATGGCTTTTACTGGCAGCCAACTCTTTCTACATTGTAAATTGTTGTATACTAACAAATTTTAAGGAAATTGCTTTTTAAGGAAATGATTATTTTGAAAGACAAACATCAAAATTAGAACCTAATATATTAGAAATACAGGTAAGGGTGTTTTGGAAAGTTGCTGAAGAGTAAGACTCCATACCAAGAGCTAAGGCAAATACTGTAATATGAGGGAATAGTACTGGAGTGTTTATTTGTAAAAATATCCCCTCGTTGTTGTTGTTGTTTAAGATTCGCTACTTGGAACAAAAATTTCCAAGTAGCACGGGCTATGGTGAGCCCGTAGTTATCCCCTCGAATATTGAAATCATAATCAGCACTTATAAAATGGCTTCTGGTAAGGTTTTGAAGGACCTTAATAAAAATTTGAATAGAAACAGGGATTAGGATCTAAATTTGCAAAGTGTAGCAATACTGATTGAAAGGAAGAGTGTAGAACTATAAGGCAAAAGTGCCAAGCTCCAAACTCCTATACAAGTTAAAAAGTAAGAAAACTCCATCTTGAATCATTTTGGATTACACAGTATTGCACACACACGCACCATATTAGACCTAAGATAGCATGTTTTAGGCCTAGGAGAGGTTAGGTTAGATTGTATTTAAATGTTGCAGTTAAAAAAAAATACCATTTGGCCAAATTCAGTGATACAAAATGTTAACTTTTGGTGATCCATTACTACACATTGGTATTTGGAGCAAATAGTTACTATGAGTACTGTTATATTATGATGATGGGCTGTAACAGAAAAAAAGGCTCGAGCCATTGCAACACACCTTAAAGCGTTGCGTCTATTGCTCGGAGAAAAATCCTATGGGAGTAAAGCATGGGTGGTGAGGCGGTGAAAGCCACACTCCCATGGGAGCCGGTCGGCCGAGCGGACAGCACGCTGGACTTGTGATCCTGTGGTCCTGGGTTCAATCCCAGGCGCCGGCGAGAAACAATGGGCAGAGTTTCTTTCATCCTATGCCCCTGTTACCTAGCAGTAAAATAGGTACCTGGGTGTTAGTCAGCTGTCACGGGCTGCTTCCTGGGGGTGGAGGCCTGGTCGAGGACCGGGCCGCGGGGACATTAAAAGCCCCGAAATCATCTCAAGATACATGCACACTGGCAGGCAGTGGAGTGCGAGTCAGGGTCAAGCCTCAGCTAGCCAACATTGTGCCGAGTGTGAGCTAGGTTCCTCAAGAACATTATGCACGAACATCATACAGTATAAACAAAATTTGAAATGGTGTACAACATTGAATATAAATTAAAAAAAAAAAAGCAAACATTCTTTCGGATTGACAAATTTTGTCCTGTTCTACTTTTAATATAGAGTATTTTTAGGTTACTAAATATATTCTCTTCATTCATTGCAGCCTCCGTGGCATAGTGGTAAGACACTCGCCTGGTGTTCCGAGAGCGCTTTGTCCTGGGTTCGTATCCTGGCCGGGGAGGATTTACTGGGTGCAAATCCTTAATTGTAGCCTCTGTTTAACTCGCCAGTAAAATAGGTACTTGATTGTAAAAACGATTCTTCGCAGGGGGTCGTATTCCAGGGACCATAGGATTAAGGACTTGCCCGAAACGCTACGCGTACTAGTGGCTGTACGAGAATGTAAGAATTCTTGTATATATCAATAAAAAATAATTCTGTAGGACCTCAGGTGCTCTCATGTTAATGAAGAAAAGGCTGCTAACATGGCACAAAAGATACCTGAACAGGACACTAATTTCTCTTTATTAAAGGTGTAATAGTAACTTATATTTTGCTTCATTATAGTCCGTAACCGCACATTCTATATTGGTTTTGTGTGCTTGAAGCGCGTTAATTAATATGCCTATCTTTCAGTAACCTTGCGTTGGTTCTAAGGAACAAAATGTCCTTGTGGTCTCGGACCAGGCCTCCTGGTTGGTTGCCTGATCAACTAGGCTGTTAGATGCAGCAGCTTGCAGCCTAGTTGCACACCCTGGCTGTGATTCAGCCCGGGTTGCCTTCTTGGGGAAAACTCGCATTTTTGCTACAGGCCAACTACAGACCACCTTATCGATTTTATTTGTATTAAATTATTAAGACATAAATTAATGTGACTTTTACTTAGCATAACAATCTGAAGATCTTCAAAGTATTACCCAATAAAACTATAAAAGTTGTAGCAGCGAATGAATGTCTCAAGTGTCAGCCTTCAAATTTTTAGATGGAGTATAGCCAATCACAGAGGCAGTTAGGCCCACGACGTGACACACCATAGAGGTGGTGGGTGCCTGCCTGCCTGCCGCTCAAGTGGGAGTCAGTACTGTACTTAGCCAGGACAGGTGGGACCTCTCCACCTATATTATCACCTCAATAAAGTCGTGTGAAGCAATCTAGTGTGTTCTCTACAGTCCCAAGAGCCATCTCCACTACTCCAACCAACAGGCAACGAAGTTGAATAGAGTTATGAAACTACAGTACTGACCATCACAGCTTGTGATCTACAATGAGAAACAATGGGCACAGTTTCTTTCACCCTATGGCCCTGTTACCTAGCAGTAAAATAGGTACCTGGGTGTTAGTCAGCTGTCACGGGCTGCTTCCTGGGGATGGAGGCCTGGTCGAGGACCGGGCCGCGGGGACACTAAAGCCCCGAAATCATCTCAAGACAACCTCAAGATCCTTGCTGATTTCATTTTTCCTTGGTATACTGTACAGTATAGGAATGCAGTAATGCAAAAACATGCAAGAAGAATCCTTATGGTTTAATAAAGATGGGTGCAGTAAGCCAGAATGTTGAGGGTGTGAGTGATGATGCAGGCGGAGGTATACCTCTAGCGGGCTGGCAGGAGGCTGTTGGTGTAAGAGGAGGTGGTGTGTTGTGGTCACCACCACCACACCCACTACCATGACTCCTCCTTCCTTCCCACCTAGACAAGTCCTCACCTCTGGCTGAAGAGTTGTAACTGTCACCACCAAAACTATGGTACAGTACTCTGTTAGTGTTGTCTTCTGGCGGCATACTCGGGTTTGTCTCACCCGCGAGAGTTTCTTGCCTTTGTGGCCCCCCCCCCC